CAAGTATGAAATACTTGCTTCAGAACCAAGAATTAAATATTTCTCTTGACAGTACCTGCCTGGCCAGCTTTTCCTTTGCTGTTCCTTTGCTCAATCCTAAAAAAACAGCAACATAATGGGCAAAGTTCATGAATTATGTATAAATTATAACAAATTTCCCATTTTTCATCTCAAGACAAGAGATCTCAACATTCTTCTGGTTGAAGACAAAAAAAACTCCTCTGAAAATAAGCATATGATCCTAATTTCTACTAAAATCTAATTAGCGCGCGCACACACACACACACACCAAACACTGTATCCATCTCAGAATAGGCTACCAAGCAGTGTGCTACAATGTCTATCCAAAAATTTTCACTGAAAGTGAAAACTGCCCCCAAAGAAGCCCAGTGCAAGGTAGTTGTGTCTGCAGACTTTCCTGTACTTCTACTCCCTTCTTGTTGGCAAAACCTTGAGACTGTTGATACATCTGCATTCAAGGAAATTCCAAGCCTTCCACTTTTGACTGCAGAAATTCTCTTTCAGAAGTTACATGCTTTCATTTCCTCCCTGACCACAGGGTCCTAAGCGATGTGTCCTGCATTCTGCATAGCAAACATTACCAAAACCTCACATTTCACGCTGCAATAACACAATGGTCTTCGAGGCCAGCTAGCTGGTCCGAAATCACTAATGCAGTTTTACAAGCTTATGGAATCATCAAGGTTGGAAAAGACCTCCAAGATTACTTAGTCCAGCTGTCCACCATCGTTGGCCACCACACCATATCCCTATGGATCATTCAGGGGGAAGCTCTTTACTATGTGAGTAGTGAGGTGCTGGAACAGGCTGCCCAGAGAGGCTGTGGATGCCCCGTCCCCATAAGTGTTCAAAGCCAGATTGGATGGGGCCTCGGGCAGCCTGGTCTGGTGTTACATGCGGAGGTTGGTGGCCCTGCCTGTGTCAGGGTGGTTTGAGATTCCTGATCTTTGAGGTCCCTTCCAACCCGGGCCATTCTGTGATCACAACCGTGTGATTCTTGAACAACTCCACAGATAATGACTCCACCACCCCCACTGGGCAACCACATCACCCCTGCCAGGGTTAGGTCGGGTGGCAGTCAGGGAAAGGATCTGCACCAGAGGGCGGTGGGAACGGGCTGCACAGTGCAGCGGGCACGGCCCCGAGTTGCTGGTGCTCAGGGGGCATTTGGACACCGTTCATAGGGTTGGATTCTGGGGGGGTACAGTGCGGAGTCGACAGTGCTGATCCCCGTGCGTCCTTTCCAGCTCAGCTCCTGCGCTTTCACTCCAGTACCGTGACAAGGCGCTGGCTCCACAAGGCACGAGGAAACGACGGCACCGGCAGCCCCCGCCCCAGCCAGCCGCTGCCGAACACCGCCCGCCCGCGGCTGGCCCCGCAGCTGGGGGCAGCAGCCCGCGGGAAGGCCTCCCGCAGCGCAGCGCAGCGCGGCCCCGCCCGGCCGCCGCCATCGCGTCCCGGGCTTACCCTCCGCGATGATCCGCCTGATGCGCAGCTTCATCTCGCCCATCTCCACCGTCTGCCCTACGAAGTCGTTCTGATCGCGGCTGGCGGCCCCCAGGGTGCCGGGGCCCGCCAGAAAGTCCAGGGCGGACTGGAGAAGCGACATGGCTCCGCCTAGCTTCGGCCCGCGCTTCCCGGGCAGCACCGGGGGAGAAGGAGTAGGGAGGAGAGAGGTGGGTGCGGGGGGCTCCGCCGAGCTACCGACCGCGGCGTGGGACGGCCTCCTCAGCCACCGTACCCTCAGCTCCGGTCTGCTTCCGGGAACGCTACGTCACTTTTGACCTCACGCCGCCACCTCCCTCCTGCCGCCCCTCGGCCCGGCGCGCCGTGCGGTCGGACACGCCCTCTCTCTGGAAGCCGCGCCCCTTCTGTAAAAGCCACGCCCCCCGGGTGAAGATCGCTTTGCCGCCCTTGGCGGCAGTTGGGTTTGGGGTCTGTGCAGTGAGGCTGCTTGCTAGTGGGAGGAGCGCTGGAAGCCACAATGTCTCCTCCGAAAGTCCTGTCCTCACTTCCTGTCTGCTGCCTTCAGTAGCTATCGCTGATGCAGTCACAGTCGTCATCAAGTTCCTTGGGGGCTCAGATAGCTGTGCTGGTTCTGTCCCGTGTTGATGATGAGTAATAAGGTGGTATTTCTCAGTCAGCCTCCACAAACTGACGACTTGCTGTTCTTCACGTAGGAATTATAGAACCATAGAGCAACCCAAGTTGGAAGGAACCTACAGTGACCACTGTTTGCAGCCCCTGGCTCTGCACAGCGCCACCCAAAACTCAAAACATACATCTGAGAGCGGTGCCCAAATGCGCCTTGAATTCACTGAGCTCAGGGCCGCAGCCACTGCCTTGTGCAGCCCGTTCCATGCCCACCACCCGCCGGTGCAGACCCTTTCCCTGACCCCCACCCGACTTTCCCCGATGTAGTTCCATGCCTTTAATTTGCACTTATGGGTAAAGTACAGCTGCATGGCTGTGATGCTGTGCTTCCTTCACTGAGCTGTAATGCCTTAGTAATCAAGAAGTGTGGTCTTAAGCAGTAGCAGATGTGCAGTGAGATTGCAATCTTTTTTATCTTTTACTGAAGAAAAAATAATGTTTATTAAAGTTGGATTATATGGAGAATTTCCTTCTATTTGTAACAGAAGTCAGCTGCTGTTTTTGATTCGACCTCTAGGTAAACAATCTCTTTTACTGTTATAAATCATACCACTATCAGCACTTCGAAAACAGCAGACTCTGTATTGACATCAGGAGCATCCTACCTTCAGTCTGTTTTTGTTTGTGACTTCTTCAGATTTGTTTTTCAGGCAAAGGCTGGAATTATTTGAGACTAGCAGACACTGTTAGGCTTACTACACCATGCCGTTCAACACATTTTGCCCTTGTCCTAACTTAACCTGCACATTCCTCTTTTAAGAATCATTCACATAAGGCCCCCACTGGAAAAGGAACAGGATCTTTGTGAGGAACCAGAGATTCAATTCTTCTGCACATAAAGGTTTGGATTTTGTTAGCATCTTTCTGATTCCCAGAAGAAGAACTGCATCAGAAGGGGAACATGAAACAACTGGAGTTTAGACTTTAGCTTAAATGAAAATTGAGACTTCTTCCTTATCTTCAGTAACAGACTGAATGACCCAGGCTAGAGTGACCTCCTTTCTTTTTTCTTCTTCTGCCAACTCTCTTTAACAGTTCCTGATGGATTCTCAACTAAGTGTCATGTTCACCCCAGCACAAAAGGCACAGCTCAAAAACTTGAAGAAACCACTGACAAAACAGCAGACGTATTTCTTTCAGCAGCAGTACAGGCGCATGCCTGTTTGAAATGCCCTTAGAATCTTGCCTAAGTCTTGGTTCCCTGTCAATATGTATGTGCATCTTTGAAGTATAAAAAATAGCAAATTGATTTTATTTAAACTTTCATTTTGTACTACATCATCTGGAAAAGTAATTTGATGTGGCTATTGAGAAAGGATCTTAGCACAAGAAGTAAACAACTCAAAATTTCAGTGAAAAAATTGCATGCAAATAGGCACCAAGCATGACATCTACATTACATGACAGATTCCATTGGGAATTTGTTATAAGAAAGATTGCAGGAAAGTAACCATTTTGCAAGTAAAAGAGTTATAAGGAGAAAAAAAAAAAAAAAAAAAAGTAGGGTAAGAAGCAAGAATGCTACACTTGGAAAAGTCAGGATAGATTTCACATCCCCAGCTACTACAGATATGCTAGGAGAGGTTTGTCTTAGGTAAGGTTTTCCTAGACAAAAGTTGGAAAGAATGACAGTGTAATATCTCACTTCCCATCTTTCTGTTCAGCTGAGTTGACAAGCAGACTACGAAGTAGGACAGGGTTTGGAGTATGTGCAACTGTTTCAAAAAATCTCTGCAGTAATGAAGTTGTTTTTTTGTTTTTGGGGTTTTTTTTCGGTATAATGTGTAATACTTCAATTTTAACAGTACTTGGCCAAAAAGATTAACATCTCATTTGTTATTTACACATCTTGAGAGTCTTCTGGATGTTTTCATTGAAAGTTGATAAAGGCAGTAAGGCCTGCCTGTTTTTATGTTGGCATCCTGGAAAGCAAAAGAAAACAAGGCTAACTTGCATGCCAGTTCTGACAAACAGAACGGACTGCTACAGGACTGTTGAGATCCTGATGAGAAAGTTATGCTCTTGTCTTCCTATTTTTATTCTCATCCACTCCTCTTCCTTCTACAGCCTCACCCAGAGGAAGCCAAGAGTACTTAGACCAAAAGTCTTGGATGGGGAAGGTAGTAAAGAAGAGATTTCCTTTTTGACCTATCGTAAGGTCAAGGCAGTGGAGAGCTATAAATTGAGGTATTATTAAATGACAAGTTTGTTCTGTTTAATAGCATTTAGTAATGATACGCACTTCTATTTCCATATCAGTAATTGCTTTCAGCTCATTAGGAATTAAATGAATTAAAGAGTAATGAATAAGCATTCCATTTTGCATCTTTCTGTAGCATTTAAAAGAAATACAGCTAGCAAAATGAGATACATAATGTCTGCATGGACCTAGATAAGATTTATTAGGCTGAGCTCAGCTTGTATTTTTTGATGCAGTAGCTCTCATGAAATACTCTGAAAGCATGAGTCATTAAGCTAATTCTGACACAAAGCAAACAGAACAGGTTTTGACCTTTCTTAGTATTAATGTCTGCATTTCGCCTGCAGAAACACTTCATCTCTTCTGAGATGAGAAAGACAGGCACTTTCATAGCTGGGCTGGCACTTCTGTTTTGTTCTGTAGTTGGCTTGTCTAAGTTTGAGTGAAACTATGCCTTTTTGAAAGCTTTAGGCTTAATTCTGCCTCAGGGACTCTCATAAAAGCCATTAGATTTTGGAAGTGGACATCTAAATTCATTATTTGATTTATTTTTTCCCTAGAACAGCAACTAATACCTCTACATGTTATACTGTATGTTATACTCAAATAATTTTACAGTAACATGTTTCTTTCATACATGTAACTTTATTATCAGAATATCCATACAGCGGTTACACTATCATGTGTTTCACTCTGGTGTGTGATTATGGTTTATTTCTTACATAGATTATGAGCCACTGTATTTTGAGAGATTTACATAACATATTGTAGCCATGCATTTCAAAGAAGAGCCTGCTTATTTGACATTAAATTAACGTGTATAATAAAGCAGCACTTGCAACATTTGGAGATACAAATATTTTGATTGATCCCTCTACATAGGCAACATTTTAATTTAGCTAAATTTTCAGCAATCTTGCTGCTCATGTCTGCTCTGGGCATCATTTTTCATTTCTGAAGCCACAGTTTAAGTAATTCATTTCCAGAATGATAATGGGAACATTTGAAAAGATGTTGATTGATTTTGTGGAGAAATTGCTTCATCTCTGGTATTGTATTAAGCACAACAAAGCACACATCTTTTACTGTTCTTGAGGAAAACTTTACACTGGGCAAATTAGCTACCCCGTGATAAATAGCTATTAGAAAATCTGTTAAAACATTTAGATAGAAGCTCTGGAGATTAGATATGTAGTGCTACTTCCTGTATACAAGCCTTCTCATATTTTCCAGTCCTTAAAGAAAAAGTGAATGGCTTTGAATTCTTTCTTCAATTTGTGCTTTCAGCTAGAGAATTCAAAAGAAGGTAATGCCCTCCAATTTTAAGGTTTTTTTTACAAAAATCTTCCACATTTCATTCAGTGGCTCAATGAAACTTAACAAAATCATCCAACTGCGGACATGGAAAACTGCAGTTTTAAGGGAGTAACAATAAATGAGTAGAAGAATTACAACACACAAGCTCATTAGAAAATTACGACAGTCCAAGCAAATGTAACACTAATTCAGATCTAACTTCATCTGGAGTTACAATGCCCATGTTCTGAAACAAGTATTTCTGCTAACTTACTTGGACCAAAGGAAATGGTAGTCGTAGAAATCACTGCCCAAAGCATTAAGACAAATAGATTATTACTGTTTTCCTTTTGCAGAGGGCTATTTGAAGGTACCTCACGTACTTCAACACAAAGTTAACTGGGTAAGCAGCAGCCAGCCTCCCTGGCAGTACTGTACTGACTTCAGTTCCCACAGTCACCTGTGCACTTAAATTCTTATCAGAGCCGAAGACCTAAATTGTTCATGTTACCAAAGACAAAGCTGGAGTATGCTGGATAGAGCTGCATGCGTTTGAAGTTGAAAATTAGAATTTGAATACATACGATTTTTAGTACATCTGTTAGCTACACAGTGTCATTTTAAAACAAGAGTAGGTGCAGTCTTTATGTGAACAGCTTGAAGTTGTACCTGATTGTCAAACCACCTGTCAGTTAACTGAAGCATTCTGAAAAGCTTAATACACAAGCTTTTTGGGTATTTCCCATGTAAATTCTTCTCTCCCAAAGTGCCCATAGCATGCTGTTTTTTGATAGATTGGCCTCTTCAAATCCAGCTCCCTAAATGAAAAGAAAAAAAAAAAAATCCAATTTGTGATTTATATGTATCAGAGGGACAATTAGTATTATCCCTGGAAGAAAAATGAGTTAGGCTTTGTTTCCTTGCACAGCCACACAGATTTATAGCAGCAAAAGTAGTAAGATGAGGGCTTCAATTTAAAGTAATTACAGTCAGCTTTATTCAGATCTATCAAATACGAATTATAAGGCTTTTTAGACTTTGTGATGCAGAAGCACTGCAATTGGAATAAAGCTTAGGTGCAATTGTGCAAGCATTAATGTATTTTGTCTTATTTTAAGTGTACTACAGAATATTTTCTGATGCTACTGTGCTGTAAAGACAATGGTGATCTCAAAAGAAGCAAAGGTGCATGAAATAATTAGAATAGGGCTTAATAGCAATTATGATTAGATAAATAGTAAACATGCAAGTCATGGTCATTGTTTTTCAGTCTGTACTATGTAGTGGACTGCAGCTATGCTAAATGGTTAGTCACAGGTATCCACACAAATGTTTCTCTTTATTATAAGGCCTGATACATTTTCTTCTATCTGTGCTTTCTTATATTTATTATTCTATTTAATTGCATTTGAAAGCATGTTTAATATAGATTGTTCTTACCTTGAAAACTGTCTTGGAAATAGCAGAGTAAGGAAAGAAAAGCAAATACTAGTAGCATAGTTAATCTATTCCAGATGGTAAAGGTATTACATATTCTCACACTTAAGGGATCATTTTGTTGATCTCATGGTATACAGCAGCTAAATCTCAAATATTTTCTGCAATATGATCAAACTCTCCAAGAGCCAGAGCGGTCATTTGTACTTGACCCTAGTAGAAAAGCCATCAAAATATGAGTTCTGACTAGATGAAAAGTGAAACAGCATGAAGTGTTTTGAGGACTGATAATCAGACCATTTAAATAACTTCGAAGGTCAAGGGGTAAAGCTTAACAAGGAAATATTCACTATACAATGTTCTTGGTTTTGCTTGCTTGCTTCTCCTTTTCTAATGTTTTTATCATTTCAGGTTTAGGAAAATGTACAATAAAAATGTGGCATTTTTGAACACATTCAATCAAGGAAGGCGTCTGATAGTTACTGATGGTGATGAACTAACATAATTACAAAGGCACAGAGGAGTTTTAAGCTGTTAACACTTAGAAATGTTACCTGGCAACTTGAGTTGCTAAAATGCTTTGCATTATCTCAAAATATTTGGGATTTAGCTGCTGTATACCCAGAGCCCAACTCTATTGTCAGTATATATGTTCAGGTAAGATCCTAAAAAGAAGTACAAAAGGTTGGCCCAACCAGAAAAATGTGTTGCTAAGGCTTGATTCTGAGAGCTGGCTCTCATTTCAAGGAACAAAAGAACTCCCTATTCATTCATTCAGATGTTGGCATTTTACCCCTCAGAATAAAAGACAGTGAAGATTCCTACAGAATATAGTCTAGAATAGACTAGATAGATAGACTAGAAAGATATATAAATAGACTAGAAAATAGACTAGAATGATAGGAATAGCTCCAGAGGGAAAAGAGAAGTAAATCATTTAGAGCAGTTCACTCAAATAAATGTGTTAACATTAAGCTAGTGTTAAAACTAGCATTGCTGAAAGTGACAAAGTGATTCTGTGATGCATGAAATCATACTCTTGCTGGTACCTATCTCAGTCTTGAGCTCCAGTGCCAAATTTTATGAAGCTTAATAAGGGATGAATTCACAGTGTGGTAGCTTCCTTAATAGGAAAAAAAGAGGTGAGAATCAGCCGGGAGATTCAAAAGTTCTTTAGGACTGAGAAATTGAACCTCTACCATTAGGTCTGTGGAACACAGACTGCAAATTCGCAATAACCTCTACCCCCCAAGGGTTCACCTAAAGAATCATGAGTTTATCAGGAAAAACATTAAGATCAAATAACAGCTACACTGTATGGAGATCAATCACTGCTGATAAGTACAGATGCTAAATCTACTTCCCTCTTCCAGCCCTTCCTCTGAGAGAACAGGATAATTTCCATGCTTTTTTAAGTATAAGGACTAATATCTGTCTAAAACACCTTCTTGCTCAGGCCCAGAAATATTTCAGAAAGATATATGGCGGAGTTGGGTGCAGGGGGTTTCTGTGTCCTCACTGACTATATGGTAGGCTCAATGACTCATGCTTCTGAACACAACTGAATTTTCACTTCAAGACAGTTCATTTCATGGTGGGCATTTCCTTTTTTCTTTTTACTTTTCCCTTTCTTCTCCCCTTCCCCACACCCCCCCCCCCCCCCCTTTTTTTTAAACACAAGATACTTCAATCTCTTATCAAGGTTTATGAAAGTGTTTAAGAAATCTGTATTCCTTTTAAATCAAATTCAGTTGACTTCAAACAGGCTACGTAGGGCTGTATGACAACTAGTGACAGGGTCTCATTGCTCAGATTTTCTGATGCAGAATAAAGGCTTGCAGAAGCTAGTAACTTAAAAATGTTATTTTCTCTTCTGGGCTAATGGCCAATATTCCCAGAAATGCAGTGGCAAACACTAAAACATCCCACTCATTTCAAAGGGACTGCTTGTGAAGTGAGGACACCAGAATCTTGTCATCCTGTGGCGACTGTCTCACAAACTGTTGCTATCTAAAGATTAAGGGCAGGGAGACCCTGTTTAATTTTCTTCAGTAAAGACCAGTCTTTCTGATGCCTTCCAGATAAATCTGGGATTCGGAGGCTTACATACCCCTAAAACAGACTGTTTGAAAAACCTATCTGCATCTGATATTAAATTTTAACTGTACTTTATCAAGTACCAGTATCTGCTACCTGGCTAATAAACTGCAACACAATACACTACCACTGTTACTGAGAGATGAAACATTAAATAATTGACACAAGTCTTCCTTACTCAGTATCTTGTGACCAGATTTGAGAATTGGCCCTTTGTATATCATACTGAGTGTGTGGGAGAGGCAACAGCAGAAATGACAGCAATACTAGACATATGATGAAGGTGGCTTTTGGGAGGTAAGGAGCCAGAAACTTGAATATTAAACTGTTAAAAGAATATTAAGAATATGATTTATTTCGCAAATACTAACAGCACACAAACCTTATGATAGCTCCAAGACGTAGATCAAAGTTTTTCTGTACAATCTCAAGCAGCTCTTCTTCAGATCTGTCTGAGGTTCCATAATGAAACACAGAGATTGCAAGAGGATGACTCAGACCAATAGCGTATGATAGCTGTGGAAGACATGCATGTTACCCAGATGCAGTTAAAACACTCCTTCCTACATTTTGCCTCTGAGAAAGGAAATGGCTATCTCATTTATCAAGGGAAGATCACATATATACTTTCATATATATATATTCCCTATGTATATATAGGGAATATGCTTTTGCTATTTGTCCTTTTAGTTAAGCCTAATGTTAGAACTAAAGTTAGGCCTCTTTTTTATTAACAAATAAGCTAGTAATTTTATGTCATACTAAATAAAACATATCACAGAATCACAGAATCACAGAATCGTAGGGGTTGGAAGGGACCTCCAGAGATCATCGAGTCCAACCCCCTGTGATATTGAACAGCTGGTCAGTCTGTAGTTCCCACCATTGTTTTAGCTTTTCAGTATTACAGGCAGGCTAGGAAACAATGTCCAGCAACAAAGCCAGCTCAATTATCAGGCTAATTGAAGGCCAGCAAGGTCTTAATCCAGCATACAGCTACAACAGCACTGAAAACATGTTTCTAATTCTGTTTGATACGTTTTTGTTTTCATTATCTTTAATCCAGACTCCAATGATTTAACAAAACCTTTGCTTTTCTGCTCTCATTCTCTTCTCTCCTCCTTTCTTAGTTTCACTGTTAATATCTGACATCTCCAAGTTTGCTATTAACAACATTAGTCTTGCCATATCTAAAGCCAGGCTTGGGAATTTAAGGAGGATCTCTCAGAGTTATGAAACAATAACATTCCCACCTGACTGAAGAATTAAGACAATGGTGTATGTGTTCCAAAATACCACTAAAAATGTGTATCCCAGGAAGCCAGATGTCTTCTGTCACCTCAGAGAAGGGAATTAAAAAAAAAAAAAAGAGAGAGAGATTTGCTAACTATCACTATCTGTGCACTCCCTGTTCTGTCTGCCCTTAACTTGTCTTACTGCACATATAAAACACATGCACACCTAAAGCAAGAGATCTTGTTCCTAATTGAGATGTCTGGCATTACATCACTGTGTATGTAAATAACGGGTTCTTAAACTCATTTCTCCAGAAAAATACCAGCAAGATCACTGCTACATTTTAACATCCTGAGTTAAAGCTACTACATAGCAGCTACTTGGAATAAATATGTATATGAACAAGTATTGCAAAATGCCTAGACAAATCTCCATGTTTTAGCATTCAGTTTGGGTTCCAACCAATAGCATAACTGTCTAGGTGCCAATAAAACACCTGCTTCCAGCTGAGACTTAGGAGTCCCAAAAATTCATACCCAAGGAAGGAAATGCTTTTCTTCTGATGATGAATGCTCTTCTTGTTTCAAGCTTTTAAAAAACAAATATTCATATGATTGAATTTTATTTTTAGTCACACTTAGCACCATAGTGGAGTCCACTCACAGTAACTTTAGGGTATTTTCAAATATAGCTTAATGTGCTTTAAGATACAAATAATTTGGCTATTCAGAAGTGCAGATTACATAACCAAGACACTGCTAACATAACTGCGATGTGCAGTAAAGCCCAGTTTGAAGTGCTGGGAATGAATGTGTTGCAGAGCATCAGCTGAGTTGCTGCAGTAAAAGCAGTGATAAACAGGTGCTGGGAGCAGGGATAGCAACACAACTGGAGAAAGAACATTACTGAGAACACTCCTTGTTCCAGGTGCTTTCTGGCCTTAGACTGGACTGTGACTGAGATTGCAAGCATGTGTTCTGAAGGAATGGCCACACAAGGGATAGATTGTCTGTTATGGTCTATTAATTTCACAGTTGCTCTTACCTGTATTAATACTCTTTTACAGAGACCAGCTTTCACCAGAGATTTTGCAACCCATCGAGCTGCATATGCTGCAGAACGATCAACTTTGGATGGGTCTTTCCCAGAGAAAGCTCCTCCACCATGGGCTCCCCAACCTCCATATGTGTCAACAATGATCTTCCTACCAGTCAGACCAGCATCACTCTGCAGAACAAGCAATTGAATACTCATGAAACACAACAGTTTATCCAATTCCATACTAAGTTATTGGGTATCGTTTTGTTTTGCTGTATTTTCCACAAAGAAAACTTAATGTTCAGCACATTTGTTTTTGCTTACAACTGTTTAATGAATGAGCTCTACAGGACTGGATTATTTTTCACTAACTGATGGTACCATCACTGTTGGTAACATCTGTGATGCAATAACTTTTGAAGATAAGAATGTGCCATAACAGTAAACATTACAAAAAGACTGCTCCCTGCAAATTCACAGTGTCAAAGTACTGATCTATTACTTCACTACACGTGACAAAGGTGAAGAATTTAGAAAGACAGAAGTCTTGCTGAAGAACAGATCATATGTAGCCTAAGAGGTCAACTAGATCCATTTACATACACATACTACAGAGAAAGAATTAATTTCATGGGGCTACAGTTCAGAGTTGTGTAGGACAAGAGCACTGAAATACTGTGAGTTCACCAAACAGTTCTCTGGTGGCACAAGAGCAATTTGGTATTTCTCCTTTCTTCTTCCTGTCTGCCTTTGTCCTTAGCAACACTTTTGCATGCTGTTTGGCCTACTTCCCACAACTTGATGAAATGTTTTAACTTATTCAGGCAGCAGAGAATTACTGCCTTTCTGTGAGATTAATAAAGTTGGTGACTGCAAGCTGATAAATGAACTCAGAATGTCAAGAAATTCCATCTTGAAAGAGCACAAACTGTATTAATCCACTAACTTTAAATATTCAAATAAATGATACCAGAGTAACACTGATATTTATTCTTCAGTGAAAGCAGTTTCTCTACTTCACCACAGTACGAGCACACCTTGTAGTTTTGGTCCTTCCTGAAACACCTTTTACAAAACTGAAAAAAAAGTGCAGCAAAACTTTTTACCTTTTCATAGTAATGACCTGCTTATAACTTCCTAGCTCCTGGAAAGTAGAACACAAGTCAAATTCTGATGAGTGCTGAGGGGCTTGGTGCATTAAGGTCTCCACTGAAATTTGTACAGCTTTTCTGAATAATTCAAATATGGAAATATACACATATATAAAAACCCATTTATAGAAGGTGTTGTTAATTCTGAGTCTTTTTGTTTGTTTCTGTGTATGTGTGTGCGTTTGTTTCTTTGTTTTACTGTGAAAGCACAGACAAACCACTTGTCAGATATTTTAACATGTAACTTAAAGGCTGACTCATTTAAAAACACCTTCTGGAACCAATACAGAGATTTTGACATTTGGCTATCCAAGCATGTAAAGCTCAGTTTCAATGCAAGCTGTCCAGTACAAAAATTTCAGTAGCAGTGACTGAAGATTCCTGAAAAATATTTACGCTTTATTCACTGAAGGTAGACCAGTGCAAGAGAACGTTTAGAAACATGTGGCAAAGTTTGTTCAGGCTCTCTGAATCCAAGTCTTTTTATCCTTTCTGCTTTCAAAGTCCATACCTTAGGACCACCTTCTACAAATTTCTCACTTGGAAGGAGATGATAAATTGTGTCTTCATCGAGATACTTCTCTGGAATGACTTCTTTAACAACTTTCTCCATTAGCTCCTTTTGTATGTGTTGTAGAGGTACATCTGGGGCATGATGTACTGAGATCACAACTGTATGCACTCGGATGGGTTCCACTGCTCCATCACTCTCCTTGTATTCCATAGTGACCTGGAAAGAAAAAAAGGTACCGAATCAAGGCCAGGAATACCCTTAGAGCACACTTCTTCATGTAGAACACTAGTCTGAAAATTTAGAAAGAACTTCATAGTTCTTTTCTACAGCGAATAATTAATAATAATAACAATAATAATAATAAGTGCAGGGAAAGGGGGAGAAAAATAACATATTATTGCTGACATTTAGTATCACTGTAGGAAAAGTGCTAAAGCATCATTGCCAAAAGTAAAGGATATTGCCTGTATTTACACATACAATAAAAAAAAAAAAAAAAAAGACAAATCATTTCCATACAGAAGGATTCTGCCTAGGATTGTTCCTGGCAGAAGCTAAACTCATTTAGTTTTGCATGGTAAGATAACTTCAAATAGTAAGCCTCCAAAGTAAACTCAAAATAACATTTGGAGATCTCTGCTGAAATGAGTAAATGTGGTTGATGATATGGTGATCTGTATTCTTCACTACCCTTTGAACAGCTTTTATATGCGTACAAATACATGACACTGCTCCACCTTTAGCGTTCTTGTAGACTAAGATTTCTCTAGTTTTCTACCCTCCAAGCAAGTTTGGATACATACAATGAGAAGAAACCAGTCTATTCACACTGCCAACAAAAGGTACAGGTTATCCATGTTGCTGTACTGCTGCTGTAACAGCTGTAGCAGTGTAATTCAGTACAGTTCATTTGCATCAAAGCAATAGAATATAAGAACAGGACAATGTGCTGCCTTGGAAGTGTAATATTTGTGGATTTCCACTCCTCTTCTGCAGATTTGAAAGCCTGGAAGGACAGCCTTTGAGACTGACCAAGTGCACTGTTGTTACAGTGTGCCTCAGTGACTCATCTACTACTCTGTAACACAGCCATCAGTGGCTCTGATCATTAGTCCATGTGTCCAGATCTGGAGCCCCCAGTACAAGAAAGACAGGGAGCTGTTGGAGAGGGTCCAGAGGAGAGCCATGAAGATGATCAGGGGACTGAAGCACCTCCCTATGAAGACAGGCTGAGGGAGCTGGGCTTGTTCAGCGTGGAGAAAAGAAGGCTGCGGGGTGACCTCACTGCAGCCTTTCAATCTAAAGGGAGCCCACAAACAGGAGGGGAATGAACTCTTTGAAAGGGTTGATAACTGCAGGACAAGGGGAAATGGTTTTAAGTTGAGGGAGGGAAGATTGAGGTTGGATGTCAGGGGGAAATTCTTTACTGTGAGAGTGGTGAGGTGCTGGAACAGCTGCCCAGAGAGATTGTGGATGCCCCGTCCCTGGAGGTGTTCAAGGCCAGGTTGGATGGGGCCCTGGGCAGCCTGGTCTGGTATTAAACGTGGAGGTTGGTGGCCCTGCATGTGGCAGGGGAGTTGGAGATCCATGATCCTTGAGGTCCCTTCCAACCCTGGCCATTCTGTGATTCTATGATTCTGTGATTAGTCAAATAAGCATGTATGGAGTTTCACACAGGAACAGATCTGTTTTGTCTGACTGAGAAACTGCTTTTTATCAATCCAAAATTCTGGAATATAGATGTTTATGCAGAAAATAAAAACAAAAACAAACAAACAACACTTGTTAATAATGTGTTAATCTTCCTAATCACCAGAGGAAAAGAAGCAAAATACCAGAGTTAATTTGAAGAAAACTGTAAAGACAATGCAGAACAGATTAAACCTCCCATATGTGTAACACACAAATGCACCTTGTGAAATCCAGCTCACCTTGGAGTATGAAAATAACACTATCATTTTTTAAATATATGTGTATATACATGTATTAAATATTACATATAAATATTCCAGTTTAGTAACAGACAGGGTAAGTGACTTCTGTACTTACTCACCATGAAAGTTTGTAAACTAATATCTATGCTTTTACTTTACAAACCTGTGTTTTTCCATCTGGTCTAACCCAGGGCCATGTTCCATTTCGTTCCAGATCCTTTATCCTTGAAGTAAGCTTATGTGCCAGGAGGACTGTTAAGGGCATACATTCCTCAGTTTCATCAGTGGCATAGCCAAACATCAAACCCTGCATTGAAATACAGGGAATTAAGCCACCGATTTCCATGTTCTCTTTCGGTTTCTGCACGTCTTTGCCACAAAATACTTTAAAATCAGCCAAATCTAGAAACAGCAGTAACTTGCAGAATGACTACACTTGGAGGCATAACCAGCCTGAAATTACACCTATGTGTCTGCATTGCACGAGAATGAGAGTTACAGAAAGGCCTGCTTCCCAAGCGTGATGTAATCATCCGCAAGAATTCACTGCAGAGGCCTAACAGACATAAAGCTCATGAAGTCTGCTCTGCCTTATCCCCATTCGCGACAACTGAAATAATGCAGCCTGAGAAGCAGAACCAGGCTACCACAGGACGTGAAAGACCAGCACTGCCATCTACTGATCAAAAGCTTAATTGTAGCTCTAACCAGTAGCGCCACTGGAAAAGACATTCCCAGAGAAGTTAGTGATGACTATGTCATTTCTTGTACTTGTTTGATTGGTTGGTTTGCTTTGTTTTTGGCAGATTATGGTTTTGGTTGGTTTAATGGCTTGAGTTTTTTTGTTTGTTTGTTTGGTCTGTTTGTTTGGTTTCGCACTTCTGATAGTTAAGAGAATACAAAGTATTTGGCTTTAATTCTTACGCTTAAATTTCTGCAGTGCCCATAAAGGAAAGTGTCTGGTCTAGCTCAAATCTAACTGCTTGTGCACACGCTCCATTTCAGTGTCTAGAATAAAATCCCATTACCTGATCCCCTGCTCCAATGTCATCGTCACTCTTGCCATGGGAGACAGCGTGCTTGATCTCTTGACACTGTTGCTCTAAGGCCACTAGAACTGTGCAAGTCTTATGGTCCAATCCTAGTGAAGGAAATTTTGGGAAGTGAGGTCATATAATTTTGAGAGTTTACCATCCACTAAAAAAGCTTTTGGGGATTATCTACTTACCTTGGCTAAAACTTCAATAAACCTAAGTATACAACTTTCCTATACCATCATGGTTTTGTACTGCTAACAAAAGCAGACAATATGAGCATATTGGTTTTACAGTATTAGGATCCGGGCAAGTTGCAGTTGAAATGAGCTTTTTGAACTGACAGGTCAAGTGTAACCCTAGCTGCCCCACAAAAGCTTGTGACAGTGCTTATATACAGATGCCTAGGGTTCAAACCACATGTGGAAAATGTTACCAGAAATTGTTACTCTTTTGTTGTTGCTATTGCTTCAAGTTCTAGAATTGGAGAAAAACTATGCAAGTAATATATGAAAAGGGAAAACTGAAAGAAAATAGTTGTGTTGGGGATTAAATTGCTGAAATGAAGCTACCATGGGAAAATGTATACATAAAGTACATTAGGAATTCCCTTGGGAATTAAACTCAAGTTTTGTAGGCTTATTCGCCCCAAGGGCAGGGATCATCAAGGCTTAAGCTTTCACTGTATAGACCTGTGATGTAACTACTTTTAGATAACTGAGTAAACACTAGTTTTTCTTTAACAGAGGAGAAAGGAGTAGATAGTCTTTTGAAGAATAAGTGTTTTGTGAATATTCTACCTCCAAGTAGCTTCTTCAGCATCTGCACAAAAATATGTATCAACATCTGTGCATTTTTCTTGCAGGTTAGACGTACATTTTGTTTCATTTTTAAGCAGATTATAGAAACAAGATTTTGGCCACATGCAGAGCAGATCCAACAATGAATGAAAGAAGGATCTCACCTTTAGAAGAGTCATCATACCCTATACTCTTAAGGGTCTCTCTTACTATTTGTTGGTAATCTACTATAGCCCGGGATGTGATCTCTCCACAAAGCAAAATCATTCCAGTTTTTGCCACACATTCTGCAGGAAAAAACAAGAAAGAAAGACAGAAAGAAAAAAGTAAGAATTCTACTGCTGCTATTTTTACAATTGCACAAGATGATGTTGAATAAGGTTTCCTATAAAAATGATTGCTTAATGGGGAAACTCAGAGAAATACCTTAGCTTAAGTATATGTCTGTGTGCCATTACTCTTCTCTTAAACTGATACTAACATAAAAATCATTTCAAGGTGGGTTCATTCAGTGCAATTATCCTATCTCCACAGTAGCAGCAGCAAATAACTGTAAGAACAGGTCCATTATATAGACTTATTATATATTATATATATTATATAGACATTATATTATTATATAGACTCCAAATGCTTTCCTGGTCCATTTTCAGCTCAGGGACCTTCTGAAGATAGAGGGACATAACTTATTAACAGACAGCTTTACTAATCTGTGATGGATTTTTGCTACGCTGATTCACCCAGTTGCCTCTGGCAACCATGAAAACTTCTAGCATCTACAGCAGCCTGACATGGGAAGCTCCACAACTACATTACAATTCTGTGCAGAATCATTTCATATTCCAAGCATCATTGCAGCCCTCAAATTTCATAGAATCACAGAATAGGTTGAGTTGTAAGGGACCCTTAAAAGTCATCTAGTCCAGCACCCCTGCAACGAACAGGGATATATTCTCCATTTGGTGTTAAACATATAGCAATCAATCACAAAATCTTCACCACAGCAATACAATCTACAATTACATGGCTTTATTTCATATTCCATTCAATCATCCCTTTAGGAAAGTAGAAAAGTAGTCTAAACTATTCACTGACAAACATTGTATGGCAGTGTTGTTAGTCTTCCCAGTAATTTTTTCTTCCTATAGGGATAGAGAAATAAACAAACTACACGCATTTTCAAGAGAGGTATCCATGGATTTACTTACTAGCTTAATTAAATTCTCAGTTCCACTATTCCTTAACTTAATAGAAATCTCAAACACTGAGTATTACAACTGAAGACTGACTCTGTTAACAAGACCACACCTCCAAGAGCTTACAATGAACTCCAAACCTAACTTAACTACACTTGTGATTAAGTGTGCTCTTTTTCCCTACCTAAAGGGAAAGCCTTACTGGAAGAACACAGAGTTGTGGATCTTGGGGCTGAGAAATGGCAAAATAAGGCTCCGCTCATCACCAACAGTCCCTACAAACTCTCTTAGGCCCATTGCAGCCCAGCAAAGCTTGGTAATTATGAAAAACTTCACAGCATAAAGATGTTATTTTAGAATCATAATAGGAATGGTTCATCTTGCTACATTTGCTTTTCATTTTGACCAAAATTAATGTAAACAAAAGAAAATATGGCTCAGGAACTGCACTCCACCAGCCACAAATACCTCAGCCCCAGCAAAACTCCTATCTGCTCTATCCAAGAGAAATTTACCATATAAGGTTTAGAGCTCCTCACTAGGAGATTGATTTCTTAAATGTTTAGGCCTCCCCAAAACAACATTTTGAACTTAACTACTGGGCAGAAACTTCCATTTTCTCTTTTGTACTGTCATGGTTTATAATTAGTAAAGTTTCTCTCTTGACTCTGATTTATTGGACACATCGGGAAGGAACTTTTACTCTCAAGAAACTATTTGGCTTCATTTAATCAGAGAGGAAACAGAATACCTATTTTGCTTTAGCTGCATGCTACTGGCACTCCTTATTGCCTTGACTTTACTGTTATATGTTGACAGCACACAAACAGGCCAGCTCCCTCCTGCCACAATGAGGCATTGCCAGATTAATAATTCAGAAATTCATGTGCAGTCAGCTAATCATACAAGTCCAAGCAGCAAATAAAATTCAGAGAACTACAGGCAATCTTCTTCTACTGGTGGGTTGAATTTAGTTTCAACATCTCCGTAAATCTGCATTTCATACTTATGTAAATTGCAGTGTTACACGGACCTAGCACTTACAAAATGCTTTGAGATTTTGGGTGGATTTTTTTGCTGTTGTTGGCTGGTTGGTTTTTGGTTGTTTTTTTTGTTTTGTTTTGTTTTGTTTTTCCCAAGAAGCTTTGAGGTTAATCTTGATCAACTGAACAGAAACACTGGGTTTCACTCAGAAACTGCTTTCTCCCATATCAGCCACTACCTTTTTCTATAATTTAATCAAATGCTGTATATGGCGAGATTTAATACTGTAATACCATATAAAAGTATTCTGATTCCACTTAGAAGTTTTAATATGTTTGTTTGGTTGGGGTTTTTTTCAGTTATTTTCATTTTTGTGAGGTTTTTGTCGCTGATGGTTGTTTGTTTGATTGCTTTTCCCAGCTGATTACAGAAATCAGGCATTTACCTATGTAACCATATCACACTTTAGCTTTTGCTTTGGTAAGACAAACTGATCATGCTTCTCACATTGCTTATAACATGCTGTCAGTCCTTGTCATTATCATAGCATTTGTCTTACCATCTTCCAGCTTTCCAGCATATTTAGAAGCACAACTTCTGCAGCACTGAAATATGTTCTTTATCAAGTCTAATATGTATGCTAAACTCTTCCTCTACATCTCCTCCCTGTTCACATCTACGCAACAAGATCACAGGAGCTGTTTAAACCATAGCATCATATTAGACCAGTGTCTTACTGCTCCAGCTATGGCCTCTATGACTTGTCCCACGAAGGTAGTGACTTTACACTCAGAGCTCTTTAGAGACATTCCCATTCTGTATTCATTCCAATCCTATAGTAAGTCCTTAATCTCTAGAAACAGAGATGTTGCTAGTGACAATATCTAGTGTAGAATACGGGCAGACTTAACAGAAAGTCACCCCAAAAATACGAGCTCGTTTGATCAGAATCACACCAAAACAAACTGTGCATTTACCTTCCTGTGGGCCAAGGGCATCACCCTGGTTCTGTAAAAGCACAGTATGCATCTATTTAGCACTCCTGGATTTTATTAATACATTTTACTCAGTAACCCAGGAAATACATTCTCAGACACACTGTTTCTCAATTCTTTTTTTCCCTAGTTTTCTTAAACTCCTCATAATCATTAGCTCTGTTATCCCCAGTTTTCCCTGACACCAGTGACTTCTCCTGAGAAGTTTTCTACATTTTATCATTTTTAATTTGTAGTGAAATACTCTATATTCTTTTCCCTGTTTATGCCTTCCAGTCTTTTGCTCTCCCTTCTCCTTATAGTTACTATGTCAGTGCTGGCCTTTGGCTAACTGAGGAAGAACTGACTGCCAGCCAATCACTGTAAGAATTTTGGATGACAGGACATTTTTGGCAACATGGATTACTTGTTGTACTTCATTAATCTGTTTTTATGTCTGCATTGTACTTACCACAGGCAACCTTGGCATCTGGATCAATACTGAGATGAGCATCTAAAACAGCATCACTTATCTGATCACACATTTTGTCTAGAAGACAAAAAAAAAAAAAAGAAAAAAAAAAGATGCAACTTTTCTATTTCCTGACAAAAACTGAAGTGATTTCTTAACATTTCATGTCCAGCAGCCAATACATCACTGTTTATGGAGCCAAGAGCCAATTTGAGCAACTTCGAAGTCTGAGTCTCTCCTATCCTGTTTCCACACTTCCGCTCAAGTTAATCCAAACATATCACTATCATCTGCAAGCATAAGCAGCATGCCAGGTGAGGGCACAAAGACAAAGTCTGTGAAGGCATTCTGGAATATTAGTTTTAGAAGGTGTAGTAGGTATCTCCTGAACACATATTTAACATATGCTCTTTCAGTAGTTCTTACCCCCCATATATCATGCTAGTAACAGTCAGAGATTTGCACTTAAGATATCATTTATCCCTTTGCTACCTCCAGTTAGGGTCTCTGAGATCTCATGTGTCTACATTTTTTAAGGGAAGGGGTGTTGTTCTTCCTACAAACAAGTGTGTTAGTTTGAATCCCACTCCTGCAATTATGCACAGCTCATTTGAGTTTAGAAAGCGTTGGTGAAAAATGTTTTTTACCTATTCTTCCTATAGTACCTACTACTTAATGAAGAAGTAAGACCTGAATGTGCCACAATTTTCTTTTCACTAGGACAACTGTGTTGTTTAAATTAAGTGAACAGATTAAGGGACAAATTGAGATTCTTGTCTCCTCAGGGTAACTGAGCCAGATAAAAGCAAATTATGTTGCTTCTGAAGAAGTACGTATTTAAAATATTACATATCTGCAGAATCAGTGTGAGAAATATGCATTAATCTTGACCCACTATCATTAAAAAATACCATCAGAGTGCAGCTACACAGCTGGATCTACAGTGTTATATCAGTGAGTCAGTTACCCTTATTGTCTGCAAGAACCTATATAATTACCTATGCAATTATTAGACTAAAATAACTTTTCAAGTGAGAATACCATTACATGTTCTGGTAAACTAGAGGACCCAAAGAGAAAGTAATGAAGGAGCATAATTGAATGTACTCCTTACATTACTTTTTGCTTTTAATCTACTTTGGAAAAAAGCAAGCATCAGAATGAAATTATAAAATAAGAGGAGAGTTATTCTATACCCCAAAACATCACAGAATCATGGAATCACAGGAGTTGGAAGGGATCTCTGGAGATCACCAAGTCCAACTCCCTGCCAAAGTAAATTCCATAGAGTAGTTACACAGGAAAGTATGAGCAAAAAGCCTGCTGTGATATATTGCTATACTTGGTATAGAAAGCAAGCCAGACATAGAGACCGCCACCAATTGATTTTTCATCCAGAACAAGCAAAAGAAGTGTCTCTAAGTTTCAGGAAGTACAAACAGTTTGTGGAAGATGGATTATTGTGGATAACGTGCAATTTTTATTTTCCCATATATGTCACCATTACAAAGAAAAATCACTGAGTGATGGAAGATGATGAAGACCCGGGATGGTGCCTAAATACATGCAGCAATGGGCAGCGTGGTCATTGACCAAAGGGTTGTGGTATCAGCCAGAGATGACTGTGACCTCACTGACCTTTGTGTATAAATTTTGTCGCCAGTAGAGACCAGCATGAACTTATGCCTGGATCGTAGTTGAGCACAGCTGTGAGTCTTGGAGCAATGGGTTGGGTTGTGCTGTAGGGCTGTCAGCAGCAGAGCAGCAGTTCTTGGTGCTCATCCCACAGCATCTCAAGTTTTTCCCTGGCCCCATCTGACTCAGGGAGCTAGGATGCACCTACAGTAGCAGAGGTGAGCAGTGTGGGGAACACAACCCTCAAGTTGGTCACAGGGAGCTAGGGCTGGGGGGTTACTGCTGCCTGCCCTGGGAACAGCAAGTGACAATGGCCTCCCTCTTTTTCTTTTGCAGTTTGTGACACTTTCTGCAGCTGCAGTGTCAGACAGACAAGGAGCTTCCTAACCTCATCTCTCCCCAGCTCACTGCACAGCCTGGGGACATGGAGGTGCCTATGGGCACAGTTGGGATGATGTGACCTACATGACCCCTGTCTCCAATAGTTTTGCTATGACGGTCTGCTCTGCTGAGTAAAGAAGCAGATCAGATGTGCCATATGCAGGCACAATATAAAGACCACCCAATACTCAGTGAAGTTGGACAACAATTCACAGAATCATAGAATCTACAAGGTTAGAAAAGACCTCCAAGATCATCCTGTCCATCTGTTCACTTATCACCAGTATTTCCCACTTTCCTCAGTACAAAATCGAAATGTTTCTTGAACACCTCCAGGGATAGTGATTCTACCTGGCCTGGGCAGGCCATTCATGTGCCTGACCACTCACTCGGAGAAGAAATATTTCCTAATGTCCAACCTGAATCACACCTGGTGCAACTTAAGCTTATTCCCTCTAGTTATTTATTGTTATTTACATGGGAGAAGAGGCCAACACTTATCTCACTACAACCTCCCTTCAGGTAGTTGTAAGAGCAACAGGCCCTGAGCCTCCTCTTGTCCAGGCTGAACAATTCCAGCTCTCTGAGTTGCTTTCCATAAGGCCTGTGCTCCAGATCCTTCACAGCTTTGTTGCCCTTCTCTGAACCCGTTCCAGGGTCTCAATGCCTTTCTTGTAGTGAGGAGTCCAAAACAATATGGACAGAGTACTCAAGGTGTACTTCCTGGCCACCTGGGCACACTGCTGGCTCATGTTCAGCCGAGCATCCACCAATGCCCTCAGGTCTGTTTTTCACATACAATCTTCCAGCCAATCTGCCCCAAGCCTCTAGCTCTCCCTGGAGTTGTTGTGGTCAAAGTGCAGGACCTGACACTCAGCTTCGTTAAATTTCATCCCACTGGCCTCAGCCCAGCCATTCAGCCTGTCCATATCGCCTTCCTTCCTCCAGGCAGATCGACACTTCCAGCCGACTTAGTGTCATCTGCAAATTTGCCGAGGATGCAGTGAACACCCTCATCCAGATCATCAATAAAGATATTGAATGGGACTTGCCCAGCACCGACCCCTGGGGAACACCACTTGTGACTGGTACCAGCTAGATGCAACTGCATTTACCACCATTCTCTGGCCTGGCCATCCAGCCAATTCTTTACCCAGCAGAGAGTGTATCTCTCCAAGCCAATGGCTGCCAGCTTCTCCAGGAAAATACTGTGGAGACAGTGTCAAAGGCTTTGCTGAAGTCTAGGTAGACTACATTAACAGCCTTTCCCTTGTCAACCAGGTGGGTCACTTGATCATAGAAAGAGATAGGGTTGGTCAAGCAGGACCTGCCTCTCATGATCCCATGCTGGCTAAGCCTGATCCCTCTTGTCCCACATATGTTGTGTGATCACACTCAAGATGATCTGCTCCATAACGTTACCTGACACTGAGGTCAGGCTGACAGGTCTGTAGCTCCCCAGATCCTTCTTACAACCCTTCTTGTAGATGGGAGTCACAGTGGCAAGCCTCCAATCCTCTAGGATCTCACCGGTTGACTATGCACACTGGTAGGTGATGGAAAGCAGCCAGGCTCTCGCTTCCACCAGTTCCCTCAGTACCCTTGGGTGGATCCCATCCAGCTCCATGGACTTATGGCAGTCCAACTGGAGTAGTAGGTCTCTGTTTCCACCTGAATCATGAGGGATTTATTCTTCTCCCCATCTGAGATTTCCAGAGTACCCCAAGGATAAATGGTCTGACTTTTAAAGGCAGTTGTAAAGAAGGCATTGAGAACTTCAGCCTTTTTCTTATCCTCAGTGGTCATTTTCCCGCCACATCCAGTAAAGGACGAAGGTTCTCCTTAGCCCTCCTTTTATTGTTAATATATTTGTAAGAAAATTTTTCGTTATCTTTTAGCTCAACATTCAAGTTGAATTCAAGCTGGGCTTTTGCCTTTCTAATTTTTTTTTCCCTGCATATCTTAACAACTTCTCTGTACTCTCCTTGAGTTGCCCTTCCCCTCTTCCACAGGAGGTAGGTTCTTTTCTCCTCTTGGAGACTCAAAAATCTTTTTCATCTATGCGGGTCTTCTTCCCCACCAGCTCATCTTGATGTTCCTGCAATTTTAAGACTTTCTTCTTGAGGAGCAACCAGTCTTCCAGGAACCCTCTATCCTTCAGGACTGAATCCCAAGGTACTCTCCCTACCAGTGTCCTAAAGAGTTCTTAGTCCACCCTCCAGAAGTGCAAGGTAGAAGTTCTGTTGCCCATCCTCCTGACTTTATCAAGAACCGAGAACTCTTCCATTTTACGGTCAGCCTGCCCAAGACAGCTCCCAACCTCCACATCTCTGTCCGTGAACAGCAGACCTAGTGTAGCACCTCACCTGGTAGGTTCTCTTACCAGCTGCATCAGGAAGCTATCTTCCATACACTCTAAAAACCCCCTAGACTGCTTTTTCTGCACTGTATTTCCAACATGTATCAGGGAAGCTGAAGTCTTCCATGAGACTTGAGGGCTGGCAATCATGCAACTTCCACCAGCTGCTCATAGAACATCTCATCTGTTTCTTCATCCTGGTTAGGCAGTCTGTAACAGACCCCCACCAGGATGTCTGCCTTGTTGGTCCTTCTCCTGATCCTTACCCATATCAACCTTAGCATTCCCCGCCTGAAGTTCACCAACATCAAAGCACTCTAACACAGAGAGGTACATCATCACCTCTCCTTCCTTGCCTACCCCTTCTGAAGAGCTTATAGCCATTCATTGCAGCACTCCAGTCATAGAATTGATCCCATCATTTTCCATTATGGCAACTAAGTCATAGTTTGCCTGAACCACAGCCTCCAGGCTCAGGAGTTTGGAAGGCTAACCTCAACCTCTTGGTCTGCCTCTGGGAAAAAAAAACAAATAAACAGAAAGAAAAAGTCTGTAATTCAATGCAAAGTTCAAGGCTCACAATGAAATTAACACAGGAACCATAGAGTAGTACCTTCCAAAAGTGAAATTAACACAGGAACCATGGAGTAGAACCTTCCAACACACTCTAAAAGCAAATAAATATGAAAAATGCCAACCTGTTACTTAGAACATACGAACCTGTGTGCCATCAATACTATTTCACTGAGGTATAAACTAAAAATTGGCTTAGAGTAGACCACAGAGAGAGTTCATGCCTATACTGGGTTCCTTGATGATGTCATCCCAGATACAGAACCTTGAACTTGTCTTTGTAAAATTTCATGCAGCTCTTGTTCGACCACACTTCCAGCCTGTCCCAGTCTCTGTAAGACATCTCTCCCTTCTGGCATGGTCACTTTATCATCATTATTAATTTAATTGTCCAGATCTTTTTTGCAGATATTCTACAGCATAGGGCCAAGTATTGATCCCTGGCAGATTCCACTTTTGCTAGCCTGCATGAAAACAACTGACCCCTCCCCTTTGAGTAACGCCTGTTGGCCCATTTCCATCTCCCAGACCATATATTCCCTCTACATCTAGCCAGTTTGCCTAGGATGAGACAGTGGGAAATAGTGTTGTGCTGGATCTCCCCAGGTGCCCGCTTCATTTGTTTGTAACATTCTCTAAGTGGATTCATTCCATTACTTTCACACGGTTTGAAGTGAGAATAATGGCCTCATAGTTTCTTGTATCCTCTTTTGGACCCCTCACGTAGATGGGTGTGACACATGCCCTCTAGCCTTACTGAAATTGCTTGCCAGTGTGTTTACTTACAGGATCAGAAATACGGTCAGTTACGTAAGTATATTGTACCATACTGATAAAACTGACCGCAGTTTGAAGACCCAAGGGCATGAGATGAAAGACAGAAACATCATGTAGCTATAATTTCAGACCCAGAAATTATTTTTACAATCTAGCGTAGAATCAGTAATGTCAAATTCCAAAGTTTATTAATCAATAGCCCTGTAAGCGTGAAAGGGATTCAAAACACGCGGTCTGATACTCAAGCAAGGAATGCCATATCCTGGAAGAACTGATAAGTTTTATTGCCATCAGTTACTTGCCCTATTACAACATACGGCATAATGTTCAAAAGCAAACAAGTGGTTGCAGTCCTTCTTGATATGATGCTACATGCTGCAGTGGTCTTGCAGTTCTTGGGCTGTTCAGACAGGGCTGAGCAGACATGGGATACTATAATAACTGGTCTCACACCATGCAGTTCCCACATAAGGAATAGGATTCATAAGAACAAACATACACAAGAAAAATCATCTGCAACTATTCAGTGTTTGACATCACCCTTATGTACTCTCTCTTAGGCTTTTTATCATCTATTTTATTATGGCAAAATAAAAAAAGTAGTGTTACTTTTAGTCTTAACATTAAAATCTTCCATTTTAAGGTTAAAATAAAAATGTATAGATGTTGCAGCCTTTACTATAAATTTAAATTACTAGTATATCTGATGGAAGCCTGAACTTTCTCTGCTCCATTAGTTAACAGAGCTTCTAGATACACATTTGTCTAAATAAAACTGTGCGAAAAACACCTGAATTTAAAGAACAGACATTAGAGATCTGGTATTATCTTTCAGCCCAGAAAAAAAAAAAGAGTGGTTTTTGAACCCCCTACAACATATTTAAACTTGCACTGAACAGAGCAATTTGGCCAAACAGCCATGTTTAGTATTTACAGAAGTATCTGGTAGGCAGCTCTAATGAAAACCAATGCTTAGTACTTCAAACATCTCAGAAGTTCAGAGTTAAAGATGTGGAAGACACAATTTTTTTTTCAAATTGCAATTAAAATCAACGTCCACTATATGTAGTAGCTCTAAGTCTACTGTAGAAGACACCTCCTTCTTCCTCTCAAGTAGAAGTTCTAAGTTATCTATACACCAGACTATACTGCATATTAAACAAATAAAACAAATTATTGTCAAGGAAATAAAAACACTAATCAAAACAATTGATTGTTCTTTCTTTTCTTCACTATAGGAGATAGGACTCAACTTTCATAATAAAAGCAAAAATTTGGTCAGTATTTTGACTTACCAGAATGTCCTTCTGCAACAGATTCTGAGGTAAAAAGAAACCGTTTTTCTTTTTTTGAGGCATGGCTTGACATGACTTTATATTTTCAGTGAGCCTGCAAATGAGAAAGACCAAAAGCAACTACAGAACAAGCCCAGACAGAAAACAAGGTGGAAAGGTTAATGTATATATGAAAGCAGCTGATGCAATAGCTTCCACCTTTGTTGCTCAGAAGATTAAGACTGATCTTTGAGAATTTTAAAGCACACCACTACAGAAACTCATAAGACTTAAATGTTTGCATAACCTTTGTCCTGTTAAACTCTGCAGAAGTGTTAAATGCAGAGATAGCTAAGCCAGAGTTGAACACCTTTGTTCATGTCCCAAATCCTTCATTCTTCCCTTCTTCTAAATGCTAAGTAAAAAGCACTTCAAGATGGCAAAAAAGCAATGAGATTTATTTGTAAGGGTAAATAAAGTTTTCTCTTAAACATAGTATCTACACTTAGCTTTTGCAATGAACTGTGCAGAAACATCTCCCTTTTATGTGAGAAGTTTATAACACCTCGGGGTGGTGAGCTGTCCTTCCCTAATAGTATTTTTGACAGTAGTTAAGTGAAGAGCTGTACAGTAATCACTGGAGATTCTTAGAGCCATCAGAGAAGGCAGTGTTCATTATAAACTACCTTAAATTCTGAGACTAAAATCTATACTCCTGCCCCAAACAGTGAATTTGTCAACAGTCAGGCTTTCTCACCTACTTTTACAGAACTCTTTTCTCCTACTGTTTTCCTTAGAGAGATGCACTGCAAACCAGAAGGATTCAAAGTATCTAAACAAAGTGAAGAGCTTTGCTCCCCCGAAAGCTCTGTGTTACATTAGCATATTTTAGGATGCATTGCAGTAGCATAATGGAGCACCCAAGTAAAACGCAGCATCAGAAATCATTTAGGAAACAGCAGGTGCATCTGGCCATGAAAATCCTCTTACCAATGAGCAGTTTTATGCTGCTGCAATTCATTATGTTGATCTCCGGTCACCAAACCTATTGCCACTTACAAAAATGGCGTTCCATGATGTAGGCATAATATACAGCAAAGAAAAAGGCACTGAGATACAGGTGGAGCAATACAACTGCAAGCCATACTGGCTGTCGTGAACAAAAAATATTACTCACCAGACCACTAGCAAATGTCTCACAAGTGGAAGGCAGGTATGGTAGCAAAAGCAGTAATAAATACAAACCACTTAGACAAATGAGCCAAAATCAATCTTCTTACACAGCATGGGGTTTTATACTGTGGCACGCTTGTTTCTTTTGCAACTGTATATTTTGTGTGGTAATATACGTATCTTCCAAAATCTGCGTATCAAATTTCCAGAAACAGTAACTGTAGAGTTTTTTTACAGTGAGCATGAGGCCTAAGAGAAGCTTTCACTTTGGAGATAATAAAATAGTTAATCTTGAGTTAAGCTCACTCAGACAAAAGTAGGATTAAGCAAAATTGTCTCTCAGTTGCAAGGATGGAAAAAGTGCTGCCTAACTGTGATAACTCAGGTGGTAGCTAGTATGTTACAATGAGCCAGCCCCCAGCAAAAAAAATCACCATTCTGCTGAAGGCAGAGTGATAACAAAAGAGGTAGTGGCAAGAGACTCGTTTTGGTTTTTTGTTTTTTTTTTTTTTAAAGTTCTGTTCTCATTTTAATAAATCTTCTGGGGCAAAAGTTTTCAGAACATAACACAAAGCAGCACCTATTCTCAGGACAATTGCTCATGTGTATGTGGAGAGCAATAAAAAGAAATATTTTAAACCACAGTTAATTATTGTCAGAAACACCATATGAAGACCATTAACTCACTTATTTAATTGTTTCTCTTTAGCTTCAAAGAGTACATTATAATACTATATGAAAATGAACTGATCATACAGAGATTTATGTCCTCGGAAGGATATCACTTCTGTGCCATACTCTTTGAGCTCAATTTGCATGTTATACAAAGCACTTCATGCAAACCAAATAGAAATATTCACATGAACTCTTCTATAATTAATTGATATTATTCTGCATTCTAAAATTCTTATGCATTACTTTGCGGTTTATACAGTTTCCATTCAACATATGCTTCTTGGCATGCTTTACAATGCACAACATTGCATATACTCCAACTTCATCTATGAATACTTATGGTGGGAAAAAAGAAAATATGTACAGAGCATAGTTAATCTTTATTAACCTTTTTAAGGAAAAATCTGAAAGACCACGGGTAAAAGGGAAACAGGGCAAAGGGAGGAGGTGCCAGGACAGGAGATATGCAGGGGCAGGAAGATGATGGAGAAAAAAAAGGAGGCACAAGTTGCCTGAATGAGACTAGAGCAAAGAGACACCCATGCAGCAAGAAGCATAGATGACAGTATAGGAGAAAGTATACCTTCAGAGGGATCACAGACAACGAATGGACCCCATTTCAGAGCGATGGAGTATGAAACACTCAACGTGCTGATGTCAGGAAGCAGTGAGAAGCGTCCACTGTGAATAAAGCATCTTTTCTACGTGTTCTTTTGTCTTCGTTATTTTTTCAATACCATAATCTTTTAAAAATTAAAAACTTGAAAATTAAAAACTAAAAACTCGAGATTTGGCAACAAATCAAGACAAATTTCTTGTAGCAAAGCCGTTCTGTTCCGAGGAAAGTTTTGTTTTACACTGTGGATATCACAGACAACATTTATTACTAGCTAATATGTTCTAGCAACTTCGACAGCTTCTGTAGGAGTCATTTTCATTTGCCTCTTAGACCAAGCATAAAAAACACTACTGATGTCACCAAGTTCAGAAAACTGCAATGAAAAATGGAGAGACCATTTAAAAATGAAATAATTTCAGTAGCTTCACTTTCAATGGTTTGCTCTGCAATCCAGAATCTCAAAAAGAAATTACTACTAGTGCCACAGAACTGTCTATCCCAACTGAAGTACACAATTTAGAGTTCGTTTGTGTTTGACACATTATTTCAGTATTTCAGCCAAAGGCCTGTCCCATTTTGTCTTACAAACTTATTTCTGCTGCAGTTCTGTTTTTTTTTTCACCATCTGTACTTTAGTTGAACTTTACTTCAACATGCTTGTTAAAAGAAATTCACTTTTCTGAGATTTCATGGTTGAATCATCCCATGCTACAGACGACAGGTAGGTTCTTCCAGGGATCTTCAGCAGAATGAAGAACAGCCATAGGGCTGTGGTTACAATTAGAGCTTTATTATTACACAAAAACATTAGTGATCAGCATACCTTATTGTATCTACAATTTCTAGCACTTAGCTTACAGTTAACCTAGAATTCCTACAATCTACCATAGCTATCTAATTACATAGAATACTTAGTTACCTGGACTTCTCAGTCACCTGGACACTCCGCAGATCATGTGTCAAATTCTCAATAATCAATCAACACACTACAATAATTACAGGCTACATTCAGGCTTTACCTAAAAGAACACATGCCACTCAATCCTCAGAAGTAGAAGATGATAGTAGAGATAGTAGAGGTGTCCATGGCCACTGATGGATCACAGGTTTTACTGTCCAGTAGCAGTTTTAACCCCAGTCCTTAGAAATGGTGCTGCTTGATTCTGAAAGTAATATTTCATATGCTTTTATCACATCCCTACTCTGTGACAGCTGTCACCACATGCTGGTGGCCCCAGCACCTAAGTTTTGATAACAATGGTGGACCACGTTGGTCACACCACCAACAGGAAGCTTGCCTGTCAACATCCTGGCACTAGAAATGGGGAGACAGAAAGCTGGCAGGGGCTGATATGTTACCAGCCTGTTTACATATTGTGGTTGCTTGTTAAACTTACTACCGTGGGTCAGAGCCAAGGAGTACCAGTCCCCAGCCACATACCTGCCTCAGGAAACTTCAGCAGAACATATGCTATTCTAACAGGCAACTATACTCATGTCTTTTTCTCTAGACTGTTGCTTGCCAACCCAAAAAAATTCCAGAGGTGATTCCCTAGATTCCTCTTCGCTAAGGCTCATGGCTAGTTCCAGTTCCTGACATGAGTCTCCCATGAGTATGCATTAGAAACCTGCTGCCCATTCCCCACCATTGCAGCTTTCTCCTCTGGCCTGAGTGCAGCCAAGATTGTCATTTTTTTTTTCACATTCTTCTTTCCAGGAAGAATGCATATCACCATCTCAGAGTGATCGGTTGTGCAATATAGGTAGGCTTGAAAGCTAACTTCCACCAGTTATAAAAGCAGAGCCAGCAGAGGCTGGGATGCTGCTGAATATCTCACAGGTTCTTCTATTTATTGCCTAAGACCATACTATCTTACTTCCAGTGTCTACTAACTCACTTGAATGCCAGATTTCAGCACTGTGAGATCTTTTAGCACGGACATACTTTGTGTGCTACTTAGCCTCTCCAGACCGAGTATCCCAGCCCGGGCAGTACTGCCACCAGTCCTTGCTGACCCCTGGAGAGAGCCCATCACTTCGTGCGAGCCTTCAGGCCTATCGCTGCCCACGCATACAGCTGCACTTCCCTGCTCTGGGCTGAGCGCACCAACGGACAGCAGTTGCCCGGCACAATCTTCCTCTCCAGACCTTTCACCATCTTCGTATCCCTTTTGGATGCATATATTTAAGTCCTCCTTATTCTGCGGCATCCAAACTGCACACAGCACGCGAGGCGAGGCAGCACCAGAACGGGGGGCGGGGCGATCCCCATGGAGGATGCAGGGCTCTGCCGGCCGGGGCTGACGCGTGCTGCGGGGCAGGGCCGCAGCCGGAAGCCTTGGCACCCCCGAGCTCCAGGCGGCGTTTTCCTCCTCGCAACCACTGTAGCGGGGCTAGCGGCTCTCGGCCCACTCCGCCGTCGCCCCCGCCCCGCGGCCGCCGTGCCGGGGGAGGTGCTGGCGGGGCGGGGCGCACCGCACCGGGCCCATGTCGGTTCCGCGGGCCGCCACGCCGGGCCCTGGCGGCGGGGCTAGGAAGATGGAGCTGGAGCTGGAGCTGGGGAGCAGCACGCAGACGTCGCACCGGCTGCTGGCCTACAGCGACGCGCTGCTGTCCATCATCGCCACGGTGATGGTGAGCGCCGGCCGTGGGGGCCTGCGCGGGGCCCGGGCCCTCTCCGACGGGCGGAGGCTGGGCGGGGAGGGACGGGTGCAGCACCCCGCTTGCCCCGGAGCCGCTGCCCTGCCTTAAGGACCGAACCCAGCGCCGTGCTCAGCTGCCGAGCTGTGTTTACGTTCCCCTCCCCCGCCCTTCTCCCTGGAGGGATCACCGCCGTCTGTAGGAGCAGCTCCAGGCGTTTGCGAGCAGGTTCCGCGAACAAGTTCGGGGGTAGCATTGCTCTTAATGAGTCGTTATACGAGCCCTGAGTATTTGCACCCTCCTGAAGTTCGTTAGGTTTTATAATGTTCTGACTTGTACTAATACAACTTTGTTATTTCAGATTTTGCCTGTGGCTCACACAAAAATACATCCCGATCAGGTACCTTCTTTGCCGTTTTTTGGTCATCTCTCAAGTCTTTGGAAATGAATTTTGCATCCTAATGCAACACCCTTCTTCCATGCATGACCTGAACTCCCAAACCATTAGTGTTAAGCCTCAAAGAGGAGCTGTATAGCCTGAAGTGAAGAACTTAGATGCTGAAGGCCTGTGTGGTTTACGAAAGCCATGATATAAAGCCTTAGTAAGACGTATGGAATATGCAGGCCATAGATCTTATGCAGTTATTTTGTATGGAAATGAATGACCTACCTCACTGAAGCATCTGTCAGAAAACATGATTGCATCTTGTTTGCAATACATCATCAGTTAGAGAAGCCACTTAGTACAGCATAAAATCAATGTGAGTTTTAAAATCAGGCTAATCATAACTAATCAGAATAAAGGTGGAAGAAAAAAGGACTACAGAAAATAAATCGAAAGAAGCTCGAGTGTTGGGCAGTGTAAGTTAATCATTTGAAAAGACTCACAGTTCCAAATCACAGTATGTGTTTCTGCTCTTAAAAACAGCCAGACTCAACTCTGAACATTTTGTCTAATTTACTTCAGGAGACTCAACTATGGTCCATGGTCATAGCAAATGTGCTGCATGAGTCTACGAGTAACTTCTTTTAATCTTTCATTTCTATCTGGGTGTAACTTCTTATTTTGTTTCAGAAACTAGGTGAAAGTGTTCAGCAACTTCTTCTAACAAAAATTGCGGTGTACTTGATGACCTTCTTAATAGTCACAGTGGCATGGGCAGCACATGTAAGGTAGGATGACAGAAAAATGTTGAACTCCATTGCAAAGTTAAAGAAAAGTTCTTGTTTAAAAAGTTGGGAAGTAACGTTTTTATGTTGCTGTTATGTTTCTGGATTTTCTTAGTATAAAAATTCTTCCTAAAGCCATGAATAAATATATTTCTCTACAATGGAAACTGTGATATGAGAAAAAAACAAGCATTATATGTCTTTAAAATTAGAATTGCTCTTTATTTCACTTAATAGTTTCAGTGGAATTAAAATTATGCTGAAAAATTGACAATTGTGAGGTTGTGAAGTATGGAAATAGAAGAACTCAGTATAGCCAGCTTAAAATTTGACTTTCTCTGTCCTAAGGGGTGCTTCTTGCAAAATCAAATGTGATGTTATAGGTGCAGCATTTTACAGTGCTGTGTGTGCTGCCACTGCACTGTATCTGAGTAGCTAAATGAATATGCAGAGATGAATTAATTTACAAACATTCACTGGAAGTGGGGCAGCAAGCAAGTTTTTTCTTCTATGCCATAGTGTTCTAAGAGTTTTTAAGAGTAAGGTCAGCTGGTCCTTTTTCAAATCCATTAAAAACAATGTGGATTGTGTTCTAGTGAAATCACTAAAAATTACCTCTTTGCTTTCTTTAGAGCTCAGCTATTTGTAGGCAGTTCTGATTTGCCATTTTTCCCCCTAGTATCATTCCCAAACATATATGGTAATTAAGTGGAAAGCAATTATAACCCAATGCAACATATTTTTTTCTTCAAACATATATATATTAATCCTTACTGTATGCCTTGCAGTGTTAACAAGTGAGATGGAATGTTGCCATTGGTCTTTGTTTGCTATAATTCCTTTTGAGTAAAGAGATAAACCTCTACATTCTTAAGGAAAATGAAAAGCATAATTAAGTGCTTTAAGTCAGCTAGAAAGCTGTGAGTGGATAGTATAGTTTTAAAGGACTCATGACCTGAATAAATGTTACTCTCACTATAGTGTTGCTAGGCTCCTCTCAGTCAAGCTAAAAATCAAGGTAACTGCATCTTACTCTCTGCTCAAGTAACTCTGCAGCTTACTGGAATCAGGGCAGTGTTTGTTTGAATTCTTAAAATATATAAATGTTGCTACATTCCTTCCCTTAAGGAAGTGGATTGATTCCATCCTCATAGAGATGCAGCCTGTAATTCAATTCCTGAAACTGGTCACATCAGTGCTTTTGTTACAATGTACTTCTTGCCTGCATAAATAAATGTTGAAGGATGGTTTTTAAGAAATTTGTTGGTTTTTTTTTGTTGTTGTTGTGGAGGGTGGTGGGTGCCATTGATTCTTAGTAATGCTTATGTACATCAGGAGCTTCATTAACAAGATGTGTGGCAGTTTGGAAGAGTTCATTTGCTTTGTGCAACAACTTGTGCTGTATCTTCAGGAGAAGTAGTTTTAAGCCTTGAAGTTCTGCAGATAATCAGGCCCTAACAGCATGAACTTAACTCCGTTCTACAAGTGAGATTCAGAGAAAATGACAAAAATAGCTCTTCACAATGGCATATGAGGCTGAGTTCAGAGACTTTGGATGGTCTCTGAAATCTGCATCTTGCAGACCAGTGCAGTCCTATTGCTTGGATTCTGTCACAACATACTTTAGCACCTGAAAAGTGAAAAGTCAACCTGATGACTGTATATTTGTTTGTGGATCTGAGTATCAAGTGGACTTGATATGGTACTTGTGCATGAATCCCAATATCTTTGATTTTGCTGAAGTGTGACACCCATTTGTAGCCCTATGCCTTATTAGGATTTTGGTATGTGACTAGATGGATCAGTGCTGCCATCTTCATTGCTCTTTGACAACAGAATTGGCTTTAGATAACAGTTAATTTTACTTTGCATCTACCTTTGTACAAGTGAGGTGGAAGGTTAGAACTCAAATATCAGGTGCAGTGGAAGGATAGAACAGACACACACATGCAAAAAAAAACCAAGTTGGTATGTCTTATGCTACATCTCCTTTAAACAGAAGTGAATTGCTCAGCAATTGATCTAGCTTTTCAGATTTTTCTAGCAAGTGACTTCATGCTTGATTGAGTTTTGGTAGCATTTTAATTACTTGCATAAGTTCTAGAGCAGGGGAAGTCAGATTTCTCTATACTGCGTATATAAATTGTATGCTGTGTTGCAGTGCAGATTTTTGGATCTGTCCTGTTCATGATATCTTGTCTTGCCAGGTTATTCCAGGTGATAGAGCTTATAGATGATGTCCTTGCTCTTCTAAATCTGGTGAGTATTACCAGGTATGCTTGGTGATTAACCATCAAATATATGCCACTTTTTCCTTAGTATGCGTCTATGAAACAGAAGGCTTCTAATTAACTCTGCCAAAGTTCCTGCCAAAGGCAGGAGAAAAATAGAATTCCTCCTAGGCAGACTTGTGATAGAAAGCTAACTTGCTTGTATTTTGCATGTGTTTTACTGTAAGCTAAAAGAACCTCTGCACTTCAACTGGAGGAACTAAGAGGCGCCTAGGCAGAAAGATTTTGACCCTTGCGGTCAGCATTGCTCACGTATGTCCTCTATGTAATGCTGTGTCATTTGTAGCAAAAATCAGAGCTGTGAATCCGAGTTTCAGTTGTGATTTCAGCCATTTTTCTGTTGAAATTCATTGTGGAGTGTATTTAAAACAGTATTATATGGTCTTACTGCTGAGATAGCAGTCTCTAAAGCAGTGTTTTGATTTCTCTTTCCTAAATCTCATATGAATTCCTCACTTATCTGAGAGGGTGTCTATATGAGCCATGCTGCAATGCCTTGGTTGCTGATAGATGTAATGGAATGCTACCCTGGGGTACATATTCTTGTTTTAGCTAGAGCTTTGTAAAAAGGTGTAAAATGTTGTTCTATTGACATTGCAATCACAGCTCCTTTAATTTTTATCAAAAAAAAATTCTGAATGTAAGTTCCTTGAGAACAATGCAGGAAATTAGGTAGGAAGAGCTACTTAAAGCATGTAACTCTTCACTAATTTACCCTTTAAAGCAGTGTCTGCTGTAAGCTTTTGTTGTTGTTTTTTAACTTGACTTTACTATGTCTGAGATATTTGTGATCAAAAGTTAATAGCTTTGGCTAGGGAAAACCAGAAGCACCTCTTAAAGATTCTGTATGGTACTTTGGGCAAAGAAATCTAGCAAGAGATCTGCTACAAGCCACAGACAAATCTCTTATCAATAGTACTGGTAAGAAAGCTGTAGTGTTTTCTGAAGTAAACCTGAACACTTTGGGATAGGAGACATGAAAGGTGGGTTTGAAACTAGCCATATGTTATAGTAATAGCTCAGCAACTTCAGAAATGTTTTGTTCATGATGCAGCATTTGAGCTTTTGTGTTGCATACTCTGTTTTGAATTATGTGATTGTTTGCTTGTAGTTTACCTAGATTTTCAGTATGTTTTTTCTTTTTCAAGGCCTGTATGATGATCATAACTTTCTTGCCATACACAGTAAGTACTTTTCCAAAATTCGACATGTATTTAAATTACTGGGTTTTTTTTTTCTATTTGGAATGACTTCACTAAAGTATTCAGAAAACCAGGATAGTATTACTATAGTGTAAACCCAGAATCCATTGTAATAGTTAATTTTGTAATTAATTTGTTAATCCTTAATTTTTGAAAATTCACAATGTTATTATCTGCAACTACAGCAGACCAAGTAGAAGATGGATATTGAAGCAAAAAGTGTAATCATAAAAAGGCATAGTTTGTCATGTTTTCTTTAAAACAAGTGGATGTATTGAGAGATGTCAAAGTTGAGAGAATTTTGCATTTTGTAAGGAAACTAAAGCTGTGTTTCATACTGCTCTGCAATTTTTGGTCAGATAACCTAGGGAGAATAATTGCAACTGAACACCACAATTAGCAAAACAAAACAGTTGTTTAAAATGATTGTTCATTTCTATTGCATGTTTAGAACAGATTAAATGACAGGCTGTTTCTTTGTGGATAAATCTCTGTTATTATTACTCTACAAAGAATAAGGCTGTGGTCAATAGAAGGGCCTCTGTCAGCAAGCGTATATACTTTGTTCTTTGCTTTCTAGCTGAAATAGTTTTTATAAGGTTGGCACTGTTATCTAATACCAATTCCTAATGGTTTGTTTGTTGGTTTCCTTTTTTTTTTTTTTTTTTTCCTTCTTTTGTTTTCATGCAACGGAGCTACAGAAATAAATAAGGCATGCAGCCATGAAGTTAGAGGAATAAAAAGATTCAACAAAGTGTTCTAATATTAAGACGGCTCAGTTACAGACATATACCTACTGAAATGTTGTTAAACTTCTTGCTCAGCTGCAAAGCAGTTTGTAGTTACTGGGAAGACATAGCATCAGTGAGGTTAAGATTTACAGAATCAACCCGAGAGCAAAGCCACCTCTTCAGACACCTTCAGCTGGGATGCTTGCATGTGTTTGTGGCTAGAGACTGCATGTAGTGGAGCTGCACTGGAAAGCAAAGCGTTATTTATGTTTTTAAGTTTCAGTATCAAATGAAGAATATTTCATTCCTAATTGCTACCTAGCAGCATGTTTGATCTGGTTGCTTTATCTTCTAGTTTTCCTTAATGGCCTCGTTTCCAGGGGTGCCTTTTGGAATTTTCCTGTTCAGTGTCTGTGCTGTTGTCATTGGCCTTATACAGGTAAGTCATCTGATTACATTTTCTCTTTTAGAGGCTATATTTTATTGAATGGAACTAAAGTCCAGTTTGTTAGCTACAGATATAAACGGACAAGTACCTTTTTTTGTTTGTACAGCAGTAGTTATTGTGGATAGTTACCTGTCGATGACATGAGTGATTGCATTACTACTGTCCTGTGCAGCTCCCTTATGCAACAGATCTTTTGATCTAAAGTTTGGAATTCTTTCCTCACTCTTCAAAAGTTTTAAAATTGGCCAACTTGGCAGCAATGGCTGAGGGGCCATAGGCTTTCTGCCTCTGTTTTAAGTACTTGACAATGGCTCTGGTTTCTCCTGGGGTAGTCACTAGTTGCCTTCTGTGTCTTATTGTGAAGAATATTGTTGAATGTATTCTGGAATTTGTTGATTTACAGTTTTAAAATTGAAATGCTGTGTATGCTTGTATCAATTATTTTCAGTAACTCGCAATTATGACATTTTTCTTGCAGGCTGTGATAGTAGTGTATGGATTCTATCACCCACACTTATTGAATCAGCAGATACAGGTGTCTGAAAATCAGAACTTCTATAAACGTCACATCCTAAAGATTATCCTAAGAGGACCAGTTTTATGCTTTTTAGCAGCCATCTTTTCTTTTTTCTTTATTCCCTTGGTAAGTTCTTCCACTCATCCGAGTACATTGATGAAGCAGCTTATATTAGCTGTGCTTACGGTTATTGTTAAAACTGTATGTTAAAATAATTATCTGTGTGTTAAATATGCAGATTTTCTCAGTTGCCAATTCTGTGGTGATGTGATTATGGTCTGTATTCTGTGTTGAGCACATTCAGTTCACGGAGACCAATCCCTAGACTGAGTTTGTATAGGTTTTGGAGGAGTTTTTTGCTACAGTGTTTGCTTAACTCAGTCTAGGTGTTCATAATGGTTTCCTTAATTACTTCTCAGAAGCAGATTTTTTAAAATGTAAGTTAGAATCTTTCTTATCATAAGTAAGTTATACGATGTGAAAGGCTACAGTGAAAGGAAGTGAGCTTCATATTGCACAAACTGAAAAGAGGTGAACATAATTGTTGTATTTGCAAGATTTAGGAGCAAATAGAGTAAGCAGACCAACCAGCCTAATCGCATCTCAGAACAAATGCTTTTGGCTGTCTTGCTTTTACATAGCCTTTTTCTCTACCATCTTTATTAAATGCTGGAGTTACTCTTACATATTCATAGCTCTTATTTTTCTCAAAATCTCTGCTTGGAACTGGAATCTAGCTTTTAATATGCTCAGAGTTTCCTTTCCTCTGTCTTGTTCTTTAGGAATAGATGGATTTAAATGAGTTTTTAAATACACCGTCATAGTTCCCAAATTTGGCAAGAGTTGGATCTGTAACTAGTCTTTTTTTGCAGAAGTAACAATCCAAGTGTGAAAATGCCTGACTGTAACTGAAAATACTTCTCTCATCTGGGACTTCACTGTTATTCTCCACTCTTGTTCACAAATACAATTTTTTTTTTTTTTTTAAACATTAACAACAGTAAAATATTAATGAGAACTTGGACTTGTGCAGAATCTGTGAACAACATTTGACTGTCTTCGGACAGAAGTAGCATGCAGACTGATGCAGCTTATGCAAGCTCCCCCAGCAGTCAGTTGGCATGGTGGGTCAGCATAATGGTTACATACTTCAAAAACAAGTTCAGGAGACGGGTACTTAAATCATGCTCTTTGTGGGGGGAACTTGCTGAGATGTATTTAAATTTCAGGGAGGTGTGGGTATTTTTATAATAAAGACATTTCACAGAAATGCTTAACATAGGTACAGCCTTCATCAAAGATATAAAGGAACTGGAAGAGATTTGAGCTTTTTCATGAAATCTTTATAGAGTAGTGGTCAAAATTTGCAAAGCACTCTGCCCTTGGGAGTGTCTCTCACAGCTGTTTCTGTTTCCTAACTTAAGAAACCCTTACACTTCTCTGTCACCACCACCCTTTTTTCAGTGCAGCTTTCTGAGCAGCCTGCTGGAAATATAAAGTGATTTGACAAAAAGCAATTGCAGGCTTGGTTTTATTATTTTTTCTACTTGTAAAGCAGTAGAGATTCCCTGACCTCATTATTACATGGTTATCCGAACACTTTTGCCAGAGATTTAAGAGATTTAATTGGGAAACGTGGTATTGCAATTTAAGTGACAAATGCCAGGTATCACTAGGAACATGTGGTAGTTCTCTAACTTCCTGTTTTAGCTTGGTTTGCTGATTTTATTAAATTTGCTATCAAAAAGTGGTAGCATTCAAGATGTGCATGTTGATATCAGATGAGTTATTTTCACACCATAAAATCACAATTTTCTTTTTCTCCATGAGATTATAACTAAGGATTGTGAATAATGGTTTCATATTAAATTTGGGGAGAAATTTATGTTTTGATTATTAAATTTAAATTCTCTTCATTTTTTTTTCCATAGTCTTACCTACTTCTTGGGCTCGTAATCGTTTTTCCACATCTCAGTCGATTCATAACATGGTGTAAAACCAAGATTGTAGGTGAGTATTTACAGGGAGTGTATTCAAATGTTCAGTTACTAGGTTGTCAAATTGTTATCCAAACAGCATGGAATGATGTAATTTCAATACTTCCAATCTCAGTCTTGGAATATAATGATTTGGGGAACGTGGGAATTTTATTTAGCTGTATTTCCATTTTCTCCTCAGCTGCCTGCTTACCTTCTGTTTCCTACTGGATTTGTATAGCATATATGTTACAGCATCGTTTCTGAAAGTGAAACCTCTCTTGGTTTGTCCTGAATGTTATACACACACAAAAACAGAGTGATGACTGCAGGCTGTCTATCCCTTTTCTTTCCTTAAAGGAGAGTGTGAGGACAGAAAAATACAGCAAGCAAGCTCTGTGCCTGCATGACTTTCTTTTCAGCAGTACTCTATGGTCCCATGTTCTCTGGCATCCAACAGCACATCTGAGATTCTGGAATCATAGAATCACCAGGATTGGAAAAAGCTTCCAAGATCATCCACAATGTCTTTGAGAACCTACTGCTGTTAGGTTATTCTGGGGTATATAGCACAGCATCTGAATAGGGCTTTTTGACTTATTCTCCTTCAGAGGAAAAATTGACTTTTCTGTTCATGAAGCACTTGTCCTGTTCAGGGAGAGTCACAACTGCAGGAAAAATATGGTTCTATGAAAAAAAGTGGAACGACTGACTTGGGTGCGTGAGCAGCCCCCTCCTTTCTATATAAAGATTTTGTCAGGTGTGGTGAAAGACAGTAGGTGGGGAAATCATGGCAGCTTTGTTGTTCTTATGTTGATTCATATATATGTATTTTTTCCTTTAACTATCTCATTTTGTAACTTCTGATTTTTGTCTGTCTTTAGTATAAAAACACCCAGATGTTTTTTCCAGGTCCCAGAGATGAAGAGGAGGCAAGCTATAGCTTAGAAACCTTTAGTTTTTACCTCAGTGAGCCTCTGAGTAAGGAACGGGTAGAAGCATTCAGTGATGGAGTCTATGCTATTGTAGCAACCTTGCTCATTTTGGATATCTGGTAAGGCTCTGTGCTGACTCTCACAACCTGTATTGTGAACTGTAATATCAATTTGTATATGCATGTAATGTTTGAAGAAATAAAGCCGGCTAAATATTGACACTCACTTTTAAAATCTGCAGTAGTGACCGTAAGTGTAATTTTCCAGAAAGAGCACCTCCTACATGTCAGCACTAATGATCATCAGTCTATGTAATGTATGTTGGGGACTCCTGAAGAACAAAGCTTCCTTTATATTTCATTGTGTTTTCAGATAAAAAGACTTTTGTCAGGAAAAGCTGTGTTCCTGTGGCAACTTTATTATATTAATCTGAAGGAATGCCAGCTTACTTTTCAAATTTCCTTTCATATCTAATTTATTTGCAGATCTTTTATTTGAAATGCCCATGCTGAGTTAAAAATTGGAGAACTACAGACAGATATGTATTCTTCTCTATCTTCTCAAAGTAAAACAACATAGAACATTTTTGGTCCAGGTGTGTTTTATGAAAGTAAACTAAGTTTTCTTTCCATAGTGAAGACAACGTTCCTGATCCAAGAGAAGTTGGGGAGAAGTTTCATGGAAGCCTTCTTGAAGCTTTAAGTGAATACGGACCAAACTATCTTGCCTACTTTGGTTCTTTTGTGACAATTGGTCTCTTGTGGTTTGTCCATCACTCGCTTTTCCTGTATGTAACAAAAGCTACACGATTAATGGGACTGCTTAATATACTTTCGTTGGCTTTCATTGGTGGTCTTCCGCTGGCTTACCAGCTGACCAGTGAATTTGCAGAGAAGTCACACAATGAGATAGAAGCTATTCAGGTCAGCTGTGTAATTACTTTCTTTGCCAGCATATTTCAGTTTGCAATATGGACTACAGCTCTCCTCCATGAAAGGGAAACATTGCATCCTTTTGCTAGATATGGTGGCAAGGAGCATGCCTTCATGTTTGCCAAGCTGGCTCTCTACCCTTGTGTGAGCCTTGGGGCCTTCTTTCTAACATGCTTGTTAAGTGAATTTAGCACAGAAATTTTCCATCTTATGCAGATTGTAATCCCATTTGCTTTTCTTGCCTTGCGCATTTTTGTCAGGATTTCTTTAACTGTCATAAAGTCTGTGATGTCTCTTTCCAGACGGAAGGTTGTATTGTTAGAAGAAGAGGAGGCATGTTTGTCTCCTACTGAAACACACTCATAAATTTCCATGCAGTGCATGTGAAGTTAAATCATTAATTTCAGTTCTTCTAACTCATGTTGTCTTGATGTGTGATCTGTATATTGATCTAAATTAAAGCTTGTGTTGACCATAACTGGAGTGTATTTTAATTTTAGCTGGTCATGCCTAAAAGCCTTTCTGTAAAACCAGTAATAAGGGGGTGAGTGAGGAAAGAGTAAGTGGGGAAAACAGAAAGCATGTTCCCCTATCTTGAAAATTACCTTTTGGGAAAAAAAATGCTGCTTGAAGTGTAACTGCAGTGATAGTGATGGTGTACACAGATACCCAGTAAAATGCCTTTCTCTGATGTGCAGTAGTCAGTATGGAAACAAAACACAGGTATAGAAGCTGATTATGCTGCTATAAAATAGGAAGAAAGGCTTGGCAGATGTGATGGACACTTCTGGTTTTCTGGATGGTGTATCATAACAGGACATTTGTGTATACAGATTGCTGGTCTCTGCTCTCACCCCTTTATTCTAAGTCAACGGCAGCGCTTCTCAATAGCCAGTGATCATTTTGAAAAGCTCCTTTTGAACAGTTTTGAACTTCTCTTGAGAGTTGAGAATTGAATTGTGTATGCAGGCCCCCAGGCTACCTAAACAAAAGTTCAGTTACATTCTTTTTAAAAATGATGTATTTAAAATAAGAGGATTCGTGGCTGCACATGCAGGGTTTGAACTAGCTTTGATGTCTCCTAGGGAAGAAATTTGAAGAGCTGTGAGACTAAGTAAATTTGTCTTCAGTTCTCAAGCAAATCTACATCTGAAATGAAAGGTTTGGATTTCTCAGGCTTTCAGCATCTGCTCTCATGCCATAGAAAGGAACCTCTTTTTGTTCATGTGAAAGCATGATGCTATATTCTGATAGAACGTGACTTTCTTGACATGTGTAACAATTCTCCAGTGGAAAAGAGAATTGAGTTGGTCTTTCACAAGAGGCTAGATAAGCAATAGTGAAACTCCTAAGGAACTAACTGGTAGAAGTTCTAGTCTACTGGACATTGGTATTTTTAAAGTTTATGTACTGATGCTCAAACTTTTTCTGTGGATAGCTGTTTAAGAAGGAGCAGCTAAATTTATCCAGGCTCTGGCTATCCTCTGGAAGGCTTTACATTTCTTTTTGGTATAGGCATTAGTTCGTACTTTGAACTTAGTGCCTGATAACCTTAATGCCACGTTTAAAAGCAGTTGGGGGATTTTGGTGTTCCTCTTGAAAAGGAATAACAAAAACAATAGAAAAAAAGCAACACAGTCCTGCAGTAAATAATGCTTGGAATAATTATTAGTGAAAACAAATTTAAATACCTACTTTCAGTTGACATTACTCTAAAAGCATTTTTTGCTTTTGGTTTGAAGCATCAGTGTATTGTATGCTTACTGTAAGATAAACCTTCAGATACGCAAGAGTTTTATACCTGGTTGAGGCTAAATGACTTGCAGTAGGATTCTGTGTTGTGTAATGTATTGCTGTTTTTTTTTCTTATAACTAATAAAAGCACTTTGGTTCTATACAGTTTTGTTTCTATGGTTCAGTTGGCACATAGGCAGTGAATATCTGTACCGGTAATAAATTTCAACCGTTGAAGAAAATAGCAAAACTTCCACCCCTTTACTTCTGCTCTGCAGATGACATTTGAATCAAATCTATTTTCTGCCTGAGTCCAACCTAAGTCTCCTCTCTTTTCGTTCAAAACCATTCCTCCTTATCATATAACTATCGGGCCATGCAGAGTGCCAGTTTCCCTCCTTAAGTTTCTGACAAGTACTGGAAGGTCAGAGTGAGGTCTCCCCGGAGCCTTCTCTTCTTCAGGCTGAACAAGGCTGGCTCCCTCAACCTTTCTTCAGAGGAGCGATGCTCCGGCCCTCTGAGCATCTTCGGGGCCTCCTCTGGATCCGTTCCAGCAGCTCCATATCCTTGTGCTGAGGGCTCCGGCTCCGGACACAGTGCTGTAGATGCAAGGAAGTGCAGAAGGGGTACAATCTTGTAACCCATACAACTGGAGGACGCTTTGCCCCTTCTATTATATCATCTGTGCGTTCTTGTAGTTATTCGTTTCTGAAAAGCTGACTTATCCAAAATTCGGGAACAGATTCATTAAGTTCAACGCGGCGCTGGCGAGCAGGCACGCTTTATTTACTGCGTCACATAATAGGGACGGGCAGGAAGGCGGGTAAAGCGGCGCGCAGGACCGGCTTTCCTTCCGCTCCCTTCCGCCGCAGCCCCGCTTTCTGCTGCCAGTTCCGCCGCCAGGATGATTCCACCGGTGCAGGTCTCGCCCCTCATCAAGGTGAGGCCGCGGCAGCCCCTGCCGCCATCCCGCTCCGCTCCGCAATTCTGCGGGCCGGGCCGGGCCGGGCCGGGCATGGTGGCAGCGGCGGCGGCGGCGGCTGAGCGCGGGGTGCGCCCTTGTCTTTTGCTCCCCGCAGTTCACCCGGTACTCAGCGCTGCTCGTGGGGATGATCTACGGCAAGAAGCGATACGGTGAGTGCGGCGGCCCTTGGCCCCGCGGCCCACTCCTCCCCTCCCTCCCCAAGGGCACCTTGAGGCGGCCGCCATTTCCCTCCCCCCCCCGGGGGAAGGCGTCCCGTGTGCGGCCCTGCCGCCCCTTCCCTCTTGGCTTGGGTTTTCTTTGCGAGCGAGTTTGAGCCTCACTGCTGCCCCGAGCCTCAGCAGCTGTGTTTTTAACCGTGTGTGTTAACGGCAGACTACCTAAAGCCTATTGCTGAGGAGGAGAGAAGGATAGAGGCGGAGGAGAAGAAGAAGCGCGAGGAGCTCGAACGGATCGCAAAGGAACTGGCAGAAGGTGGGCTCTTGGGTGGGATTGTTCGCCCTCATTAGGGTACAGTTCACCCTGAGGCGGCTGATGACTAAAGCCAGAGGTCCTGGGCCACTGCTTCTGTCTGCAGCTCACTTGGCTGTGCCATCACTAGCGTAGGTGTAGAGGTTGACTTCAGTTCTGGTGTCCTTCACATCAGGACTGCTGCTTTTCTCATTCCCACCGTACAGCATTACTGCAGCAGCATGCTTTCTTTTTTCCTTAGGATTATTTCTTTAATCCTCTATGCCTTTCTAATATATACAGAATAGCTGTGAGTTAAATGGACTTACAGAAAGGAAAAACTTGAACAGAACTGACTGGTAACTCTCACTAGTTTTGGTGTAGCTTCACAGTGTTTCTCTGGGAAATACTGACATTTGTGTTGTCTTGAAAAAAGATTAATGTTGAACAAAACCCTGTGAAAAAACAAACTTGAGTGAACTACACATACATACAATCAAATATTCAAGCTGTTGAATGGCTTTCTTAGATAAAGCTATTTAGCATCTTGAATGTGTAGCTTTCATTGAACTTTGTACTTGTATCTTTGGGGTATTTACTTAGCTGAAGAATTTTGCTTTTTTGGGGACAGAAGCTGTCCTGTAAGGACTGGTAGTTCATTTAGAAGTGGAGTTCTGTGATTATTTCTTTAGGATGTTTATTTAAATATTATATAGGCTGGCTGTTAGCTTTCCCAGCAGTGGCATGATACAGTTCTCGGTAAGAAAAGCAGTTCTTAGAACTTGAATCAGTGCAGTGCAGCAGTTGAAGATTGTTCTTCCAAGATGGATAAATGGAAGCATCTGTGCTGATGACTTTCAGGGCTTATCTGAATTGTCATTTCAGAAGGTTGTTACTTAACCAGTGAGCAAGGCAAAAGAACTTGCTTTTACCCTACAGCAATGAAATACACTTCAGTTGAGTTAGCAGAAGCAGAAATTACAAAAACCAGCTAGAAAGAAATGGCATATTTAAAGCTAATCTTTGATCCCACAAGTGTTCTGCATGTTTTAGTAGTTTAGTAGCAATGGAAGTTACGAGTAATCTTAACTATGTTTGTTTTTCTTCCCTTCTAGCATCTGAAGATTCCATTTTGAAATAAAGGATTGGATCTTAATTTTAGATACATGGCTAGGCTCTGAATGGTGTAGTGGTTGATGGTCTCTGCATGTTACTCTACCAATAAAGTACTTAACCACGCTTCAGTTGGTATTTTTGACTAAATTGCACAGAGCAACAACAGAAGTATTTACACAGTGTCAAAGATTGCACTGGTCAGAAGCTGACCATCACAGCTGCTGATGAAACAATTTGTGTATTCCTCTTTCAACAGAGATAGTCTCCACACTAGTTACACTCCGGGAATGTTGTGATCAGGAAATTCATAGATTTTAAAACACACAGGAGTCCATGGAGAAGGCTAGCATTGCACTGGTTGCCTGTACCTTTGTTTTAACTAGCTTAAATAGAGTATTGCTGTGATATTTTTTCAGTCTTTTTAACCACAGTGGAAAATGGTACTGCTTTTGCTTTTGACAGTTACAGACAAATTTGACTTTGATTTGTCAAGCTGTTCTGTAACATGAGGAATTAGTATTGACTTAATAGCTTGTTTTTAACAGTTGTCTTTCACAATTTCACAAATGGTCAAGTGCTCCCTGAAACTAAGAAAAATTGCCATCTGATTGTAGTTTTATCTGTAAAACAGGGCTGGCTATACTTATGTGACTGAAGTTTAAAAGCTATTAGCCTTTAACCACTAATTTAGTAGCATTTCTTCCTTTGGAAAGCTGAGTGGAGGTGGAACTGTTCCTCTCCTGCCTTACTGAAAGGAGAACAGTGTTTCTCAGCTTTAGATGGAGTCAGAACCTTGCCAGCTTGGGAACAACAATGAGCACATCTTCCAGATCCATGTGAAATGGCTGAAAACAGAGCTGTACTCCCTGCTTTCCTAGGACCTTTCTATCTCTGTCCTTCAGCTCCTATCCAAGAAACACCCCCACACATGCCCTACTTCCAGTCTCACAGGGGTATTAATTTCCAGCCTCTGCTTTAAAAGCAACTATGACCTGTCCACATTAGCTCCTGCCATGAGATCCCTATAAACAAGACTCCTTTCCTTGTCTCCCACTGGTGCTGAGAGCTGATTGAAAAGTTGAAAACCTCTCCTGGGCTGCTGAGGGGGAACCATGCCAGGTGTCAGTCTTGTCTAACTGGCCAGTATCTTAAGTGGGAAGCAAAGTATACGTGTAGTTCTTGACAGTGCAACAAGATGTAGAGACATTTGTTAGTGAAGGCTTGCTGATCAGAAGGAACAGCTGTTCCAATGTTCTGGCAAAAAGATGATGCAGTTAAATATAACCATTTTAGAAAAAAAAAAAAAAAAAAAAAAAAAAAGGATTGCATGACCTTGTCTGTGATGCAAGAAAGTCAGTGTTCCTCTCAAACACTTAGCAAATACTGGACACTGGGAGTGAGAGACGTAGGGACAGGCAGGGAGAACCTCCGTCCATAATGGAAGGGTTTCTTCCCTTCAGTTGATCCACTCCGGGCCATTATAGCTAATGGGAGCATCCATAAATTAAGCTGAGTGTGATAGTGTGATGGGGAACACAAAAACACCAGATATCTGCTGGCTTGAGGGCAAGGAGCATCTGTAAGAAGCACAGCTGGGACCTTGAAGTGCAGCTGCGCTCCTGTGAACTTGGCATGGCTGAGATAGCCTTGCTAAGTGCAAAACCACAGAAGTGCAATGACAAACTTACTGTCTAGAATGGTGGAACTCAGTCTGAACATGTGGAAATTGGCATCAGCTATAGACTGCTGAAGCTGGAAATATAGAAAAAGCAGTCTGAAAAAGTCAAAACTATTCTGGGAAAATAGACAACTGCATTGTCTATGGGCTATTCCAGTTGAATCATAGAAGTCAGCAACATCTATTGGCTGCTCAGGTGATGGTGGTGTCCTACACTCACTTATGTCTGCAATGACTTAAAAATGTCTCTTTCTACTCAAAATGTAGCATCTTTCTGAGACCCCCCTCTGTAAACCTCTCTGTGTCAGACCTGCATGAGCCGGAATGGGTAGGAGCCACACTAGGGGTGCCTGGCTGGCTCCAGACTGTGGTATGAATCATCATCAGCACAACTTTGTCCATCATTGATAAGCACCAATTGTAGGAGTAATTTGGTGAGTGCTTTGAGATAGTATAGAAATGTATATGGGCACACATCTAAGTAATTGATCGTAATTATATATTCTTTTTACTTGTAGTGATATGTAATTATTTGTCATATATACTTGCTTTACCAGTAATATTATTACTACATTACTACAATAGTAGTAATGCTATGTACCAACAGTTTGCAAAGAAATTCAATGAACAGAAAAGCCTCTGCTCATGGCTTCCCACAGGAAGATGAGGAGCAGTCAGCTGCAGGCAGCTGAGGAACAAGTCGGACGAAGCCAGTTTGATTGCATTTCTGTTGGCAAGAAAACTGCATGGAGCACAACGGGAGATAGTGAATGGTGCTTGAGAGGGCAAGGCTACAGTGCTCAGGAGGCAGGCAGCCTGAGGAACCAGTGCTGATGTCCAGAAGCAGTCTGACGAGGTGGTTTTGCACGGTAGAGCTGCATGTGCTCTGCATGGGGCACCTCTGCCATCAGTGGAAATGGGAGTGGCAAGTGGGGAGCAGCCCTCTGTCTCCAAAATGCACTCATGCAGGTGGGTGGGCACGGGTGCCCCAGCCCGGATACTGTACAGGCCAGCCCTGCATCTCTGAACTCACACAGTGCCGCCCACAGCAATTTCAGCATCCAGCACACAGGACAAGGAATTAATTATTGGCTTTATTTCCAGGAAAACATCTGAAGTCAAGGAGAGCTTTTCTCAGCGACAGGCATTTAGCTTACAATGACTTGAAGTGATCTTAAGAACCCACTTCTTAGCACACCACAATAAGATCATCTCATGGCGTATTGCCCACTGGAAACAACTTGTTTGGCTTGGTGTCCTGGAAGTGCTGCCATGTGATGCAAGCCTCCTACGTGGTTGCAGATGAAGCTGAGATATACAACACGAACCAATTACTAGCTGCATATTTAGCTTTTGAGCAAGTGGAGAGGTTTCTGTATTCTCTTGAAGGACAACTTGCTGCTCACACAATAGCTGCATAGCGACAGAAGATTACTTCTTAGTGCACTGGGATCTGGCCAAACAGTCACCAGATACTGCTATGGCTATAATTTCCTTCTACTTACAGTACTTCTGTAATGCAAAATAAGTTACTGAGGGATAAAAATACTGAAGGTAGCAGGACTAATAGAAGAAGATCCCCACAAATCAGAACTCTCATTACATGGCTGACGTGCCCGCCATGCTCTGAGTAAAAGAGAGAGAGAGAGAGAGAGAGAGGGCAGGGGAGTAGAGAAGGGTCTTTACGATAAGAGTATTCTAACATGGTTACATTAATAAACAGGAAAACTAATTAACTTAAATAAAGGAGTAGAATTCATCACTCTTTTGAAGTTTGGAGTGGACTGAGAAAATCAGACATCTCAAGCAGGAGGAGAAAAGGAGGAGGGCTGATACCAATCAAAGGAGGATGTGTTAGATAGCACTGGCATTACAAGGTAAAACAGAACAAAGTCAGATGCCACAGTTCAGGTTGTGTGGGTAACTGTATGAGGCGCTGCAGTGGGTAGTGATGACACTGCCTTCTCACAACCGCATGTCACAGCACAAAGCCTGCGATCGTGCACAACGTGGGTCCTGTTTGTGAAGCCAGCATCTACTGGGTCTTGCAGCTGAGGGATCATGCGCACAGCAGCAGCCAACCCAAATTCCCAAAGTGAATGCAGAATTACTACTATGTGCATTCCTTGGACTTACAGAGAAATGTAGCCTTCTAGAACAGCTCAAAAGTTCTCATGCTTCATCCCCACCTACAGATTTCTTTCTGATATCCTCAAAGACAGAGATTTAGATATTATAAATTTAGCTGTTCTTCACTTTTTCTACTCTGCAGGCTATTCCTTGCACACATGGACAATCTGGGAGATTCACTGGCTGGCTATTCCTTGCACACATGGACAATCTGGGAGATTCACTGGCTTTGTTAGCTTTGGGGTCTGCAGTATTTCAGTGCTGGAGCAGTGTTTCTTCTGTGGCCACGCAACCTGATATATTGGGCCAAACATTGCTCTGACTTGCCACGTGCCATCTGACACCATCAGGTATGTTAAATGCAGTGAGAGTCAGGACAGGATGGGTCCCTTAGCATCAAGAAGAGATGCAATTAAGGCAAACGAGATGTAGCCCTTCCTTGGTTGGTCATAACCCTAATTAAAATTGTCCAAGCAGGAATATATATTTTAAGCCAGGACTTTTTGTTGTTGTTGTTTGTTTCTAAACATGGGCATTCTCATTTTGGGTGGATGTATTGCCTTGGAAATAGATCTAAAGTATACTACAGGTTTTTGAACTTGGAGCTGTTCCTCCGTTGCAGGTTATTCCATCTGCCATACAAAAAGAAAAAAAGAATTAGAAGTACAATGTAAGTGCACTAGAATCTCTTCTTATTCACCACAGCAGAGATTTTGGACTTGTAAGATATTGAACGGTCAGTGAAATACCTGCAGATATCTGCTATGCAAAGCTAGAGATATCTGCTATGCAAAGTAACTGTAAGTGCAGTTACTTTGGAATTGTTTTAGAGTTAGCAGAAACCTTCTTCACTTAAATACTGATTACTCAGTCACGAAATAACTCCCCAGAGGTCATATCCAGAGTATTTATTTTCAGTACTTTAAGAATGGAAATGAGATAAGACCTGTAAACTCTGTTATTTGAATAATGTCTAAACTACGGAGCTGTTCAGGGAGTAGCAGTGGAACAAGTAGTGCAACAAGAAGATGCTTCAGTGCAGCCTTCAGAACAGAGGCAGCAAGTTCTGACAGGGTGGTTTTCAGGCACCTGGAAAGGCAGCCAGGAGCCTTCCACTTCCACCTTTCTCAGAGCCAAACAAACCCTCAAGATATGAAGTACGTGTTAATATGAGCTTTCATCCAGTGTTCACTGCAGCTGATGGACTGATTGAGTGCTATCCAGATTAGCCCACAGACAGTGGCAAATAGATTCAACCCAAATAAATTGGCAAGGTGCTAATTTGGGCTAGAAATGGGGTGAACTACTACCCCAGGAATGTGTTAGCTATTTTCAAATCCTCCTGCTTCACAAGCTGTGAGATGGCACATCAGCCAAGCCTGTACAAAGGGATGTGTCCCTGCACTTCTCAAGGGACTACAGACGGTGCACAGAACTTCTTGCTGATCCCAGCTTCATGGGAGCTTGTGCTGCATGTAGCCCATTTGTAAGGCACAAGTAGCCCCCTATGCTTCCGATGCCTTTCTGACAGCCTATCATGGTGCTAGGCCTTGAAGACAAAAATGTATTTTAGAGTCCTATTTTAAACTTTGCTAGTGGAGCAAGGCTGAGGAAACTATTCTTGGCATCTGACATTGTTGGGGCTACAAGTCTTGCTGCAGGTCTCAGAGCGTACTGAGTAAGTGAACAAAATGATCAGTATTGGTTCTGACCTTTCTGTGCAGCCATTTTCTCTTCCTCCTTTTTCTTCTCTTCCTCCAGAGCTTTCATCTTTGCATCATACTCATCAGCACGGGTCTTCCACTCGTTCCTGTTGTTCAGCAGCCCATCGAGCATAGGCTGAATTTCCTCATGGAAACGTGAAAATTCCTGACCAAAATACAGCCATCAATGCCATGCAATGTGGAGGTACTGACTTGCCACCCATCCTTTGCACCCAGAACTGGCCCTGATCCTTGCCTGCTGGGCTGGCTACACGGGGAGGGCACAGATGGCATGGAGAGGGGCCCTGCAGCATCCTAGAGAGTGCAGCTGGTGAGAGGAGGAAGTTCATCCCTCCTGAGCAGAGGGAAGGATGTGTCTCCTTCTCTCCTTCCCTCCCTCTTTCCCTGTGCCAGGAGGAGGACAGTGAGTTCTGTCTGCTGCTCCTGGTCTCATCTGGTATACAGATGATTCCATGCTTTTCTTGGACTTGGATCTCTTTGAAGTCTCCAAATGTTTTTTCTTCAAGAGGTAGCAGAACAGATTCATTGAGAGATAGGAATCCCCTTGTTATCTCCTCTGCCTGCCCTTGTGCTCCTGCGTTCTGTTGCTGCACCAGGACTCTAGACACTAGGACCTGAATTTTGTGTTGAGAGAATGGTGTGCACACCTTATAGAATATAGAATGGTGTGCTTACCTTATAGACAAATGTGCACACAAAGTCGATGAAACCCACTTGAAGCTTTGGGAGTTCAGCAGCTTTCCTTCTGTCCATCATGGGCTGTGGTAGGACACAATCACAGCATGATATATAAGAACACTGCACTGGAAAACACTATTCTTTTTTCTACTCAGTGTTGCCCTGTTGTGTAAGCTGGGCTGTTCAGCTGTGCTGGTCTGTAGAAATTGTAGACAGCTCTTTCTTTGTCTATTGTGAGATCAGGGACAGAATTTTTCCTTTCCCTCTCTCAATCAAATTTCAATTCTATAAAACATTTCTGAACATGGAATTATATTTTAATATGGTCATTTTGCTTACTGAATCATTACTGTATTATTTATGTTGCATCTGTGGAGATATACTATGAAAGTCTGCTTAGTGATTTTTTTAAGTCTACTGGGTCTGTCACGGCTTGGGATATTCCATGATTTAAAAAATAAAAAAAAAACAAAAAACCAAGCTGAGATGGGTGGAGACAATTTCAAGGAATAATTCTTGGTTCTTTCAACGCCAAATTTAAATATTTTCCCTATTTGAATGCCCACTTTTCTGGTGGATTTTGTCAAGCCTGGAGCCACGGAAAAACACATCTCTCTGAGAGCATCCCTGCTTGCAGTGAATCTCTATTTACTGTCTGAACTGCGCCCTCTAGCTCTCACAGGATACTTACAATGGGCTGCTGCTGAAGGACGCTTATTTCTAAGTCCCCTTGCTCCCAGAATTCTGCTGCTACCAGGAGAGCTACCTACATTGCCAAGGAGAGAAAAAGTAAAATTAGCACTGATTTTGATTTCCAGATGGACGTTAGGACAGGGCTGACTCTGAAGCAAATTCACTTCCAAGCCCTGGGTTGCTCCACACCCACATCCAGCCCCCGTCTTTCTGCTGGGAAGGGCAGACAGTAGCCATGGGATTGCACCTGAGTAGTGATGGCCCAGATATCGTTTTTGCACTTGGACTTGTCAGCTCACTGCTCATCTATTAAGAAATGTTTCTAATGTGTCCTGCAAGGATTTGGCTTGTGATCACAGTTTTATGGTTTTCTATTAAGACTTATTCAGCTGTCCTTTTTTCCATACTGAATGGGAAGATGGATTTTATTTATTTTTATCCTCCTTTAAATTTTAGTGTTTCTTACCTAGTAATTGATTAACTTCAGTTCAGGAAGGAACTCCTACCAGAAAAACAAACAACTAACAAAGCAGGAGGTATTGCACTAAAACAACAACAACTACCTGAACAATTTCCTTCTTTTTTTCTTTGCTCCATTTGGTGAATGTAAATGCCCTGCAGATTCCAAAACTATAATTTCAAAGATTGATTTATCCATCAAGAATATTATTATTATGAAGTATTTTCAGTAGTTTTAGTAGGAAACTTCAACACAGTTACTGAGTAGCTTAGAAACATACAATGCTTTCAAGTACAAGCTAGAGAAATCTGGCAGTATGTCAAGCACCTGACCTTACTCTGGACTTCCCAAGGCTTAGTGATTGCTGACAAATCACAGGCAGTCATCATCATGGCCCTAAAAACAAAAAATAAATTAGTTTCTTCTCTGTAGCCCTGAGGCTCAGGATGTGCATGTCCTACCAAGTGTATCAGTTCAGTGCTGAAGTGGTGGATAAAGAAAAGCAGGCTGCTGTAGCCTTGGCTCTGACTGGGACATGGATCGAGAACTGCTTCATGGATCAAATGGGGTGCTAGGAAACTGCTCTCTTCTGACACTAGGAAGTTCATCACTTCAGTCATTACTAGGCTGAACCTTGTGCCTGTAGGCTAACTCATCTGAGTTCCTTGCAGATGTTTAACAGTGAAAACTGCAGCAAGGTTGTAGGTACAACTCATCACAAGCATAGAGTGTTCTGCAGAGCCTCTGCTGGCTGCAACAGCATTGTGCAACTCAGATGGATTTTCGTTAGGAAGAACAACTCATGCATGAGGTTCCCTTTGCTCTGCCTTTGCAGAGCAATACATTTTTACCCTGTGGTTTTGCCTTGCTTCTCCAGAAGATCCAATTTGAGTGGACACTACCACATGCTGGCCTCCTCCTAAGGGCAATGCAAGGATGTACTGACTGCACACAACACCAGTGTGTTTTTTTTTTTCCTCACTCAATTTACATTAGAAATCAAAAACAAAGGAGTGTATCAGCTAGGGACTATTGCTGCTGAAGCAGAACAATGTTTCTTAAAACCAGACCTATTGTGGATGTGTGCATGCTTTGTAGCTCCCACCATCCAGCCCCAGAAGAGGGACACTACCACATCTCTAACCCTCAAAGAGATGATCTACTCACATGACAACTTCTTTCTTTGTCGTCTCCAGAGACAGGTAGTCAGTCCAGGCAGTTGTACTGTCATATGTCTTAGACTCATCAACAATCTTCTGAAACATTGTTCTTTTTCTTTGAGAAAAAGAAAAAAAAAAAAAGTTCCAAAAGAATGAAGTAGGTGTGTTAAAAATAGATGTCTGTGCTCCCAGTAGACATTTTCCTGGCAGTTATGTCTTTAGGGAAGCCCCCAGCAAAACCAGGCATCTTCACTTGTTTCTTTTAAGTAGAGGGAACTATTGTAAATGGCTTAAAGGAATAATAAGCAGAGTAGTGAGACTGGAGCAGGAAGCTTGAAAGCATGTGCTACTTCAAGTAATGCATAATGAGAAGGGCTTCTGGCTTTCCTGACAACACAAGAAGGCTTTTTGCCTGAATGCTGAGCAAACAGCAGAAACTTAGAGCTAGCTTAGGTGTTAGAGCACCTGTAAGACTGCCTGTTGCTCAGTCTGATCTTGTTAATATTAGCTATAAACCTAAATATGGGAAGCAAATTCCAGGGAGGGATTTATATACCACACGCCCACATTTTGAGTGGCATGAAATCTTGAAAAATCTGCTGGTTCAATGCTAGTGACAAAGAAGGACCTTTAGGCCATATACACAATGAAGCTTGACTATGTGCTCTGTCCACATTTTTTCACCTGGAATCTGATCTAAATTAATTCTTCACATACAGATGACAAAGACCAGCTAATTCCTACCTGGTATGGAAGGGAAGTGCAGATATCTGTTCCCATACAATCACCAAACCTCCAAAGTAAGTGAACTGGATTAGGGTTGGGGTTAGGGTTCCTTCCTCGTAATCTTTTTTCTTTTTTCTTTTTCTTTTTTTACTATTTATATTGTGTGTAACCATCCTTCAGTGTAAAACACAGAAGTAATCTCTGGCCCTGTACTTCAAAGCACATTTTGAAAGTTCTTTGCTACTTAAGATGTCAAATATCATAGACTTCCAGCTTATGCCCCAAGAAATTAGTGGATATGACAACATGGTCCTAAGTTTTTGGCTTTGGTGAGTGAAATAGACTATGAACCAAGTATTCACCTATAATGAACCACTTACTATTTGAGTTGTGTTGTTGCTCTCCCAGAGAACTTAATGGAATGCTGGCCAAACCATTGACCATTAGTAAGTATTTTTAGTGCTGAAATGTTATAAAAAAAATCATCTCTTTATTTTGGTTAGGGGATCATATGGGGCCTTATTGTAGACAGGAGGCTGAAAGTCAATACATGATATAATTAATCAAATTCAAAATTCTTTTGAACAATTTGAATTCTTCCTGGAAGCTCTATTACTGACATTAAAAACAGTCCTCCATAGGCAATGTTTGCTACCAGAGGGGCTCTCAGAGCAAAACATCACATTTTGTCTTTGTACAGCTCCAGCTGCATGCAGCTCTTCACCCACAGTGTACGTGACCAACTTACTTGAAGTAGAGTGCCAGATCTGTAGCTATAATGGCAATATCCATCAGATGAATCATGTGCTCGTGCTGTCTCCGGTTGAGGTTCTGGCATATATTCAGTGACTGAAAAAGAAAAGGAAGCTGCAAAATACAAGTCCTGTGCTGCTGTGAGCTACTGGGAATCTTGCTTTCTCAAAATTGCTTTTTTTTTTCTAGAGCTGCAACTTGCTTCCCTAAGATCTGCTGGTGCCTGGTCTCCCTCTGTACTCACGAGCAGGGTCAGTGTCTGCACCTTGATACACCTTGAATTTGCCAATTTGCCTGAAATGGAAAGTTAGCTGGGGGGTGTATTGGCCTTGGTTCCTCGGAACTACAGGAGACAATCTTGTGTTTCGTGTGTTCCTAAAGGGGCTAATGATATGGCTTCTGAAGAATCCAGGTCATGTAAATGTTCTGGTCACTAGGGAGAAGAAAACACTTGAGAGTGGAAGAGAATGAGCTGGCTGTAGAACCTCAGAAACCCAAACCAGAGATATACCCTGTGCTCAAACTGTGGGCCATGGGTCACAGAATTTGACAGCCTGGTGTTTACTGATTAAAAAAAAAGTCACTGCAGTTAAATTATTCAGGCTTTTATATTACAGTTAATAACAAACCTCTTCAGAGAGCAAAAACTTTCCAAAATCCAGGTGATGTCTCTCTAAAATTGAAGATCCATGAAGTTTAGCTAAAGGATTTTGAGATCTGGTAGCATAAGGGAAAAATAAAATATGTTAGTATAGCACTTAAAAAAAAAGTATCCTATCTGATATTTGTCATGAACATTCAATTTATCTAGCAAAAGCTTAGGAGTAATATTGTCAACAGGTGACTCTGCTTATAGTTATTTGTACACTGCATATAGTATTCTTCTGCCTGTGGATTTCACCTAAATTGTTTTTCTTAGTAGAACTTTCGTTATTGGGCATAATGAACTTCTTGTTAAGTTCCTGAAACAGTACGTTTTGGCATCTGTTAATAGGAACTGAAAAACCACTGGTCCTTGAACATCTTCCTAGGCAAAGTGCAAGACGATCTCATATTCAAAGCACTTGTGATGAACTTGCAGCTTCACTTACATTTTTTCAAAGCTCCAGAAAGCAGTGGGATAGCACAGCCAAAAAGCATTGCAGAAGAGCTATGATCTGACACTACCTTGCTGTTTTTTTTCAATCAGCTACTGGAAGCAGAACTCACATCCTCACATATGTGATAGGTTTCTGCAGGCAGCAAAGTCAGTGCTATGCATAGTGCTTTCCAGCAGAAAGCATGCTTCCTATGTCCAGGATGGTCATGGAAGCATCCTGCTTCTCCTGTGATGCTCAGACCACTAAATGCCTGCATTGCACCTGGCCTACCTTGTACCAACAGTGTAGAGCTTTGGTTTAACCAAAGAGCTGAGGGCAGCCTGCTAGGAGGCAGAGCCCAAGTTTACAGTATGCAGAAAAGAGAAGTTAATTGACAAGTAAGACTGTTACCCTGCATATAACAGAGCTGTGCAGGAGTTTAGTGGGATCACAGCCTGAATCCACTCCACGCAAGAGAAGCAGGAAATGGTTGGAAGTGGCAAGAAAGCACTTACTTCATCTGGTAGAGGTTGTTGGTTCCTCTGTGGTCTATATCATGGCACAGAGCAGCAGTTACCATTGCAAAGGCTTCAAGGTCTGTGTAGTAGCGCTTCAGTTTGCCTGTCTGGAGGGTGAAAATGTGCATGCCATCTGTTAGTATGTCTTACAGGAAAAGGTATGGGACTGTGACTTGGACAACCCCCACTGAGACAGCCCAGGAGAACTGGAACAAAGATAGATATTACATACAGCATGTTTAGATCAAAATGGGGAAGCAACTGGAAACAAAAGGTTTCAGACTCAAGTAGACGCCTGTCGTGTGTATATGCTTGATGCCCATCTGCAAGGTTGGTTGCCTGCTGCTACAGCAGCATTATGCCATTGGGGCGCTTGCACCCTGACAGCTACCTGCATGCCTTCAGTGCTGGGCCGTAGGGCTGATCCATCACAAGCCTATGGTGACTAGAGCACTTCTGATGCCTCTGTTCTTTTGTGGGCATCTCTCACCCATGAGAAATGGCACTTTGCTACACTCATACTACAATCAAAGAGTCTTCAAGATTGTAAAAGACCACTAAGATCACCAAGTTTAATTGTCAGCTCCCTCCCACCGTGCCCACCAACCACATCCATCAGTGCCACATCCACAAGGTTCTTGAACACCTCATGGAATGGTAGTCCACCACCTCCCTGGGCAGCCTCTTCCAATGCATTACTACCCTTTCTGAGAATAATTTTTTTCTGGTATCCAACCTGAACCTCCCCTGGCTCAACTTAGGGCCGTGACGTCTCATCCTTCCACAATTCTCCAGGGAGATGAGGCAGACTTAGCAATGGGCTTACATACGTGGCTGTTCTGCCTACAAATGGGAAATGTGTGGTTGTCTTCATCTGAGCTAGTATCACTCATTGCCAGAAACTACTGGAGGAAAGGATGTCCTGCAGTCCTTCACCATACCATGCAGACGGATTAAGCTGGAGGCTCTTCAATACCAGACATGTCTGTGCCTACAGTGCATGCAGTTAATGTAAACTGGGGCCTCATATGGTGGTAGAAGTGACAAACCAATCCTATGTAGGGTTTGAAGGGAGCCCTGCATGTCTCCGAGCCATGACATCTGCCTTACTTGGGGTAAAGCCGTGCCACAGAATGAGTAGGGATGGTGTTACCTTACCATGAGAAGTGTGAACATGGTCTGTGCAACGTTGAAGCCATGGCGCCAGTTGTGGTACGTTATCTTCCGGTAGCCTTTACTGACAGAGTACACAAACCTCACCAGAACCTGAAATTGGGAGGAGGGTGTTTGATGTCAGCTGGCTTGTGGGTGAAGCTGGCTGCTGCTGCTTTTGGAATAAAGACAATGCATAGAAATAATGGATACCAGTCAGACCTTCAAGAGAGATGGCTCTGTAGGTCTCTCTGTAGAGATGGAATGTTTATCCCCTACGTGGTTATAATACAGAGCATTAAATATCCGACTGTTTTTGTCCACCTGTGTTCTGCTTATTTCCCTTTTATCTACAGAGGTTTTTTTCCATTGGAGAGGGAATAAGAGAGTATTCATTATTTTAAATCTTAAAGGGGCAGCAGAGAATGGCTGTTCTTCACATCTGCACCAGGAGCGTCGTTCCAGAGTGGACATTTTGAATGCTTATAACTGACTCGTGCTGTGGATAAGAAGCACGGAGGTAACCCTTGTGCAGAGCCCTTCGTTTCCCTCCTGCACTCCTGCCGGCCACCCGATACGTGCGGGAGGGACGTGCGGCGGGAGGCTCTCTGTGCAGCAATCCGCTGGTCCCACTAGATGGGGATAAAACTCACAGCATGTGCCGAAACATCCCTCGAAGAGAACGGGGAACGAAAACGCGTTTTCCTAATCTGACTGACACGGACTGTTTCAAAAAGCCTTGAATTTGCGAATTGAAGACTTTGGGGTTAAGTAAGGTTCGATAATAAGGTAGGCAGATTTTTGCACGGTGCAGTCTCAGTCTGTAGAGGCCTGGTAGCAAACGCATACTGGTAGCCCACAGAGCTTCCCACCGCTGTACAGAGCAGAAGTGGCCAGCTTCATGCTCCAGACTCATGAACGAGGTGGGGGTCCTGGGTTAGGGTTAGTTACCTCCTGTGGGATCTGGAACTTCTTCACCACGCCAAGCTCATAGTACATCTGAATGCCACACTTCACAAGCTCCAGTTCAGTGCAGTCGAAATCTGAGAACCTGAACTCATAGATTTCAAACTTGCTGGGCCCTGGGAGTTGCTCTTTCTGTGAAAGGCAAAATGGTTTGTTGCTATGGTATTTATGCTGTCTCTAGAAATACCTGGAAGTGGTTTTGCTAAATAAGAAGTTATCAGTCTGATGCTGTTGGAAGACATCTGTTTCAGAATGTGACACAAAAACAGCCCTAACAGGGCTATGTTAGGGTTAGGGTTAGGGTTAGGGTTAGGGTTAGGGCTAGGGTTAGGGTTAGGGTCAGGGTTAGGAGCAATCGCATTACTTCCAAAGGACATACATGCACAAGGATGAACAACTTTTTACATAAGTAAATATTTTCCTTCAAGGATTTAGTACAGATGAGCAAAAATGTTATCCCTCTTCCTCCGTTAAAATAGCCCTGTTAGTGGGGGAGGAGGGAGAACTGTTTTGGTCTGGCACAAGATATTGTTTGCATTCTGTTAAGCACTCTTCTTTTTAATTTGATGTAGTTTGGAGAATCCAAACTTGTCAGGTCTTAGACTCAGGAAAAGTTTTAAAATTCCTCATTCATTCTTGTGAAGAAAATGTATGATAGTTCAAGGCACATGGCATGTTCCCAGTTGGACTTTGGAACCCCTTGTGATAAGGAGGCACTAAGCAGGCACTTCACAGGAAGGCATTCTCTGCTGCTTGGTAATCACACAGAACACAGGAGGGGCAGGTGTGTTTCACCTTTGCCCTTCACCATGTGCCTCGTTGATATCTACCAACTCCAGCAACTCTCCCCTGCCTCCACCCAGGCAGTAGTTGTTTGCTACACTTCCAAGTTCACCTGCACACTGCCCTTACCAGAATACTTGCCAGCTCCTCTTCCTCACACTCGCTTGGCTCCTTCCCCAGCTTTTCTCGTGTTGGCTGCAAAGAGCATGGACAGGTTACACTGACTACTATATCTTACAAGATTGTGTGCTGTAAAGCTTGGGGGTAATCTAGGGTGAACCTACAGGAGGCAGCTCTGATAAATCATATTTTCCTCTCAGACTCTGCTTTTACTTCTGATCCTTCAACGTATTCTTCCTTGAAGGAACATTATCTCTTGCTTTAATTTTGGCTTGTTTTTCCTCCACTTGAAAAATTCCCCTAGAAAATTCCCTGTGTCTCAGCCAGGCTTAGCGACTCCGTATCTTTTGTACCAAGATGGTTTTAGGATATAAATTAGCTCCTCTTTCACACCCTACAGCCTGTCCTGAGCAGCATCTGCATGAGCCCACCTCCAGGCCTGGCTTAGGCACAGCATGCTGGGGCAGAGAGCAGAAAGCCTCAAGTCAAAATAAAGACTTGTTCTGCTATAGTGTGAAGGCTTCCATGGCTGGAAGACTTTATATGGGATGGGAGACCTTGTCCCACAGACACAGCTGCTGTTGAGCACTGAGCAGTATGCTAACAGGAGTACTGTACATTGCAAGTCATTACCAGAATTTCCTGAATTTCATCCTTGTCACACTTCACGTGGTAGAGCACCATATCCTGGGCGATATCTTTCCGGTTCTCCAGTTTGTTCATCTTATCATATGTATCTGTGTTGAGTACTGACCAGCCCAAAAACTGTGTCAGGGACTTGGAGAGGAGGAAAAAGAGAAACAGTGAAGTAACCAAAGTGTCTGTTTCCTATGGCCACAGAAAGATAATGCTGTATAATATATTATTATAGAAACATGAGCTCCAGTCTGGCCCCAAGTTTAGCAATGAGCAATTGCATGTTTGTTCCTCTAACTGTTCTTCACCACAGCAGCTCCCCAGCTGGTGGATCTGCCTAGATCTTAAGACTGTCCATACCATGCAGATTCGAGGACCCTTTGTCCTACTTGCATATGTTATTACAAGTATTCAGTATACTACCCCATGTCTATGGGAAAGGCTGCAGTCACAACCATGATAGCAGGTTAGGAACCCTCATATCAAGGGAAAGCATGATGGTCTTGTCACCTTTCACATCTGTTTAGTCATACTTTGTTTGCTTTTATCTTATTTGCTGCTCAGTGGCCAATTTGAATTGATTTTTTTTTGCTTGGTTGTTTATTTGGTAGTAAAAGTATTTCAGCAAATGCTCTGATTGATAGTGGATGCCAAGATCTATATGTCCATGTTGGATTGAAATGAAAAAGAAGCATTTCTCAGCCACAGTGGCTTCACTTAGCGCTACTGTTTGTAGATTCAGCAGCTGGCCACACCTTGAATCACAGCCACACTGATTACTTCTGTGTAATTGCCAGAGGGAGTTGCCCAGCAGTATCTGAGCACAGGTCAATATAGTCACATTACTACCTCATAGCTGTTGATAGCTAGGTGTCCAATCTAAGAATGCTGAAACAAAATAATCTAAACATAGGTGAATTTACAAATTTCAAAAGCATCCAACTTTCATTGAGTCACCTTCAAAACTTTCCATCTACTGCATAACCTATTAAGAAACTTAGTTGCAGAACACTGGGGGATGTTTGCAGGAGCGCTGTGAGAAAAAAAATAACCTCTCTCAACCATATGAACTTCTTCCAGACACGGTAAGGAATTATACCTCCATCAGGGTCTCATCCTGTTCATCAAATGGCTTCCCATCTTTTCTGTTAAAAAATGTGACAACACCAACAATTTCTTCCTTTTTGTTGACTATTGGCATGGAGAGAACATTTTTGATAGTCCATCCTGATTCGTCTAGAGGACCTTCCTTGAAGAAATAGCAAGCAAAAAGACACTATATGCTTAATTTGTTTTCTAAATACAGCAGCAATCCAATTTCATATCATGACTTCTGATGAAAAAAATACCTATGTGCCTGATATTGACTCTGAATTACATTTCTGTAAGTAAAGTGGAATGCTTCATAGAAGTGGAAGTGTTCACATTACCTGAAAGTTAAACATCTCGTCTGCAGCAGCATTCATAATATTGCAAATCTAGGGGATCACAAAAAGAAATACATATGTATTTTACAAATTGGACACAGAAGTTGATTAAAATGCCAAAACAAACAAAACCTGAAAAGTAGCTTTAATGAAACTTCATTTCAGAAAGCCTTAATGAAGTCCAAGCTATGCACTTACAAACCCACTTTCAGCCACATATGTTGGCAGTCCAGTAACTAGTGCCCAGTGATCTGGCGTAGGATTTCTGATAGAAAGAAAATGGAAAAGGATAATTAAGAGTATGTATTTATTGAAGGACAATGATAACAGAGCTGGCTGCACAATCTACATATGCATTTCACTCTCAGCTATCAAGCAGTTTTGTTACTTTCAGAGGACCTACATGCACAAGCATAATTTTTTACACAAGTAAATATTTTCTTTCAAGGATTCAGTACAGATTAGCTCATAGAATATACTCAGCAAAGCACTTGAGTTAAGAAAAAAGTATTCCTGGTAGTGCAGGTCATGTTTCAGAGCTACAGCATAGAGAAAAAGAAAAGAAAGTCTCCGGTTAAGAGTCAGCCAGATTAACCCTGCTGAATTTCTATCATGGGAGCTTTTCTTGAAGCATGAAGGTGCATAACAGGTGGATATTACTGCGTAGTGGTGTGACCAGCACAGGTAAAACTTCTACTGTGTCCTCAAGGAGACCTTTAGCCACATCCTACAGCAGTTGGACAAGTGGTGAGTGGAAGTGCTGAGGGACGTGAGGAAGTATGCTGGTAGGCATCTGAGGATGTGGAGGGTACACGTGTATCTATATGTGGAAGCAGGATACATGAAGATGAAAGTGGGTGGCTAAGAAGCTTGATGAGAGGGGAGCATCCTGCAAATGCAGCCATTTATGTTTCCCTTCTCATGTTTTGTAGGTGAACATTGAGGAGAGAAACACCATACAGAAGTAGCAGTTTGGAGAGTTAAACCACTAGAGAAGAGGATGGTTGGTGGGGGAAGTCTCCTCAGAGCCCACTGGAATGAAGCCCAAATGTACTCCGCAAAACTCAGTGGCAGGAAGTGAAGGTGATTTTCAGAACGAGAGTCTCAGGGTAGAGTAAAGAGAGGAGGAAAAGTCAGAGACAGCCTTGAGGGGGGTGACCAAAGGAGAAGAGAGCAGAAAAGAAGCTAGAGGACAGGCAGAGGAACAGGAGGGACTGTGTGGGTCGAGAAGATATCCAGATGAATGGTGGGCAGGGCTGCGACTGCAGATGCCTCAGCATCAGGGCAAGCTGGATGGGCTCAGAGGCGAGCACAGGAAAGATATCAAGGAGGAGTGATGCCTTGGGCTAGCACAGACAATGGCAAAGCTGCAGGCAGTCAAAGCAGCTCATTCTCACACAGAAACAATTGCTTGTTGCTGGTTCTTGGAGCCTGACTTAGAAGCTGGAAGAATCCCACTGCCCTGGAAAAAACCTTTGTCCCACATAAATATGAGTTGAAACAGCATCCTACATTCTGGCTTCTTACTCAGTCTTGTATCAGTCCTCTGCATATCTCTTTATGAACATCTTTAAATCAGGGACAACCTTTGTTTCCGCTGCACTCTGTGTCTTTACCAAGCACACACAAACAGTGGCAGCAGTCTGGGCACTTACGGGATGACTTTAATGTCTTCTTTTCCATGTAATATATAATCAATGACTTTGTAAAAGACTATTTCCTGCAAAGAAAAAGAAGAGAAGAGCAGTGTTAAATATAGTGGTGAGATAATTCATCAAGACAATAAGACCGTAAGACTATGTAAGACTATGTAAGACTATAAGAAATATGGCTGTCGCTTACTCTGCCATCCGGAGTGCGAGGTCCTGAGTAAGGGGGAACTTCTCCCAGCAGGACAGGCCATAGATCAAAAAATTCCTGTTTTTCAAAGAAAAGAAGTATATTTAGAGTAGAAAAGTGCATTTTGCCTCAAATTTCAGAGTAACTGCTGCTTTACTATGCTGGTTTTGGTACTCTGTGAACAAGACATGAAACAACATGGCTAGAGCAAGGCTGGGCAGCACAATGGTGTACCTAAGCCAGAAAGAGTCAGGTGCCTTACAAGGTTGCATATGGCCATTTACAGCTTATACACAAGACATCAATCAGTGAACAGTGTGGACTGTATGCACAGAGCAAGCACCTATTTCTGTATTTTCCATGTTCCTCATTTTCCAGAGTGTTTCAATTGGGCTGATTTTCTACCTCACTAAGCCCAAAGAACAGTTTCTACTAGGCTATGTTATAATGCTTTACCAAAATAATGATCTTTTAGTATATCTCCTCACATGACCAAGTGCTGTAAGGGCTCAGGCAATGTGGTGGAAATCAAAGTCAGTGGTAGCCTCAGTTAGCCTGATGCCAAAGTAAAGCAGAGATGCTATGTAAATGTTGCTGTGTAACTCCCATGTAAAGCTTGTCAGTCAGCTTGCAAACAATCAGAACAAATCAGAGCTGTAGAGGTAATTCAGATGCTCTTAGTCTGCATTTCCTTGAAGCCAAATTTCACCTTGAAGCCTTGATAATATGCATGTGGATGAGGTCTTGAAGTGAGTGCCTGTTTTGTTGCTCTACTGGCATCTTATTTTATTTCTGGCAGCCAAAGACTTGCTGAGGCTGTGCTTGCAGTGTGGGCTTTGGTTGGGATTGATGCTTGACAATTAAACACGTTTGCCTCTCCTTTGTCTCCATTCTTGTCCTCTGCCTCTTCAGATAGTCCCATCCCAGTGATAAACTCTTTATTCTCCTCCTCTTTTCTTCATCCTATGTTTTTCATTTGTACAGTGGAATTAAAAATGCAAATCAAAGCAGGAATAATGACTTAAACCTAGCTTGGAGTTTGATTGTCCCAATAAACCTTATCTCCACAAATCAGTCAGCTGTGGATAGTAGCAATCAGAAATATCTGTAGCTCATCAGTGAACACTCACCTTCTGCTTTGTCATGTCCAGGAGGCCTACTGAGTACCTGTCACAATTCAGATATGCTCTCACAGTATAGAAGGCCTTGTGGAATTGCCTCTCAATATCTGTCAATTCCTCAAAGACCTTGTTAGCTGACCACAGCAGCACCTGCAGGATAAAAGCCAATTGTAAGCATAGCTTTCCCTTGAAGCTAGACTTCCCAGTTGTGTTTGCATTAATAAGGTAACTGTGTTTTTTTTTTTTTATACTGCAGTCCCAGTGCAATAGCAAAAGTGCAACTGCAAAGTGTAAATTCATTGCTTATTTACACTGGGAATTACTAAGGAGAGATGCATTCTGAGGACTAGTCATGCCATCAAGAGTACTGTGCTAAGGGCCAGTCTTACAAAGGTAATGGTGCCAAACAGACTGTACACTTACTTTTTATATCCATGAGTAAAATCTTGCAAAGTCTAAAGGCTGGAGTTGGAAATATTTGAATCAACTCTTTCCTTAAAGGCTTTGCACAGATCTTGTGTGCGCATTGTCCTATGACCCTCTACCCCATGCAACACAGTGTGGATATAACCTTAAGAAAGCTTTTCCTACTAGGCTATTTCATCTGTAAAAATGGAGGTTCTGCAGTGAATTAGGCAGATGTTTCTAATAGTAAAAAGTAGGTCTTTGTGGTCATAAGGGGAGCTTTGTTATCTCTGAAATGATAAGGAAGCCATCTATGCAGATGCTGACCTTTGCTATTGCCTGTGTTCCTGATTGGGTGCTTTGCTGTCAGAGCAAAGGAAACAACAGTGCCAGTGCCTAGAAGTGCTGGTAGCCTCTACCTGAAGCTGACTGGACCTATGCTTGGAACACGGAGCACTACTGCTTGGCCACGGTCAGGAAAAGTGTGACTCATTGCTTCTCTGAGGGCTAGCAAACATCATATACAGTTCTGGCCTGCATTGCTCTCTGTTTCTGACCCTTGGGATGTGAAAGCTCTGGCACTGTTGTAAAGACTAAGGTCTTTAGAACAGAAATACTACTAAATACTACTAGCATCCCACAGATAGGACAGTGTTGTTGCCATGCAAATTGTTAATGGAAAATGAGCAGTGGCTCATCGTTGCTCTTTTACTGCATGCAATATGTGAGGCTGAAAGCCACAAATGCAGTGACAAGGATTGAAAGAAACGCATGACGGAAGGGCATTATGTGATCTACTAAGACTCTAACAGATTACAGTCTAACAAGCAGACTGTGTTCTCTTTGCACATGATGTTTTATGTGCAGGTGTTTTTTCAATATAAAAATCTCACACATCTTTGAGAATGCTGTTTGCTCAGACTGTACTGAGGTAGTTCTAAGTCTAAAGCAACAAACAGTGTTAACTGTTGCAGATACCTTTTGATCTAGATGGCCAAACATCTGCTAGTTGAGCTAGTTTAGTTTTTCTTTTCCGCCTTTTGTGGGATCTGCTAATACAGCGGTGACATATGAACATCTGATTCCAGGGTTCAAGCCCAGGTCAGAACACCCTGCAGGATGCACTGGTTCTTCCACATCTTGGGTTTGTGTTTTCCTTTTAGACTCCATGCCCCCCCACGCCTGCTAAGCCCTCAAGAGGAATGAACTTTGGCTAATTCTACCTCAGTTAAATTACTTAGCATTGCTAGATGGCTGTATCACCTGGACACCATTCACTGGTTTGTGGAAAGAACTGTGCAAAGAATAAACCATGGGAAAAACTTGTGACTGAACAGGTTCCATTCAAAATACCTGAAATTCATTGATTTCTACTGAAGGAGAGAAATAGATCAGGCAGATGAGAATCATTCTGCTTTCACTAAGAAGAAATTCTATAGTATTTTTATAAGCATAAAATATAATATTATAGTGTTCTTAATTGTTTTGGGAGATCTTTCAGTGCTGCTGTCTGAAGTAGATAAATGCCTCAAGAGTGTTCCATCACCTGAACTCTGCACAATATCTGTATTTACCAGCAAACAGACACGGTGAAAGACTGAGGAAGAGGGAGTATGTGAAAGCATCCAGGGGCTGCCTTTTCTTTCTGCTCTTTAGACACAAATCTCTGAAGCAGATCATCTATATTTCTGAAACCAGAAAAAGTGCTTTTGATTTTAAGATACAGCCCAATTTGCATCCTTGCTCTTACCTGGCCTCTTCGAGTTTCACAGTTGTGAAGATAACTCAAGTGATAAATTTTCAGGTTTAGGGAAGCAAAATTCAGGTACTTCAGGAAAAGCTGTAAAGAAAAACAATGGAATTGGGTCAAATGCAGTAGCAGTCTCATGTATATTGGATTTCATAACACCACTTCAGCAATGTCATGGTAATTCTCCTGGATAAATGCTTTGCTTTGCACCAGTGTGAGATAAGGCTTATCCCACTGTAACTTCCCTGAAAGATTTCTGAGATAAGTATCTTCATAAGAAGCCTCTTCTGTTACAGGGTGGGTCCCCTGTAAGGAAATTTACACCATGGTGCTTCAGTAAAGCAGACATCCCTAATGTAGAGGGATGTATTACCCATGTTATACATGTTGTACAGCAATGCAACAACTGAACTATTGACCACTTACTGTTTCATCAGAGTTGGTGAAGAATGGGCCGTTCAGCTTATTAATAGCCAAAATGACAGCAACTAGATCTTTGCCATTCAAGATGGGTGTTGCAAGGATGCTTTTTGTAGTGTAGTCGGTGAGCTCATCAACAAATGAACTGAACTGGGGACACTGTTCAAAGGAGAGTTTACAGATTAAGCACTTTAAACAATATTTGTAGCCTTAAAGCCAAACCAAAGCATAGATTCTTGAGGCAAGCTGTCTAGAGAAAAGTTTTGCTTACAACATTGAGGAAGATAAAAAATTAGTAGAAAATTGCATAATGAACAGGTAATAGAACTAGTATCAAAGAACTGGCTATGGCTGCTGATTGGTTGCAATACACGTGCTTTTTACAAAGATCTTGCTAACTATAATCATTTAACATGTTGAACTCTGTGAGAACAAGGAGGGTCTCCACTAATCATCCTCAGACAACTGACTTCCTTCATTATAGCTCCTGTATAATTTTCTCCAGTGTTGTATTAACACTGCAAGGTGCATGTAACCAATTTCTATGCAGTAGTGTGTAGCTACAGTTTATAAACCATGCTTTATATTACAGTCATTAGGAATCTCATTCAATCTCATTTTTCTGCATGGAACAATCTAGACCTTGGCTCTCCTGATAAAAAATTGTTGTCCAGAGGATTCCCTTCTCTATTAGTGTATCTTCAGCCTTAGTCTTACAGTTACAGTTTATCGTTCCTTCTTGAATGAAAGAGCAGCAGCAGGCATGGGAAATCAACCTGCAGCCACTATATGTGCCAAACGTTTTTTTACTGATATTGGGGAACATTAGGAAAGATGTTATGGTGACCTCAGTACAAACCACCGTGATGTTGGACCTTTGTCTTTGGGATAGTGGGCAGGAGAGCTTTGAGGAGGATGCAGCAGGCACCACCTACGTTTTCCTGGCACTCTCCCCCAGCACTTTGAGCAACTCAGCCCCATCTCTCCAAGGAGCTTGTTGGACAGGCTTGCAATATGCAGATAGCAACAGCAGGGTTTGACTGCACAAGGAGTCCTATCCTTGAGAGAACTGCCATCGGGAAAGCACTAGGTCATGCTATAGGAGCAGTATGAAGAGAACTCAGTGTGATGTCAGTGTCATTGTCTCTCAGTGCCAAAAGAAAATGAAACATAGAAAGGGTAATGTGAGGAAGGCAGACAACCCAGTGTCCTGCACAATGACATACTCATACTTTTTCTCCTTCTGATGGGAAATGTGGGAAGGGTCTTACTGAACCATCATCTTCCTGCTCAGCTGAACGAATTGTCAACTACAGCTCCTCTTATCTGAATTATTAAAAGCCCAGAGCTTTGTTGTCTCTGATCGCAATCAAAATGTTGCTCCTGAAAGAACTATCACTCTACCGCACCTTCTCCCTACATATCCTCTACTGCTAGCCTTCCCTGCCAACTAGGGTAGACCAAGCAATTAAATGTTTGTGTTTCCTTCAAAAGAACTGTCATAATAGTGGCAGCACCTGAAAGAGTTACAGTTGGAGTGCAGCTCTTGGCTCCCAGTTCTGAAGTCCTTACTTATTCTTAGAGAAATGTCTGAAGAGAGAACCTTAAAATTTTAAGTTATATTCTGATGCATATTCTGCAAAAGAATGACTGCAAAACTAAGTCAATATCTTAGTGTGTTCTATGGAGATCAAGGAAGATTTCACCAAAGCATTTGGATATGATCATACTAAGCAACAAATGGGCATATGAACAGATGGTCTCTGTATCTAGCAAATAATAGGTGGAGTAATCCCAAATGCCATATTTGGGTCACATGGATTTTAGTTTTATATCTACGATTAGGGCAAGCAGATTGTAATTCCAGCCATTCAGATTTATGTGATTCAACTGAGGAGTATGAGAGGTAGGTATTGTTATGAAGGCCATAGGAATGAAACACTGAAATTCCTTGCACCCCTCTCAATACTGCACTGCACATTGTCTGCTGAAAGAGTGTGCTTTTTGCTGCTTTTGGTGAAAATCACCCATACTCAGGTTACAATTAGTCCACATGCTAGACTATTTGGTGAATAAAGAATTGGTTGGATAGTCTCAGCCAAAGGGCTGTAGTCAACAGTTCTATGTTCAGGTGGAGGCCAGTCACAGCTGGTGTCAGGGCAATCCCAGATAGGTATATAGACTGGAGAAGAACTCACTGAGAGCAGCCTTGTTGAGAAGGACTTGGGAGTTCTGGTGGATGAAAAGCTGGACACGAGTCATCAGTGTGTGCTTGCAGCCTGGAAGGCCAACTGTGTTCTGGGCTGCATCAAAAGTAGGGTGGCACCAGGGAGGAGGAGGGAATTGTCCCCATCTGCTCTGCCCTTTGAGGCCCCATCTGCAGTAATGCATCCAGACCTGGGGCCCCCAGCACAGGAAAGGTGTGGAACTGTTGGAGTCTGCCCACAAAGACAATCAGAGGGCTGGAGCACTTCTCCTATGAAGAAAGGCTAAGGGAGCTGGGCTTGCTCAGCCTAGAGAAGAGAAGGCTGTGGGAGGACCTCATTGAGGCCTTCCAGTATCTAAAGGGATCTTATAAGCAGGAGAGAGACCCACTTTTTACACGAACAGTAAGACAAGGAAGAATGGTTTTAAACTAAAAGAGGGGAAATTAAGATTAGATATCAGAAGGAAATTCTTCACTCAGAGTGTGAGGCAGTGGCACAGGTTGCCCAGAGAATTTGTGAATGCCCTGTTCCTGGAGAAGTTCAAAGCCAGGATGGATGGAGCCCTGGATAGCCTGAGCTGGGGGGTGGCAATCCTGCCCCATAGCAGGGGGTTGTAACTGGATAATCTTTAGGGTCTCTTCCCACCCAAACCTTTCTGATTCTGTGATTCCATGACTATGATTCTATGATGAGTTTAGCTTCACCTCTCTCCATAAATGCAGTTGGAAGCAACTTGCACACAGATTACTGGTGCATTAGTTTTCACTACACACCAGTTCCAGTGCTCCCAGTTGTGGGACCAAGATGCCCTTCTGTGTCTTCACCCCTTTGAACCAGTAAGCATGCAAGCCTTTTGTCTACTGAGTAAATGAATGAACAGCAAACCTACCTGACTGACATCCTGGATGTTCATGGTTTTCTTGGTTTGCGCAACGTAGCCCACAATGCCTAAGTCCAGCGGGTAGACTATCTCGCAGTCAGGGGAAACCAGGCATTCCTCCAGCGTGCTTCCCTCTTGAATGTTGAAAAGCCTTGTTGCAAGTTCAGGTGTGCCGTTTCTTTGCCTGTACATGAAAAGACTACAGCGATCAGCATGAATAAGGGACCTGATTCTTCTCAAAGTCTTGAATACAACTTTCTCCATGTTGATGCTTTCTTGCATGTCTTGTATCAACTCAAAAAGAATTTCACTTTCATTGTCATCGCAGGACTCTGTTTTCAGTTTCTTCTCAAAGTACTGCTTGGCAAAAGCAGGGTTGCCATCAAGAAACTTCTCCACGTCGTCTTCACTAATGCTCATTGTGAATGTCCTGAATCCTGTAGTAGTCCAATGATGTGGTCTATGCAAGAAGAACTCTTATTTCTGATGTAGTTCCTAAATTTTCATAATAGAAGATGTTGCTTCTAGAACAGCCAGAGATGATGTACCACTGCAAAGAGAGATCGTCATCAGGAAGGTATTCCTTTATAGTGCTGGAGGTGAGTCTGTGGGAGGACAGATCTTCTCAACCAAACAGATTAGATGACCTCTACAAAAGCTTTGAGTCAACTTTCTTCTTCTTAATCTAAATGCAAATAAAAAACTGAGTATTCACAATATCTTAAAGCGCTCTCCTTTCTCTTGGCAAGCAGAAAACTTACTGAAATAATTACATTGTAGTAGCAACAAAAGAGAAGAGCTGCATCTTCTAACATTGAAATAAGCTCTTTAAAGTCTAATTAAATATATACTGCTCGGACCTAATCCTCAGCTAACAAGGTGAGCATCTTATTATTTCTGCTCTCCCAGCTTGTCTAAGAAACATCTCTAATAGAATGTTAAATATGTCAATCTTTAAAGCTGGATGGAGTTACTGGTAGACTACGGCAACTATAAATTATGTTTACTAGCTAGCAAATCTCTCTGCTGAAGTAATTAATGAACCTAAAAAGAATGGATGTTTCCATTCAGATTGGGTAGATACACACACACTCCAGGTGTCCATGCAGATTCTAAGTCAGTTCTGTGAGGCCTTTATGATAGCAAATGAATAGAACTTCTGTCTCCTGCTTTACAAAAGAATATTATGGATAATTTTTTTTTTCATCTGCTAAGAAGGGAGAAACTCTTTGCATAGTCTTCCTCTCACTGTTTTGAAAGGAACACTGAAATTTCCCACTATGAATAATTCACTTGTCTTGGACAATATAAAGCACAGTCCTGGTTTAGCATGATTTTGGTGCTGATGTTGACAGGATTCGTTCTACCTAGACCATCTTGTTTGTCTTCCTGATTTACTAATCCTGCCACTGCTGAATGACCTGTGCTACACACACTGCCAAATTATTACCCCCAGCTGTATTTCCCTGCCCTCTCTTGGGGGAAGAAATACAGCAATGCTCCAGGATTATGAGGCATTGTTTCAGATAGAATAGATACATCCCATTCATCTACTTAGCAAGACAGACTGAATGGTATATAATATTTGATATGTGAGGAAATAGGATAGCTGTTTTCTCCTTCAGTGGACAGAGCCAGGGCAAAGAACTTCAGGATGCCTTTGACAAAATATTTGTACCTGCATTTCTACTGGAACTGAGGCTTTGAAGTGAATGATACCATGTACAGACTTTGCAGGTATAATCTACAGACACCCTTGGTCTATGGTAGCAACAGAAGCAGTCCAGGAGCTTTTAGTGTCTGCTAAAAGAATAATGCACAGAATGATGTGGCAATCATCCAACATCAAAATTGAAAATCTATCTAATGACAAAAAGAAGATCTGGCTGGAGTTTGTGCCCTTTGCAATAGTAGAGATCAGCTTGGCTATGTATTTTTTCTTCTCTGACTCTCCATGCAAGTTGCACTTCTTTGTGAGCAAAGTTCATGCTGGCCCTCCTTTTGAGGCTTGAGACCTCCTGCATTCTGAACACAAAGAACCATGTTGCCCCATCAGATAAGAGGGCCATGAGCTGATTTCTCCATTTAGCTGTGCTGAAGGTGCGTTATACCTTCAATAGAGTAGACATAAGGGGATAGATCCCCAAATCCCTCAAATTATGACCTAAAATTATCACCTTCAACAATCGGGCCACTCTAACTCTCACTTATGTGAGAGGCTTTGCTATGCCCACTTGCAGTCAGATGTCCATGTTGAGCTAGGCTACAACCAGACTTAGATCCCCCTGTGCAGATGTTGTTCAGACTGCAGCAAAAGGCCGGGAAAACCTTTACAGCTGCAGGGTGTTGGACCTGTATAACTGGGTTTCATCTACCAGTGGGAACTTCCCCAGTCATGCCAAGACTATATGGAGTGGTGTGAAGTTTATTCTTCACAAAAGAGTACTGTCAGAATAAATAATAGTGAGGTAATGCTGTTCTTTTAGAGCCACTTCTATTGTATTTTATCTGCTGCTGTAAATTACTCTTGGTGCTATCAGGCACTAATCTTGAATGTGTCAGTTTGTGCTTTTGCTGCAAATGCCACAAAGGGCACTACTCTTAGGGAAATCAAACAACATACAAGAGTCTTCATCAGTGGTCATCAGAGGGAATTTCAGTCCAAATCGTCCTTCTTACTGGAAGATAACCAAGGCTCACCTGCTCAAGGAGTAAAGGTCCAGGCTGCCTGCCCCTGTGGATGCTGGCACTACTACCAAGAGTGTACAGAAGCCCAGATGTGACTGTGAGTGCCTAAAGGGATGGTGACAAGAGAGGAACAGGGGCAGCAATATTAGAAATACATACACGTGCAAGTCTCGAGCTCAGGAAGAGGGCAGATGGAAGGACCTTGTCTCCCACCAGCACGGAGGACAGATCAACTAGATGCTGTCTGCCTCTGAAAGAAGAGGTGAGCATCTTCACACAAATTCATGCAAACTGAAGTGTCGGGGGAGATAGATAAAAGACCTTTCAGAAAATACAGATAAAACAGTGGTGTACAGGCAGACACACAGACCTAGAAATTTGTTATTTATAATCTCACTTTCTGTTCTGTCTTTCAGTTCCCTAGAGTTACTGGAGATGGAGTAAGAAATTTGTTGGATCAACTGGTTGAGCATCTTAAATGAATTTATGCTAAAGTGGCAGAGATTTTCTAGTAGATTACACAGCCAGGATATTAAAACAGAACTGTTTCTGAAAAAGACTGCTGTAGAAAGCGGTGTGGGCCAGAGATGCACATATTGCCTTTCATGTTGATATTCTGAAGAAGGGACAAGAACCATCTCAGGACCACCAAGATGGTCTGCTCCAGATCTCTCATATGGAGATGGATGGAGTATTTCTGTGGGCAACAAGCACAGGACAGTGTAGCAATGGGGAAATTTAATTGCCTTTTATCTGTACGGAATGCAACACTTCAGGTTGTAGGTTATCCTCTAAGGTCTTGAATGTTGTAGTAGTTTTCTGGCTGCTAAGGGTGGCAGAAAGAGGAGGAGAGAGCTTTCTTTGCTTTTCAGTGTATTCAGGGGAAGAACTATGGGAAAGAACTAGAGTTAGAGACAGAGTTAAAGTCAGTGAAACCATGAAATGAGAATTTGAGATTGGAGAAATGGAATATTTCGTTAATCTGGTTAATCTTAAGATAAAAAGTAAAAGAAACAAATAGAAAAATAGGAAGTATTAAGCATGAAAACATTATTGAAGATCTTATAAACTCCATGAACCAGTAAAAATAGAGTCTGAAAGGTCAAGATGCAAAATCAAATGAAACTAGGCATATAAAGGGCAAGGAGTATTCTATGTTACCACATTGGGAAGAGTAGGAATGTCAAGAACAATGTTGAAGGACTGCAGTATTTAGAGGACTGCATGAAGTAACCACTGAGCTGTTATTTCTAATAACCTTCTGGGGCTCTGAAATGCTAGAAAAAAAATAGATTCAGTTTTCTTGTAGCAAAACAGAACAGTAAGAGAATCCCATAGCAGTCTGCCTTAAATCTAACCTATCAGAAAATTCAAGAACAAATAAGTTGCTGTAAGTAACTGCAGGAGAAAAATTATAGCCAGTGTGGTTTTGTCAAGGGCAAATTGTGTCCAACCAGCATAATTTCCTGCACGCCAAAGAAAGAATTCTAAGGACAGAAGGAAAAGTAACTACTTACACAGCACTTGACTTCATGAAATGAGGTGTGAGATGTTCTCTCAAGATGAGGGCTTAGATGGAATACTTTAAAGGTAGTGGCAAATATATTTGCGAGAAGAAGGGTGGTTTTTAGTAGCTCATGAATTAAATGGAAAAACTTTTTGAGTAGGATTGTCTGCAGAGGTAGTCATAGCCATACAGCTGGGTCCAAAGATGCATATTAATTCAACATGTAAGCTGTGTCAGGTGTCTGTATATGTTTTCGAGCACCTTTGTTAAAATAAATTGCAAACAAGTGTGTATAGGAGAAGTGGGCTACAGCTCACCAAGGGTGCATAGAAAACCCAGCTTATGTGGAGAACGGTCACTTGTTGATTTCAGGATAGTGAGCCAGTATCTGAGCTTATCACAGGCTGGACATGAGTGAACTTATGTGTAGAAAAGGGTATGTGTCTATTTGGAGGAACATTCTGTTGCCTAACACATTACACCAACTTCTTCTAAACAAGTGTGTTTCATGAAAGACAATGGGAAAAGGTGACCTCTGAGTGAAAAAGACTGAGGTTTGTCATCTCTCTTTTGAGTCATCTCCATTTAAAAAACAAAAAAACAAAAAAAACCCAAAACAAAACAAAACAAAACAAAAAACAACAGTATAAGTTTGAAAGTATAAGTGTATAAAAGGCTACTAACAAGAAGGAAACAGCTTGTTTCTCATGTTGGACATACAGGATAGGAGAAAATAATGGAACCACACTGGAAGGGCTTCCACAACAAGGGGAATACTGAAAACAATGAAAAACACCACTCTTTTCTTCTCTTAGATACCTCAAGAAATAAAGATGCTATCCTTTTCCAAGCAAATTCTTGTCAGAAGTGATGCACACGTAATGACTCTTGCTTGCTGGAAGAGGTATGGATGAAACAGGTGGAGTAAAACATCTTTTCATGAGAGTTCAGCTTCCCTTGCCCTCAGCTTTCCCTTGCATCTCAGACCTATTAAAAGTGAAGAAACCAGTTTTTGGACACCAGGAAAAGCCTCACTTGCAGTACTGTAAGGTTGCAGGAGTAATTTTTGTGATGATTCATTATGAAAACCGAAGTCATTATTCAGCTTTTCAAGACCTCCACCTCCATTCAGTACCAACTTGGGAACCTTCCAACATGCTGTAAGATGACAGCTGAGTTTCATCCCATACCAACAGGGAGTGGAAAGAACCAGGTAAGGTCAAAGTATTTAAAGAACTTTTCAGGAGAGTAACACAGACATTTTGGATTCTGATATCCCATAGAAGATTCCTACCATCTGGATTTTGAGAATGGATTGAGGTGAAGTGCAGTTCCTCTTACAGTTGAGCATCCTGTGGCATGGCAGCTTCTCTTTCTTGGACTTTCCTTGTTCCAGGTCACTTTTGTGACAGGAACATCTCTTTGGGAGCTCCCAGCCACTTCCCTAAATTGTTTTAATGTCTAACAACCAGCCTGTATATCAAACGGATATCACAGCACAGATCTGTGCAGCTGGAGGGTGTGTGCAGGATGCCCTGTGTCTGAACAGAAGGTCCTTTGGGATTGGCACCATATGGTGTTTTCCAAGCAAGCAGGCTTTCCTCTTTACACATAAGCTGACGTAAACAAGTTTGGTGACTGTTTTAAGGAGTGTATAAATCATTATATGCACTTTTGGGTTTTGATTTGGGAACTGGACAATGGCAAGTGGAAAAACTATTTGTGTTGAATCAAAGCTGACACTCTTTTAGATCTCAGTCTTGCAGACTTTTGTACTTTGTTCAGTACAAAACATTTTGTTCAGTTCAAGATAAATGTTTTTGTTTTGAAACGATTAAAAGAAAAACAAACAGTATCCAACAGCGACACTGCAGGTTCAAAACATAAAGGATCCAAGTTCCTTCCCCAGCATGCAAGATTTGAAACTTAAGATTAAGATAAGACTTCTTTTACTGGGGAAAGACCAAAGTTCCTGAAGTACTGAATGTTATAGCCACAGAGTGGAGAAACAGGGATGAAACTGATTAAGCCAAGCTAGGGCTGTAGTATAATTGAAGGCAGGTAGAGATAGGAGGTGGAAATCTGAATCAGTAATACACAGGGAGCCTGCAGCTCCGGAGTAAACCCCTTGGATCAAGACGGACTGACACACACTAAATTTAAAGCACAGAGCACAGGCTGCAGGTGTTCCCTTGGTCTTCAGGGAAACTACTGTGGGACTGTATTGGCACAACAATGATAACTGAGGTGGGTACAGACTAAGCCTGCATCTGGATAATGCTGTTTGATTGGGCTTAGGCAGACAATGGAGGATTTTGAAGAAGGATGAGTCTGCTATTTTAGGAAACTTGCACTAGGCTCTCATAGCATAATAATATCTGAGCACGTGTGGCTGCACACATTTGTTTTTAATAGCTTTAAAACTGAATTGCAGAGTTGGCATAAGCCCTCTGCTGTGCTGGATGTCCTTTAAATGCAGTTTCAGATGGAAACCTCAAATGTTTAAACTGCCCCAATGGCTGGTAGCTGGGAAAATAAATGGCAGTCCCTTGGAATAAAATCCCTATCCTCTGAATAACACGTATCACAGTCTCTCTGTGGTCCTAGGATGGACGATACCGAGAGCTCAAATTGCGAAGGAAAACCATCCAGTGGAGATGAAGCAAAACGTTCTGCCCAAGGGAAGCATTACTGTGAGAGACATCTATGGGACTGTGCCCGAAGCAGATGGTGCCAATACCGCCCATAAAGCAATAAAAAGTGATGGCAAAAGCTGGGGATGACAGCTCTGAAGATCCTTTTGCCCCTCCTTCATAGGAACAATGTTTTTCTCCTAACCAAAAGGCTGAGGGGGGTGAGGGGAATTGCAAGTAGCTAATTTGATTAGACATTATCCTTACAGGATGATGTACTGGCAGTTACACTCAAACCTTCCAGGCTTACTCATCCGTTGGCATAACAAGATTGCAGCTTATCTGATTTACTGAGTAATATTCTCATGCCACCTGCTTGTGTCCAAGAATAAGCTTTCCGCCCAGTAAGGATGCTGGCCATGCCCCTCACCCCTCCAGAGCCAGGGTCTACTTCCTAGCCTGGAGCCAGCCAGCTTCCCTACTCAAAGGAAGTCCCTTGAGGCTGGCAAGTGAAATCTGGGAGCTGCTGCTTGGGATCCTTCCACCCCAGCCATGCCCCAGCACCCTTAGATAGCACTGCTGCACAGCCCAGAATGACCAGGGATGAAAGAAGAGCAGGAAGGAAAACAAACAAACAAAAAATAGCTCAATGCAAAGTTTTAAATCATGTTTTAGATGAATGCCAATGTTTATTTATTTTCTTCCTTAATAACAGTCTGCTGTTAAGAGAGATGTTATGCTCTTCTCTCAAAGGGAAAAGCAGTGTCTAGGAGTGTGGCCCTGCATTAGCCAGTGTTCCAGAAGTCTTGGTGTTCAAAACTAGCAGCCCTTTCTGTACACTCCAGCACATAAGTATGTTTGGAATTTAGGATATCTAGCTTCTTATTCTTCAAGAGATCTTTGAGAAAAGACATTTTTGCTATACCAAAAAACTGGACACGTGGCCTAGTTTTGAGTAAGTACACCAAATCTAGAATGGTGAGTTGACTTCTTGTTCTCATCCTCCTTATTTCCATTTCAAACATGCACAGATTCTCTTACTCTTAGTTTTCATCATAGAATAGAACTTAGAGGTGATCCAGCCCCAACCCTGTGCCATTAGCAGGGCTGCCCCCCACTAGCTTTTTCCAAACTCTGCACTTTCTCTGTAAATGCCTTTCCCAAATAAGCTGTGCATAACATTAATAGAACATATGAAACCTAAATGCAGACCACTAGTGCCATAATGTAGGTGCTCAGGTCTACCCAAAAGTGGAAATGAAATGATGAAGAGAAGAGGCTCTAAGAAAAACTCAGGACTGGCAAATGCCTGGAGAACAAGAGGGCAGCATCTCAGACAAGAAAAGTGATTTGTAGAAAGCACAGCCACTATGGAAATAAAGACAGAAGTAATATTAGTATTGCTTAGTAAAGGACAGATGGGGAAGAGAAACTAACTCCAGTTAATTCAAGAATAAAGAAAGAACAGAAAAGACGACAAAGTAACAGTTAAGAAGAAAAGGGCTGATGAACACAAAAGAAACTGGAAACTATGGAAACAGCCAAGGAATGAAACTTGGGAAGGAATATAGAGAGCGTGGAGAGCATAGTGGATAAAAAGAGTGATGATGAGACAGGCCATGAGACAAAAACTGTCAGAAAATGTCCATCTATGCTTTGAGCATCCACTGTTGAGAAAGGAAATATTTGGGGAATGACACATTAAGGGTGCTGTCATGAGGAGGGAAATCAAGGCTGCAGAGATCTCGTGGGGCATGTGTCAGAGTTTGCTTTTGGCTATTCAGACAGGAGCAGGTGATGCTGTGCAATTCCCAGTGCAAGGACAATGAAATCAGGCTGGGAAGATGTTTCTGTACATTTACAAAGAATCTGATGGCATGCCAAGATAAAGAAGATGGAAGCAGCTTGTGGACATGCCTTTCCAGCTTAACATGACAGTGCAGGGCCCTGCCATGTACTCACAGAGAGTGGCTCTTATTCAAAGGACAGACAACTCTGACTAAATGAGGAAACAGAAGTACGGAATAGCTGCAGCTCCAGCAGTGGGACTGCAACAGTCATGACTCCTACTCTTTTCTCTCCTTATAGGCCAAGGAATGCTTCACGTTCACTCCTCAGTAGAAGTCGTTCAGTTATAATATTTTTAATGGGAACTAGTAGCTTCCTTTCTGAAGCAATACTGCAATTCCCAGCGTTTCCGTTTTGCTGTTCAATCTGATATGAATGTAAATGTGGTTTTGCGTTTAGCGCTTAGTAACATGTTGGGACCTCAAGAGTCGATTGGGCCTCTGGATTCCTCTCTAAAACAAATCACTTTGTTATCTCAGTGCCCTCTGTGGTAAATAGCATGACAAGGTGAAAATGTTGAGGTTTCCTATCTGTGGAAGACTTGACCTATCTCAGGTCTTGCAGCTTCAAAGAAGGTCATCTGCTTAAATTATAAAAGAGACAAAAAATCTTCCATGAAGAAAAGTAATAATCTAATCATTTTTGATAGCTTTGAAAATAATATACTGCCACATTTTTTTTTTTCCCCTGTTTTTTAAAGCAATATAATAAAGGCCACAAGGAAAGCAGACAGAAAGCTGAAAGCTGAAATCCAAGTGTATGCAAACACCTTTGGCTTATTCTCTAGCTCTGTGACTCACTAAGCCTCCTGCTCACAATCACCCTCCCCTTGGAGAACAGAGTGATATAAATCTTCCTCCTTAGTCTTTTTCCACCTTCTGCTGCAGATAGAAACAGTGTCCTCTAATGCTTGCTAAGGCCAGGTGCCTGACTAATGGTCTTTGGCTGCATGCAAGTACAGATTCCCCTGGCTTTGTTAATTTGTGCTTCTGGTTTTAGCTTTTAAATCCATCTTCAAGCTTGCAGTGAACATCCAGGCTTATTCAGAACTGCTCAAGCCCTGTGCCAGCAGTATCTTATTGTAAACCACCTTGAGATGCCATGTAAGGAGCTATAAATATCCTGTTGGAGAAATCTGAGAGGTATTAATTGCTTTCTGAGTATATGATGTTCTAGCCTTACACCTTGGTTGACTCAAGGCTAAAGCCTGTAGATTCATTCCTGGTTCATGAACTAGACCTACCATGCTATACACGTAATTTATTCCTTCAAAGACAGTTCTTAACCTCTGTGCTTCTCATCTTCAGGAGGTATCCTGCAAAAAACAGAGGGGATTAAATGAGCTCTAGTCTGCTACCTAACAGAGCAGCATGGCAGGGGGTTGGTCTGTCCCAAGGAGACAGCCCCTTTTCTCCCATCTCTCTCCAGGAGAAGAACATCTGGTTACTGAGATATGCAAAGACTGCCTCTGTGTGCAAAGACCTTAGCTCCAGACAGCTTAATTCCCAGCACGTTTGCAGATGCCACCTTCATCTATTTGGAAAAGGCAGACTCCTGTGCTGGAGCAGGTGCCCTCTGTGTTTTAGGCACCAGGGCACTGGCAGAAAATACAAATGTTTTGTCTGGAGACAAATGTTGCAACTGAAATGAATAAATCTGTCAACATATACAAATAGCACAGCTCAGTAGTAATAAAAGTAGACATACAATACTGAGTAGTATGTCTAGTAGCAAATGCTAGGAAATAATAAAAAATTTTTAAAATCCACTTCTGTAGTAAAAAAAAATGTCTGTTTTTCATCAAGTTGTCCCAGGCTGGGTAGTGATCTCTTTGTACCAAGAAGCAATAGGCCATTGGGAAACTGTTCTGACTTGAAGCAAAATTCAGCAGTTTATTGATCAAGCTGACACCGTCTTTTGCATAGCTGTGCAGGAAACAGGTGACAGCACAAAAAAAATGATCCACTCTTTGGCCAGCAGATCATCAGCGCGTTCACATCTCACTTCAGGAGAAATGTAGCCACCTCTGCATTCATTCTGTGCTGCCAAGGCTTGGGACAAAAGCCATGGTTTAGTTTTGTGGCCAGACCTGTGACAATGGTCCTATGGAAACCACTGTGACTCTGCTCTTGGTGCATACAAAATGAGAAAAATCCAACCTGGCTGGGCAGTGCAACTGGAGGGGAGAAAAATGTTACGACAAAGGATAGTGAAGAACTGGCACAGGTTGCCCAGAGATGTGCTGGATGTCCCATGCCTGGAGACATCCAAGGTCAGTCCAGATGGGGCTCTGAGCACCTGACTGAGCTGTCACTGTCCCTGTTCATTGCAGGGGAGTTGGACTAGATGGCCTTTAAGAATCCATTCCAACTCAAAAAATTATATGGCTCTATGATACTATAATAAGTAATACCAAATGTATTGCAGCCTTGGAAAGAAAAGACATTCAGGACTCATCTGTTGCTGGGCAGTAGATCTTAGAGAAACAGCCCATCTAAGGTCTCAAAAATTTTGCAGTAGCTGCAAGAAAAAAGCTGATGTCCCTCATATTTTTGAAATTCAAGCTGCACCTGTCACTGAAGTGAGTGGCATGCAACGAAAAGTGGTGGAGCCTAATGCTTTCCTCCCCTGCTTCCCAGGGGTGGGCAGGATGGAAAAGGACACCCCCCAGGTCAACCGCATCTTGTGGTTGGCTTCTGGTCTCTTCTGCATCCTCTTGTTTTCTTTTGCAAGCCAGGAACATGTGCGAGTCCATCTCCACTTGGGCTGTGTGTTCATGTGCAGAAGAGCAGATGACCCCTGGTCTGCAAAGTGCTGGTCAATACGTTTAGTAGGAATGTCATTATCATATTCCAGAAAGGAAGAATGCCTTTCAGTTTAAAGCAATGAAGTATTTAAATTGTGCCTTAATAGTCATGAGGCAGTGATTTATGCTGCTTTTTTTATCTAATGACGCAACACACCCAGTAACCTTACCCCTGAATCACAGAGGAACAAACTTCAAGTGATTTTTCTGTCATCAGTATTGCACCACTCTTTGTCAGGAAAGATCAGCATTTTGGAGAAGAAGTAACAGAAACCACAAAGTCCTCATCCAGTGGCCTTTATGTGGCCTGCCACCACAAGAATTCCTCCATTCTCCTTCTTCCTGCCTTGGCAAGGAAACCACGCAGGCCATCATCGTCCTCTCAGGCTTTGGGCAGACCCGGTGTGAGGACATGGATCCTCCAGGATTGTGGGCACATGTATGACAACCCCAGAAGGATGCCCTGCATCCCCAGCAGCATGAAATGGAGTGAAGCTACAGCTGGAAATCCTCCTGACTTATAGCACAATAACCACCACTGTGTCTTTAACAAGGGCAACTCAGAATCCAACTACTGGCAATTGTTCTCCAGTACATTGGTAAACAAGCTCACAAGTTAATTGCCTTGTGGGCAGCAGGGAACTGAAGGCCTGATGCTGGAGGCTATTTAGAGATCTCAGACTATGCTATCAGCTGCTGAGCTAGCGCATGTTGCTAAATCTGAGCAGGCAGTGCAATTGCAGTAATTCCCAGAACAGTTTACCCAACGCTTATTCCAATAATAAGGCATAAGGAGGGGGCTGTTGGGGATAGGAAAACCAAAACTGCTGCTTCTGTATTTCATAGGATAGGCAGAATAGGCCACTAATTATCTCATCTGCAATCCTGCTTTACTGTAGGCCATTCAGACTCTTGTGCTTAGAACAACGGACCAAACATTCTATTTAGTGTGAGCACCTCGTGTATAAACAATAGCCAGTTTTGATTAGCAGGCCTGAAGGATACTCTTGGATGTCTTCTTTGACAACCAGACCCTTCAGTGCACCTTTGTTCTCATAAGATCCACTTTATGTTACATCAAATTTAACCAGTCCAGGAGCATACTTTGATGCTTTCCTCCCCTTTTTTTTTCATATGCCCAGCATACACTACAGCAACACTGTTAAAGTGAAGGTTAGTTTGATATTGTTTTCTTCTTTCTCCAAGCAGCAAGTAATGGAGTGACAGATGTTGCAGTCACCAACCAAAATCTTGGGCTGTGATTAGCTATTATTAGCATGTCGATAATCTCCAAGGGATCCAAGGGATTAAGTGGTCACCTAAGCATGGCTTCAAGTGTCACCTATGTCTCACAGGGACATAAACTAATCTCTTTTGTTGGAAACAGATGAAGTGATAAGTGTTTCAAAGCCATTCTAATTTACAGAAAATGCTGCAGTTCATTCTTTCTTAAGTCACCATTTAGGAGCAGAAAAGAACAATTCTGAGCTCAGATTTTATTTCAAGGAGGGTTGTTTGAAAAGCTGGTGGACACCTAACCTCTCACAAAGCAGCTAGTGAAATTGACAAGGTTTGTCGAGCATTTATAGACTTCCGTTAATGTTCTTCCCACTCCTAAACGCAGCAACTTTTTCTGAACAAGAAGCGAAGGCAAGGAGTGTGTCCCAGGGCTGTACAGCATGTGGACAAGGCTGCAGGTAAGCTGCTGTGTCTGAACTAACAGAGCTGGTTACTTTCACACACAGTGTTGGGGACCCTGCTGATCCCTGAGGTACAGAACAAATGGTGAGCAGACAGCTGCAGCTGAAGGGTTATTTTGGAAAATGGCTATTTGGCACCTTTCTAGAAAACAAAACCACCAAGTTTCCAGGCAGAAGGTGAAGTGCCCCATGCCTTGTTGGATCAGCTGGGCATGCATCACCTCCCTGCATCTTCATGTCTTCTTGTCACTGGAAGAACTGAGCCACCAACAGACAGGGAAGGAAGTACTATTGTTCCTAACGGTGACCATCTCCAAATGCTCCACAGGCTATCCCCTTCCCATAGGTGCTGAGGATCAAAACCCTGTCCTGTCTGCTCTCCCGATGGTTCCTAAAGCATGAGCACACCTCTGAAATCTGCCCCAATCTCCACATGATATGCAACCCAGATGGATCCTGAACCAGGAGCAAGTTTCAGGTATGCAGTAACCCCAGATGAACTTGCCCAAGATGTTGCTAAAAGACAGCAATTTTAGCATCTCCATGTTCTACTGCGCAGTTTGCCATGCAGTCTTCCCACCTCTCAGGCAGAAGACAGTACCTTTATCACCATTTTGTGGGAAGGGCAATGCCTGTAAGTGTTGCAGGGCAGTCTCCAGCAGACATTTCAGTAGTGCCTACAGATATTTTATTGGCAGTTGCCAACATTACCTCTGTGTGGCAGGGATCTAGTAAAGGCTTGGTAGTGACGTTTAGAGTCATAAAAGGAATGTTCCACAGAGGGTGTTTTTGAATGAGTTCCTACCCACTCATGGACTAGACTGTCTTTTTAGCCATGTTCTCCCACACTCTCACCCTGACCACAGTACTGGCTATGATTGGCTTGAAAGCCAATTTTTGTTTAATCCAAAGTCTTTTGTTTTAATGCCTGTGCTCAGCAAACCTCTGCTATTTTAGGAAGGCTGTGCCTGTGAAGGTTCTGCATGCGAAGCAAACACTCAAAGCCAATTTCATGCTGCTCACTTGGAAGAGCAAGGTACACTCAGTCACTCCACCAGACTTGCAGATGCCAAGTATCCTTGTCTCCTTCTGAAATATAAATGGAAGTTGCACAAAGGTCAAACCAAAGTTTCCCCTGGCAGAAAGCTAGCACTGTCTTTCCTACGTAATGGGCGCCTCTGAAGAAGCTGCTTGGAAAGCAAGATAGTATACACCAAGATAGCCAGAGAGCTGGGTTGTATGCTTCTGTTGAGGAATTCCTGCGCAAGCAAATGATCACTGCAACAAGACCACACATCCAAAAGGCCTTACCCTTTTTGCCAGTGCCCAAACTGTTCAGCAGCACCTGGAGATTCAAGACTCCCTGGCCTTACTTGACAGAAACTGTGGTTATCCCTAGTGAGAGTGTCTGAGTCTTTCCAGCACCCATCAGCCCAATGGAAGAAGTCATCAACAGTGAGTCAACTCATAAAGGAGTGGCTGAAATTTTCTAACACTATCCAGGTGACTGTAGTTGGAAAAAGTACACAGCCGGCCGGTACAGTTGGGAAAAACCTTTGATCACTTTAGAAAATTGAAAGAATGGCAGGCACTTTTTACTATCAACATTTTTTATATAAAGGCAAAATCTTTTTTTTTTTTGCATATGTTTTTTTAGTAGAGGGTTTCATTTTAGCAGACAATGCATAACATCTGTCTGCTCCTGGACGGATCATCCTCATTTGATAATGCAGATATTGGAAGGGCTAAAAATATAACTGCTCCAAACAAGTAATCAAATATGAACATGTGCCTGTGCAGATGAATATGTATGGTCCATGAGTTTGTGATTAATGCTCAGTGCTTATTCTCCCAACACGTGTAAGAAGCAGGAAGATCTCAATGAGACAAAGGTGTGGTACAATCACATCAGCAAAGTTATTAGCTTTCTGGACAGCTTTTTCCATTATGTAAAAGCTGTGTTTGTATTAGAATAGCAGTCAGACACACCAGTGTGAGGATTACAGTTGGTTTTTATATAATGGATTATCCAGATTAAGCGTTTTATTCAGGCACATGAGCAAAAATAACCAATTAGTGACTTTGCAGATTCATTATTTAAAGGCAGCTGGAGGGCAATTGACACAAAACTCTCCTGCTGACTTCAGCCTGAAGACTGAAGCAGAGTAATCTCAGGGATCTTCAGCACCTCTACCCAACAGGTAGGTGTCTCTTCAGCAGAGGTGAGACAGATCAGCAGATCTTGCAGTAGGAAAGAGCAGCTTGCACGGCAGCAGCTGGGAACAGAGTAGCTGCTTGGGTGTCTGGAAGACCTGGGTTGATAGCTGTTTGGATGTTGAAAGCAAGATACAAGCAGCTGTGGTGTTTTTTTGGGGGGCATCAGAGCAGATATTCAGGGATGAGTACTATGTAAGAATGTATATGCAGTTGCTCTCTCTTCCCAAAGTGTGAGGAACGAACATACAGAGGTATGGGTGAGAATGGAATGCCCTGGGAAAGTAAAATAGCCATAGCCATCTGGTAGCTGTGATTGCAGATCATTTCTGGAGCTGGATCTGCAATGGCAGATCCAGCTCCAGAAATGAACTATTATTTGTTATGTTTGTAAGGCGGATGTAAAGTTAAACAATCCTAAGATGTATTTTTCTAGGAGGAACCTGATTCACTGACAAGAACTGGTCATATTGAACACAGCTTTGCTGTTTTCAAAGTGATGGGCATACTCAGGAATAACGTCCTTCCACCCTACAATGCTATATCAGAATTCATCAGAACATTATTTTCTGCAGTGCTACTACTGTCAAGCAAAATTATCTTGCAAAGCAATTGCCAATGGAGCTCAGATTTGCTGGAATCAGGCTCCACAATGACCCACGTTTCTCAGTGCAATAAACAGTACAGTACTGGAGTGTTGAAGAAAACTAGCTTCAAAACTAGCTAAAATTAGGAGCTATATATATAGAATCTGTAGGCATAGCACTAGCTATCCACATTTAGTGCATGAAATAAAACTCTGCCCATTTGCTTTTGTCTTGCAGAATGAAATACGCACAATACCTTTTCCTGGCATCAATCCTCTCCACGGTTGAATATAGCCTAGCTCAGACCTGTGCAGTGGACTCTTTCTCTGTGAAAGACAATTTTGATCCAAAAAGGGTAATTACGGTTACTTCATCTTGGTAAATAGAGTATGTGTGAAGAAGCTTAGCTATGTGAACTCATTTTCCAACTTGGAGGTTGCTAAAAGGGCTCCTCACCAAGAGGTTAACTTCTTTCCCAACGCTGTCTCTCAAATGCTGCTTCTACAGTTTGCTTGCCTTGTTACTCCTTAACCTTCTGAGCGTTGTGGAAAAGCTGGCCCCGTAAGTCAGGGATGTCACACTGTTACACCCAGCCTTCTATTAGCTGAAATTCAGCTCAGGCCTCAAACGAATTTAACCCAGCTAAATTCAGCTTTCCCCAGTGTTTCCATGGACAGTGTTAACTTCTGAGGACCTTTCTGCCTTTCACTGTCTCGCTTACACCTTTTTTTTTTTTATTTTACTAGATATTGCTTTTGCATTTCCAGGAACTCCATGTTTTTTTCTAAGAATTTTCCTCTTAGTCTCACTTCTCCCACACCACACCCTGCTGCTGGCCTGCCCCAGAACATCATTTCATCTCTGTATCATCTCCGGCTATGCAGGGTAGACTGTTGGCACTGTTAAGAGACCAGCTGTGGCCCCTGACAGCCACCAGAGTGACTCCTGACAGGTTGCTTGTGTCTTTCTGGATGCATTTTGTTATTGGCATTTTAATCTTACATGGAAAAGCAGGGTGCTAAACAGTAACTAGAACTGTTCTGATTCACATCAGGCACTCCAGGGCAGGAGAAGCTTTCAGAGTTGGGTAGCTGTGTCAAGCATTTCTCAAATGATAGAGTAAATGCAGACAGAAATGCACAGTTGTGAGACCCGCTTCTCAAGGCACGAGACAAGAGTTTACCACACAGTGGAGCAGGACCTGCATGGTTTGTACCCACATGACTCACATTCATTTTGGGCAGGGCAATTGGTAGAAGTGCACGCTATTTATAGAAATGCTCTTGTGCTAATCTTGAAGTGGTGATTAATCTGTATAGTAATAATCTTTCACTTTAGTATGCAGGGAAATGGTATGCCTTGGCCAAGAAGGATCCAGAAGGCCTTTTCCTTCAGGATAACATCTCTGCTGAATACACTGTTGAGGAAGATGGCACAATGACAGCTTCTTCCAAGGGCCGGGTGAAGCTTTTTGGGTAAGCTTTCTTAACTTATAGTTCCAGCAGCTGCCATGAGGTACTCAGCGTGGGGACATGGATGGTGATCTGTCAATGCACACAATGCAAACAGGTTGTCTTTGTCCAAAAAGAAAGATGGATCAAGCCAGTACATTAATGGCTAGACTTCTGAGTCTGGGTTAGTTCTCACCCTGGCTGTGGTCTGGATGTATCAAAAATGACTGCATAACCTCCAGTTTCAATTATAAAGCTCAATCTTGAATATGGAGCTATTAGGTAAATCTCAGACAAGAGAAAAGAGCTAGCAAGCCTGCAGGCAGACGAGAGCACAACAGTGCTGGTTTCACAGAGGATCAAGGGAAGGAAACAAGCGTAAGCAAGAATTGCTTTTGCTGATCATTCAACATAGCATTAAGCAGACTTCTGAGAAAAACGCTCAGTTAGCTCTTAGATACCACTGTGGTGCCTGAACAGACAGACGGAAAGAACCTTAAGAATTCTGCTTGTCAGTCATGGTTACTGTAAGGGATCACAATATATGTAGGGATTAAATAGCTTTCTGCCTGTGGAGAAGACAGTCTGGGTCTTCCAGCAGGCCAGCGCTAGTTCTGTTCTGCATCAGCTACTGAATACTACCTAACTGCATGAATAATAGAGCAGAGTAGGTGGCTGCAGACCTTAGTTCTAACAGCATGGCACTCTAGCAAATCTGAAGGATTTGCAGGCATGCAGTTGGGTGGGAAGATTCCTGAAAGGACTCTTCAGAGACCAGGTGGGATATAAAGGCTGCCGGGAATTTCTTTCTGTAAAGGCAGCATAAGAAGGAAATACATCCCACAGAATGCAAATGGAGAGCCTTCCAGTGCTTCACAAATCCAGTAATGCTTGCCATACTGTGGGGAGGCACAAAGCAAAGGGGTGTGAATAAGGACCATTAGCGGAAAAGGATGAAGAAGACTGTCTGTGTGGGTAGTTACAAGGCTCCCATTGTCTGGGCAAAAGACTTTGACTGGTTTGGCCAGCAGAGGCTGTCTGTGCTTGTTTCTGCGCATGTAACAGGCATCCCTGTGCCAATAGACAAGGAAGGTGAAAGGAGAGGAGAGGTACTCCCAGCAGAGGGGTTGGATCCTGGCCTAGCCTCAGCATGGCAGCTCTGTAGACAGTGGGGCCAGAGCAGAGCAGCCACGCATCGGCATTAATGGAGCCACATACTCGCTGCATTTAATAGCAGACTAGCTTTGCACTAGGGATGACTGTGTCTGAGGGTGTTGAGCTGAATCTGGCCTGGTGCTTGCCCAGTCCTCAGTGGGGTTCACCCAGAATCTTACCATCAGTCCTGCGGGTCTCGTTGCAGGTTCTGGGTAATCTGTGCTGACATGGCTGCTCAGTACACAGTGCCAGACCCGACCACTCCTGCAAAGATGTACATGACGTACCAGGGCCTGGCGAGCTATCTGTCAAGTGGTGGTGAGTGCCTCTTCCTGCCTCCTCACTGTGCTGCCTAGAGCTTACCACTGCCTGGATTTGTGCATTTGTGACCACAACTCAGGCTGCACCATGTCTGCTCCAGTTCTTCACCTCACAGGTGGAGACGTGCTGGAGGTGGGAGACTCTCAGTCCTGCAGGAGGCTGCCCAGCCCTTTGTAGAAGTGTGGCCTCTCTGTGCTGCGCAGCCCAGTCCGCCATCAGTCTACCATGCCTACAGTAACAAACACACGCTCTGTGTTTCAGGGGACAACTACTGGGTGATTGACACCGACTATGACAACTACGCCATTACTTACGCCTGCCGCAGCCTGAAGGAGGACGGCTCCTGTGATGATGGCTACTCCCTGATCTTCTCTCGCAACCCCCGTGGCCTGCCCCCCGCCATCCAGCGCATTGTGCGCCAGAAGCAGGAGGAGATCTGCATGTCTGGCCAGTTCCAGCCTGTGCTGCAGTCAGGTACCTCAAGCCAACCCGCAGAGAAATGGCTGCACAGGCAGCTTGCAGGGGAGGTGACCACATTTGCTGTCAGTGTGGCAGAGCTGCAGCAAGCCAAGCTGTAATCGTTTACGATGTTTTTAACTTCATAAGAAAACACTGCAAAAGGCAAGTCCACAGGAGGTAGAGACCCTGTTCCATGGCCTTAAGTTTCCCCTTGTGTGCTGACGCTGACATGTTACAAAGGGGAATCAGCTCCTCTGTATCAAATAGGTTGGAGTGCAACAACCTGATAGTCGGAAATGGTTGGCTTGGCCACCTGAGTAACAGCATCTTACTCATGTTTGTGCATCGTCCATGAGGAAAAGGAAGGAAACCTGCCTCCAGAGAGAAATGTGCTCCTCTCCTTAGCTCATTTTGCGTCCTATGCTGTCTGAACAGCAGCAATGAGGGGCTTTGAGCAGCAGTTCTGGCTGTGTATGCTGGCAGTGAGAGTTAGCAGCTGCTTCACACACACGCTAATGGAGCATATCTGGGGCCCGTTTTGAGGACATTTTTTTTCCTGGGGCCATGGAAGCTGATCTTCCAGCTGTTCCTGTGGTAGGCAGATTAATTTCTACAGCTACACTGGGTGCAAAAGTGTCTCTTCTTGGTGGCTACCCTTTACATATAGCACGTTGCCTGGAGATAGGCCCTGTACTAAGCCAGACCGGAGGACCTGGGCTGGAGGCTGCCACTCTGATTCAAGTGCTCTGCAATGCCAGACAGGAAAAGGCAGAGCAAGCACTGGCATCACACCTGGTTATGGGGATGGTGGGGCATCCCTGCCCCTTGCCCCTTCATATTCATGGGATCGTGTTGATGTGTTCAGAGGGCTAAGAACTCAGTTGTCTGTGTCTAGCAAAAGTTGGGAGAACAGGTACAGAATGACACAGCCTGTCTTGTTCTGTGAATCAGCAGTAGTCTAGGAAGATGTTAACTCCAGTTTCACTAAAGGCTAAAAGGCTGGTAGAACACTTTGCACATTTACTTACCTGAGCTGAGATTTCTTTTCTTTCTTTGCAGGAGCCTGCTAAGAGTATATTTCTGATTCTACCCCTGAGCACAGAAGCCAGACCTCTTGGTACTGAAGCTGCCACTCAGCTAATAAATCATAGTAGTGTGTTTTCTCTGAAAAACACATGAAAATGTTGGGGATTTTGTAAACTGTGTGCAGTACAGTAGTGGTATCTGAATTTTCAAGGTAATACCTAATGTGGCATTTGTCAATAAAAGTTTTTAAAAAACCCATCTATAACTGCTTTCTGTTGCACGCCACTGGAGAGCGGAAGCGGGGCAGCTCCCTGGGAAGGGAGGAGAGCAGGGTGGTCTGCCACAGCCCTTCATGGGGCCAGCAGGGCTTGATCGTTGCTGCCTGGTAATGTCCTATAATTATTTCTGGAACAACTGAATAGAAAAATAATATTTCTGAGTTGACCCCAAATCTAGAATGCAGTAAAGCAAATGTTCCTTTCAGTAGCACTGGGCCATTGCTTTAAGAGAGCAGGTACTTCTGTTTCTAATGACACAGGCAATAACACACTCTTCACTGACTTCTTATCCAGTCTCTGGTACCTGAGAGCTATAGAACACAAAGGTACACAACTGGCATGTTTTGTGGGCAACATTTTCATTGATAAAAGAACAAAAATAATATCTAGACAACTCCTTGTAGAAAAAGGGTAAACTGAGTCAGTATTTTTGACAATTTCCACATTCCTTAGTGCAATCAAATTCACTTAGAATGTTCCTATGAATAAAACCATCAGAACAGAACACACCCCACACTGTGCTGAACCCTGCAGTTTGCCAGCAATACGAGGAAGCACATAAGACCAAGTTGAGCAGTTCTCACTCCTGAGCCCTGCATTAGGTCTGTGGTACCGGGATGAAATACAGAAATGCCTCAGAGCATCACATCACAAAACAGCTTCTGCGACATGCAGTGTCTTTCTTACTGTATCCATGAACACTATCCACTGTTATCTGCAGGAGAAGCATGTAAAACACTAACTAAATACATTTCCCCAGGGCCAGACACACGATCCTCAGGATGCAGGGATGTCTCTCAGGCTTTCTTTTCTCAGGAAGCACTCTAAAGCCTCTCAGCAGAGAAACTATGGTATTAAGGTGTTCTTGCTTTTCTAGCCTACATTAGACTACTTCAAGGGGACAAGGTGGTGAACCACCTAAAGTTAAGGTCAGAAGCAGAAGAGCAGCACGCAATGCAAAAGCAAAACCACACAGATAAGAGACTACTGAGTGTTAAAAGATTCCAGTCTTTTGAGCTGGACTAAGTGCAAGGTTAGTGAATCGATTTAATGTTCACCACTTGTTCACCAGTTCCATGAAGAAGTATTGGGGTGGAGTTCTGTGAACTTTGGACTTGTATTACAGCTGATTAGACAACACAAGCCCCTAGATGAAGGAGCCTGACCTTTGGCCAAGACATTCAGACCAGAATACCAGACACCGAGAGGTGAGATTTTAAATTGTCTGCAACTATAATATACAAATTGGCTGGGCATTCTAGCAAGCACAATCCAGACGCAGGGCCAAGCACATCCTTACCGCACTAGGCACAGTCTGTAAGAGTTAGGCAGTAAAATCCCTTCCCAGTCACAAAAGATTGTGCCTCCAGGAAGGCAAGTGGGACTCTGGGAGATTACATCACAGAGTTACACATGTCCCAGGAGCCTGCCTTGTCCTGAGAAAACACATTCCCATCAAGATCACATTCAGGACCTTACTGTGTGATCTGATGAGTTAATAAACAGATAGAAGTGATCTAATTAGCTCATGTCCATTTCTCTCCACTGACTTCTCAGACTGACAGGCTAAGTAAAGTCAGTTAGGTAGTAACAAGTGTATTCTGCTCTGAGCCAAAGTACTCTCGCTCTACTGGGTTCAGCATCTGATGTTCAGTGTAAGTCTAGGGCAGACACACTTCTGCTTGCTGTTTTAGCAGGCTAATGGAAACCAGTCTATTATTCCTGGTTCTAAGCGTGTCTACAGGTCCCAAGTCCTCCTGTTCTGCACAAACTTTCCACTAACAAGAGCATAGAAAAAACTGTTTACAAATGAAAAGGACTGTTGTTTTGTCCTCAGAAGGTCTTTTGGTGCTGGCAGAAAGGCTGAGATTGTGCAACAGCAGGAGGAACACTGCAAGGATCTTGTCCTTCAGATGCCAGTGTACCTCCTCACACCAAGGACACTCAAGTCCCGAGATCCAATGGTAGAATACCATAACATGTTAAACCAGTTTTCCTCTGGGCATAAAGAAAAAACAAACCTGTAGCTGAGAAACCTATGTGTCTAAAGCCCTACTTCAGCCTCGACATACTTTTTTTTTGTCACACTTCCTCCATGCTTCAGTTCTGTATAAGGTTGGAATTCGCACCAGTCAGGCTCCTATACCTTGAGAACAGTGGCAGTGCTTCATAATTAACCACTAACATAAGAGTACTGAGCAGCTACCAGAGCACAGTGATTGCACCTTGTTTTAGCAGGATTCATACTTGCTAAAACAGAGATGTTTTATTGTGCAGCACAAAAGATGGTAACAAATCCAGTATATACACAATTAAACAATATAAAATATCCCCTTGATTTTTCCTTTGTATTCATTTTAACAAACAGTTGCAAAACAATCTCAGAAGCTTTTGCCTCTTGAAAAGCACACCATCTTATCTTGAGGTTGCAGTTAGATTTTCTTATTTCTATTGCTTAGCCAGAAGATGACTTATCTGAGAACTCTGCAGTGCTGCTTTGGCTCAGAAGCTACAAAAACCACCGAGCACCTGCTACTCCCCACTTATCATTTATGCACATCCAGCACTTATGAAACCTTAAAGCACTGGAGAAAGCTGACCGCTGTCCCAGTAAAGGAGGAGATGGTAGAAATGAACGACTAAGCAAGCAATGTTAGAAGCCCCATGAGACAGTCAGTGGCAAACAGTCATAGAGAACTCAAGTTTCAAGTTGTAAGTAGCAGATTTTGTAGTCACTGAAATACAGAAAAGACCAGAGCAGCAAGTTCATACCTTGCTGGGAACAAATTCTAGTCTAGAAACTTTCTATCCTCTATTACAGATTTTTGGATTTGCTCATTGCTTAAAGGAGTAAGTTTATACTAAAGCAACAAAGAAGAAGTAGAAAAATAAATAAATCTTGCTGAGTATGTAAAACTTGTTTCTGAACAGTTAGTGCACCATTTTTGGTCAGCTGTTTTCCATGCACAGTTGCCAGTGCCAGTGAATACTTGAAAAAGCACCATCCACACTTTGGATGATTAATGTAGGAGACCTAAAAGAGGTTGCTGGTGACTTCAAAGTGGCTGAAGTTGATCCTGACAGAATAGATTCTACCTGCATCTACAATATTCTTAGGTCTGCTTTTGCAAATATTATTTTTATAACTATTGTATAGTCCTTGAATTGAAAACTACTACTACATGCAGTAGCTGCCCACGCAGGGAAATCATAGTAAGACTACATAAATATGGCATCCTAACTGTCCTCTCATGCTTTTATATTATTCCCATTTCAGATGCACTATTCATACTTAAATGTGTCTTAAATGTGTCTCAGTGGTTCCACCTCATACTGGCAAACTCTGTATCTTATCTAGTGGATCTACTTATCTTCATTTTTGGATTCTTCACTTGGATGTAGTTGTAACAATGTTAAAATGTATTTTTACTATCCCCATTCTGGTAGGACTTCTCACTGACGCTTTTCTGAAACTGGTATAATTACCAACTAAGAAGACTCTGATGTTTTTTTTCTTGTTGTGTACAAGTCTTTACAAGTAAGGAATTGGCAGATTTGGATGCAACAATCACTCCTCAGTCAAACTTCAGTGAGGTAAGAAATATTTCCCCTGAATTCTGAGGTCAAATTTTTTAAGGCTAGCTTTTAGTATAAGCACTTGAACAAATAACTAGAAAGTGTCATTGAATACTGACATTCTGTATGTTTCTTTCCCATGCTGTAAATACGCAGCCATTTTAGACAGTTCAGCTATCTCCTGCTGTGCAAACTTTTTTTTTTTTTTTGTCTGCGTTTCATCAAAAATGCAGGCTTCGTTGTGAGGCTGGTGAGGTGTCTGATGTCAGCAAAGAGAGCAGCAGGGGAGATGTTTGTGTGACAAAGTTGCTCCTCTAATGGAAAACATTCCAGCTGTTTTCACTGGCAATATCTTTCCCTCTACAAGCATTTTAAAGGCACTGCTCAAACTGTGCTGCTGTGAAGAGGGGTGAGTAGAAAAAACACCCCTGCAATTTCAAGGAACTTTGTTGTTGCATAAAGTGTTTGGCATTTGCAAGGACAGCCAGAGGTGTTCCGTAGCTCATTATCTGGAGCAATAACACACTTGAGCATGTGGTTTCTGAAATATGGAGACTCAAACTGCTCTTGATTAGTTTCCTAGCTGGTTGTCAGCTGTAGCCCTCTGTTAAATGTAACTGTGCATTATGCTATAACACAAAAGGCTTTAACCAGCATTTTAACTTTCCTGGGAATCCAAAGCCAAGCCTCAGCTCCTTTACAGTCTAAGCATGAAACTCCAGAAGGGAAGCATGCTGGGGAGAGATGTTACCTGAAGGGCTGTATAAAGCGAGATTAGGTAAGAGTGGAATGGAGAGGAAGAGACACTTTTGGAGCTAGAATCTTCACCCTAAAGAGGCAGTAACTCATGGTTCTGTACAAACACAAAGACCTCCACAAAGGCAAGGAGGTGACTTACGCAAAGGCAGCAAGCAGCAGGCGCAATGCAGTCTACAGGCAGGAACTCCCTTTGTAAGAGGGAGAAGAACCTCCTGCACCTAAGAAGAGTGGAAGTGCTCTGAAACAACCCTCAGGAGCATGTATTTAACTGATGGGAAAGACAGGACCTTCCACTTCATGATCTGTATGTGCAAGTCTGGTTGCCATCTGCTCTTCTATCACTCTTTACGTCAAGATACAGTCAGGCAGCTGAAGCAGGCAGCTCACTCTCAGACAGGTCCTCCTTGTGCCTTTACTGCCATCCTCGCCCATATAGTAAAGTGATGGCATTGCTCCTGCTGCAGTTTGTGACCTTCATGAATATCTGTCTGTTCTGCATATCAGATTGGTGTAAAATAGCAAACAATAATTTCTAGCTACCAAACTGAATGCCAGTCCTATAACTGTTGTCAGCAGTGGTTTTTTGATAACACTGTCTTTGATCTCTGAAGAGTTAATAGAGGCAGTTGCTTCTGACTTGCGTTCCTAACTTGCTTCATCAGGTCCTTTCTATACTCCCCCTGTAGATTGGGAGGAGTTTACTTTTCTGGGGAGTTGTCATCTGCAGGAAGAATACATCACTCCGTCAACAAACCAGGCACCACTCTTCAGAGTCACTTGAGAGCTTCAACATACTCCACAGGAACAGAGGACAGGCCTGCTTTTCCCCAGTAGTCAATGGCATGCACCCTGTAAAAGCCGGAGACTGAGCTTCCTGCAAATGAAAAGGTTAGAAATGGTAAATGTGAAAGGCTGATACATGTGGTGCTTAGAGGATGTGGAGCAGGCAATGCCCTGATAAAATGTGGGTTTGTGGGAAGTAGTTAATTCTGTTGTGCACGCTACATAAGTGTGCCTGTACCTGCCTAGTTAAAAAGGCATATAAAATCCTCAGCGCCAAATGCTCTTATTTTCATTAGCATCGAGCACCTCCTCTCTTGTTATTAGGACTTGTGAGCACAGTCATGGGACTGCCTTCCCAGCAGCCCTTCCAAAGAAGGCTAGGGTATCTCCAGAAATTTTCCTTTTTTCTGACTTGAATTCTGCCTATTGTTGTGTGCTGGGACAGGTTACATGCGGACAGGACCAACAAAGGAGAACGACGATTATGCAAGCTGACTGAAAATCCTCTGTTCGACTCCAGTAGTGGGACGGCTTTCTCCAAAGGTATGTGAGATGCTATTCTGCAGCTCTGCTAGCTTTCATCCTTTATCTAGCTTAAAGAAGACAGCCTTCACTAGCAAGGACTTCAACTTCACAAACAATATGTTTTTTGTAATCTATTTACTTGACTTAAATCTGAGCTTTAGTATTTTTTCTTTTCCTTAAGAAAAAAAAAAAAAAGGGTGGAAATGATGAGTGAGAAATAAGCATCTAGCAAAAAAAAAAAAGCTGCAAAGATGTGGGAATTTTTTCAAGAAGTCTTTTTTTTTAAAACAAGTAAATATGGCACATTCTCCAGATGAGCAGCACTAGATGATAATTGATTCTAATCTCAGAAATTTGCCTTAGCCATAATTTACAATTTTTTCTAACCTGGGCAGCCTTCCTGTTGCAATAATACATCATGGCTCTGAACTTTATTGTGTGCCCACTGTTGATGCTAAGTCTTTCTTGGGCTAAAATGAGCTTTTGTTTTTGGCAAAAGCTTCTCTGGCTTGCAGTTCATTAGTATCACTTTCAGACAAGAGATCGGTTGACACAGATGAACTTCCTTCTAATGTGAAATATCTAAAACTTAGGCAGCTAGTTGAATCTGAAAATAAAGCTGTAGGAAAGAGCAAAGAGATGCATCTCACTTTGGTTAGGTATTCACATGTTAGAACAAACTACCTGACGGAAGAACATCTTTAGTTCTTAAAAAGTGAGAACCTCAATAGTTTGTCAAACCATAAAGGGTGTAAGCGCAGGACTGACGACCAGGTGAAGAGCAAAGTGCAAACTTCCTCTGTTGCAGCTAAGAACACGATAAATGCATGTATAAATAAACTATTCCTCAAAAGGTGGACGTGAACTCATACTTATCTGTGTGCTGAACTGAAGTACTTGGGCAGCTTAACACCTCAAAACTCAATGGTACAAAACAAGTGTTACAAAGCTGTTTGCTCCTATCACCCTGTGCCAAGAGGACTGTACAAACTGTATTTGCCACACTCTTAAGGCCACTGGAATTGAGCCTAGACCTCAGACTTTTCTTGCTTTGAGCATGCTACCAAACAATCAGCACAATGCCAAACTCTGGTCATGTGGAGAAAGTTTTTTTGTTCTCATTTTTGTATGCCTCTACATCAGCTAGGAATAGAGACAAAGAACTTGCTTTTCCTTCCAGAGAACACACCAGGCCTATGTCTGGGTGACCTCGGTTTCTGTGAGAAAGAATTTACTCATGGCAATGTTCTTAGTAATGTCCTCATAACTGCTGGTTGTTTTTTTTTTTCCAATAAATGCTTGTTTTGACAATAAGGCTTGTACAAAGTACTTAGTTCCTACTGAAAAAGATATACTCTTTTTGTGATGGGAAGGTGCACACTAACAAATTACATATTTTTGGTACTTATTGAGTTTTCAGACATTTACTACTATTGACTATTATAGACATGCTATTAACATGACAGATAATACTATGTACAGTCTGACTTTACCTGGACTGTAGACATACAGAGTGAATATTGTGTCTTTGGCATTAATACGGTTGTAGACTTTTCCATTTGGTGAGAACTCAACTTCAAATGTCTTTATACACCTAGAAAAGAGAACTAGACAAGTCACTAAACATAACTTACAATACAATAAATTATCAAATCTCAATCACAGAGATGAAGCTGACACATCTAGACTGGCTATGTCAGTGCTTCCTAAGGAAAATCGCGTCTGTCTTGGACTTCTGATAGTTCATCTACACAGAGTTGCTACTCTAGTACAGCTTGCTGGAGTAAGAAATATAAAGTTTTCTATTCCAGCCTATACCCATTATGGATGATTCCACCTAGGCACTTACTGCTAATATAGCAACTTTTATCATGGATCTTTCTATCTGCTATGCTTAAGGAATATCTCTCAAAAATGTCATTGGCTGCTTGTGAACAGCAGGCAGGTTTTCCTGCGCAAACAGCATTTTCTCTGTAAATGCTGTATGGAAATCTGACATTTCATTTTGTCAGGGAAATGTACTTTAATATCACTCGAGGTGCAAGCAGTGATTAATTAGTGAATCTGTAGGTCCGGTGGCAACTTAACAATTCACACGTTGGTTGTATCTATCTTAGAAGTCACTTACTTTGAATTTACACAGCCATCGTCCCACAGCACAATAACCTGTCCCTTTGTGAGAGGGATGAAACGAACACCGGTCACCTGTTCAAAGACAAATGCCCATGTGAGAAAGCTGCACAAACCAATCAGCTAGGTGAGATGTTCTGTGCTCACCCTACCTTACTGAGTTTCATTCTTTCCATTAAGACTGGGGGAAACAACAAAAATCCTGGCTCTGTGGCTTTGTAGATCTCCAATCTCTAAACCTTGCATAAGATTTTCAGAGGTTCTGGAAACCACTATAAACATTTTAATAATTTGGGATTGAACGAGCAGAAGCAGTTATCTTATCTGAGACATCATTATTTCAGTTTATTTTTAGCCATAAATTATTAACTGGGCAGGTGTTGTCAAGCCTGGTAGCGTATCATATAATTTTAAAAAAGAAACTGCATTACTACATCATATTTTCCCACCATTTGTTAAACTTGCATTTATCTCAGTGATGGCTCCTATCTCTTCAGTGGAAATGCTTTGTCTTGAATTATGCCTTGGATAGCTTTATCAAAGGAGAGAATAACTGTTTCTTTACTACACAGTGCTTCTAATATATAATGGGCCCAAATGCTAGTCTAGCTTTCCTTAATGAGATTTTAAGAAGGAAGCAGTTCCTAATTTGGTGTGTGATGACAGAATACAATACATACTTGATCAGGAACCGAACTGGGTCTTGAACAGATGTGGATCAAAAAGACTGACGGAATAGGGAAGTCTTGCTTCAGTGTCAAGGTGCCACTTTCAGGAAAAGGCAAGGGACCTGTTACCACTGGGTCCTGTGGAGCAAAAAACATGCCCTGTGAATAATCTTTCATTAATGTTATAGAACATAATATATAACTGTTACATCCAAGTAAAGTGACCGCACATTTATTTTGGAGTCATAAATTTCTAGTAGAGTCTGAGTATTTTAGGTGCTGAGTCTGAGTATTTGTGTGCACTCCCCACCCTTTCACCTCTCTGCCACTGATCCCCAGTGTACAGTGAAAGTGATTGGTAGTTATAACAATCACACAGCTTGCTCACTGAGGATTAGGTATCAGAAGATGGCCAAGAGGATCTAAAACCTTTCTGCTTTCTTGCTGAACGCAGACCTTATGACTCCTATAAGATCCCAGACTCCAGCAGTATAGTGACTAGGAAGAGAAGATACAATACTGTATATCAAGGTCAGAAGGCAATTACTGTCCCTGAGCACATAGGTGGTAAAGGTGGTCCCCTTACTTTAACCCAAAGGGCTGAAAAATATGAGAGAAGCTAAAATGACAGTCTACTTACACATCTGCATATACAGTAAGCAATCTGGGCATGGCTGTTTTTTGTTACTGAGGGCTTATCCTTTCAACTGTCTCCTGAGATAGTATGGCCCTTCTGTAATGCATGCAGGGCCATGCAACTTACTCCAGGCCACTAGCAAATAAACTGGTGATAAACATTTAGACTCTTGTATAAAAAGAATGCAAAACTATCAGTTATCTGTGAGTTACATTTCTCTGCTTAGCTGCAAGTCACTTGAATAGGAGATGGAAATTTTGACTACCTTAGTTAGTGTCTTGTCTCTTTAGCTGTAATTAACCAACTTACAAGCACGTGCCCCATACAATACTTCAAGCAAAGACATGGTCATACCTCAGCGTCCCTTATTTGCTGGAACTGTTCTGGGGAAGGAAAGTCAGGGCTTCCTACTTTTTTCCACTTCAGATAGGGATTGGTTTGGTTGTTGTCCAGGTAATACATCACATACACTGGCTCTTCAGGACACAAATAAAAGACAGTAAACACTTCAATTAGATTTAAATGCCAACGTGAATTAATTTAGCAGAAGGTGTTGAAGTCTACTTTCTCAAAAGTGATTTCAGCACTTTGGAGTTGCTTCCATTGCAAAGTTGTAAAAATAGTGCTAGCATTCTTACGAGGCTCTGTAATACATATCTGCCAAATTCCACACCCAGAATTGAAACCCACTTCTTTTTTTTTTGCAGAAGTCCCGCATGCATTTGTTGGACAACTGCATCATTTGTGTAATCATGTAGTCATGTTGAGTGATCCTCGTAAGATAATTTGTTGCCTGATATAACCCAGCTAATGAACTAAGATGAGAAGCTTTCTGAAAAGCTAGCTTTTTTCCTGCCTTTATTAAAGGCAGGAGCAAAATGTACAGAACATTTCCTAGAAGAGCACCATTGTATCTCAGAATATCTGGGAGTGCTCAGAAGACAAGTAAGAGAGCTAGCAAATGAAACTCACTCTTACTAGGAAAAGCAACTAAGCAGAAATGTTTCAGAACATGTTCTGTCCTCACAATCAATTCTGAGAATTGCCTATATGATATGTGTTTACCTCTAAGTTTGGGGAAGTGGGTGGCGTTCACTGTGATGGTGCTGACATTGGATGAAGTCCTGTTATCCTCACTTGAATACATCAGCAGAGTAGCTTGCCAACTGTCTGAGGGCTGAAGCTTACTTGGGGTGTGCACAGATGCCAGGACACCAAAGGTGCTGTTTTCAGTGCTTTCACCTTCACCGCTGTTTACTTCCGCAAAAATCTGCTTTTCTCCTTTGAAAAATGTGATAACACTGTAAGCATGCTACTCAATCCAACTTCTGATGCAAGAAGGGTCGAAACATAGGGATCTGTAGGTCGAGCTATGTTCTGGCTTGGTTTACCAGGTGTAGTATCAGTAAAGCTTATGTATGGTTTTTACAACTGAAAAGCAAGACACTACAGCAATTCAGGTGATGTCTAAGCATACAACCATGAATTAGGATTTCCCCTTAGTAGGCTGTATGAGTTTTACAGCTGGCAGTATTTCTTGAAGTCATTTGCAGCCTGAAATGATGGCACACAAGGGAAGTTACAAGTCCACTATAAAGAAGTGTTTGGATTGCAGAATTTATAAACAAAACAGCAGATTAAATCAAAGAGATGATAAGCGGTCAGGAAGACCTCCTAACCTCCAAGAAAATAAGAGTTTGTTTTATTTAAAAATCACAGTTGAGTAGGAAAAATCCAGCTTTTTATCTGGGGTGAGATGGCTGAAATAATCTCTCTCATGTATGAAATATCTACGTAGATGAGGTTAAAATGCACATCCTAATCAGTGATTACTGTACCTAGCAGTGCCAGCAAGCCCATGACAGTCAGCACTGGTTTCCGCACCATCTGGACGTGAGGTGGCTTTGTATTGTTCATCTGAAAACGTGCTGTCAGAGTCCGCTGTGTGAAGTAATGGGGGTAGTAGCTCATGAAGGCATTGTCATTACTCAACAGTCTATAGTTAATGGTGTTGTTGGCTTTGGAAATCAGTAAGTTTTGATGCTGGATGATTACCTGCAAAACAGCAGAGAAGATGGAAAATATTCAACAAACACAATGATGTCTTTATTTGTTTTAAAATTCACAGCATACCGGGAAGACACGTCACTGTCATTTAGAAAAGTGTGAAGAATTAAACTATTCACCACAGCTCATGAAGAAAAGTATTTTTTAAGTGAAAGTTTAAACATTGGATAATTTAAGTATTCACACAGCTCGGTTGCTTAAAAGACTGAAGTGAGTACTACTGGTAGTCTGCATAAATTATTAATATGTCTGAACTACAAGTAATATTACTCTGTTTGAGCAGTGGATTAGTAATCTGCATTTAGCATCCAAAATAAACATTTATTCCAGTTCTGGAGACACCCTGTAGCCATTACAAAGGGCTACAAAGGGAGCTGGGCCTTCAAGTTGCTCCAGAATCCAGGGATTCTGTTTCTCCTTGAGCAGTTTTAGCCATTAGGCACTAACATGGAATAGATTCTCTTTCAGTATTTCACTGGTTACTTGCCATTTTCCTGCAAAATGTCAGAGCATCCAAGCTCTCTGCCGAACATATTTTGCCTAGAAATCAGAAACAAATGGTACTTCAGAACAGAGAAGGTCTCATAGTCATACTCCTCAAATAAGGGCTTTTAACCAGGTTAAAAGCTATCTACCAAAGAGTTAATTTTCTGTTAGATATGTCTTTCCTATCCCTTCATAACTCCATGTCACTGTAAACACTGCTGTTTGCTCTCATGAATTCCCTGCAATGCAGCCAGTGACTTGCTGCTTTGGAGAAGATTTAGGAGGTAGAAGCCCTTGTCCCAGAGGTGCAGGTGAAAAGATGTATCCCATTTCTGGGTGAAACACATTTTGCCATGGTTGCTATAGGAGGTAGTGACTCACAAAACAACAATGCAGCAACATGCAGCAGGAATTGTTGCTACGTAGGGGCAAAAGTTGAGCTTGCACAGGGTACAGAATACAGATTCTGTAAGGGCATGCTGAGCATTCTCTTCTGCTTTTCCAAGCATGAGCAGTAATGACAAGCACTAATTAGTAAAACCATATGTATGGAGTCATTATCCAAAGCCAAAGAGCAGGCCAGTGCTTAGAGATTTACTTCTTAATTGTACTTGATGTCCCTTGACAAGATGAACTTGTGAAGAGGCTGGAAAATAACATAACAGAAGGGAGATGGCAACAGCAGTATTACACAGAGAGAGAATGGGTAGTCTTACAAGTGAATCTAAATGAGAGGCTGTATACAATATCCAAAACATTCTCCAACATATGGGAGGCTAGCTGCCAGCTGTCTTCTTTAAGGGAAGATTCAGAAATTTAATATAAATTAAATAAAGCTACTGGAGGCAAAGCATTAAGGGAAACACTGGCTATATCTGTATTTTCTTGTCTCTGTTACTAAGTTATCAGAATAATAAAAATTAAAAATCAACTACTTTTGCAAAATGGCCTACTTTTACAATTGCATTAGAGCTTCAAGAGATTGTACTATGACAAGACTGCCAATGAACCGAGTTACCTTTACAACCATAGCTGCATATGTCACATCAGCTCGCCACAGTTGTGGAATAGACCATCCAACCATTGGATCTGCTTCATCGTTGTATATGGGAATGGAAGCAAAATTTGGAAATAACTTCTGTATTTGTTCAACTGCTTCCACTTCTTGTTGCAAGATGTAGAGAGAACGCCCACCTCCCTGCAACAATATTTTGTATCTACTTAGTAAAAGTGAGCAAATAGTAGTAAACACAGAGATGCACCACCATATTTTGAAAATATATTCCTAGATATACATCCTTCTTAAAAGTTTCCTTAGAACAACTAATTGTATTTCCTTCCACAGGCTGCTTGCTTACAAGAAAATCAAGAAAATCATTAATCAGAATAAAAAATAACTTAGACTGAAGTGCTTAAAAATAGCTTTAACTTGAAGTCTTGAACTAACCTTCTTATGAAGAGAGATGTAGTCCAACCTTACACCAGTCTCTCCTGTGAAAAAGTTGGTTCCATTGTAGCAATGACACAGAAGACTCCAGCATATGGGTGACTTGGGAAAGGGGTGGAAGGAGTCCCCAGGTCCTCCAAATTTTAGTAGACTACTAGCTGCTCTTAATCCTTCTGAGCAGGCATCATAATAGTTGAGAAACCCTGAAGTCCAAGCAAATGCACATAACAAAGGTGATAACTCAGAATCTAAAACTAAAGATATTTCCTTCTATTACTACATTTATTTGGACTGACAATATAAGAAGATACGAAAGCCTTCACTGCATTCACAAGGTTCTTCCAAAGGTCTTGTGAAGTCAGGCTCCTAAAGCACTTACCTGACAACTATTTTCATCTTACGGCCCCGCTACCCCTAGTAAACTTATTTTATAACCAACCAATGGTCTTAATAGTGTAATTTGTGTTCTGTTTTCTCTGTTCTGCTATCCCTGTATTTATACTGATGTTCAAGCAGGAGACAGAGTAACTATTGTAGTCAGTAACATAAAAGATTAAATACATTTTTAATGCACATCTCTCAAATCTACTTTATTTATTCAACATTTCTCCTTTTTCACTGTTCCCCACTTAACACACACACTCTTCTGACATTACTGCTACTAGTAAGTGCTCAAAAATATGCTTACCTTTCACTGTCATAGACACATTGTCGAAGTCATGGTGATCTGGTTCATTCCAAGTTTCAAAATTCCATTTAGCAACATGCTCCAATCCGTATCTATCTGTGCAAGAGGCCTCATTTATCAGTGATCTGCAGTGCATGTACAGACAATCCTATCAGCTAGACATGTGCTGCATGTGAAGGTATGCACCTGGAGCTACAATAGGGTGTAAATGATCTCTTTTTAATAGTCATAAAAATACAAATTGGGTAATTTCAAAATGATCTTTCATCTTGGGTTTAGCAATAGCAGAAAGATGAAAAGACCACCAGCACAAAACTGCAGTGAGGTGATGTGAGTAATAACTTTGTTGTCAAAGTATGTAGACTGCATGAGGCCTAGGCTAAAGCTTCTGCCTTGTCAGAAATTCTTGAAGCTACTGCGTGGGATGTATTCAGGCTATGATGGCCCAGCACAAGCAATACAAGTTAAAATTCAGTCCTCACGGGCAGGTCAAATGGGCTACCCAGACCACATACTGTACAGTCAGGCTTTTGGTTGTGGATCAGCTAAATGGGGCTACTGTCCCATTTACTATTCTGATATACATATTTTCCTCTTTTGCAATGAAATCTAGTGTCAAGAAACTACAACAAGCCACAGAACATTCCAAAGTAATTAAAAAGGGCTACAATAGAATAAGTTACAGGGGTGTTCCCATTTTTTGGAACTTACCTATGTATCTGCTGGCCAGAAGTGTAACTAAGTTTCTCCATCTTACTACTTGCTCTTTATCTTCAAAATTTAGAAAATATCCTGATGGATTGCCCATCAATTCAAATCCTAAAACAGACACAAAATATCAGTTTCTTTCCTTCTCCCTCCCCTCCCCTTTCCTCCCATTTTCTCCCTCCCTCCCCCCTTTTCCTTTTTAATATTATCCCCTTTTGATTAGTGAAAGGGTTATTGTATTATTTGAAGCAATCTTATTAGAGAAGAAGCAAAGACAATGAAGAAACATCAATAAGTTGGCTTTCTGTCCTGTTTCTGTGTCCCCTCTGGGAATATTTCAGATGTGAGTTTGCTGCATTTGATCCTTGCTGATGACAACAGTAACCAATAGAAATACTTCCATCATAAATCCAGTGCAGAGGAGGAACTTTAAACAGTAGATATCTGCAGAGATTCAAGGGATGCTGTATCTTGAGAACCTGCTTCTCTGGCCCCTTTAGGTGCATGTTAGTTCATAAAAAACTTTCTCCAAGAGATGTAATTTCCCAATCAGCACATCTCAAACTATCATTGAAAACTATGTAAAAGCATTTGTGCTGTCTTTATTACGCTATTCTCAGAGTGTTTACATTAATGTGGATATGAAGGTAAATGCAAATAGTAAAAAAAAAAAATTAAAAAAAAAACCCACAAATTTTTATCAAAATAAAATGTTCCCTAAGAGTAGTTCTATCTGATGATTGCACAATGTGGACGAAACAGCAGATGAACCAAGTTCTGGAGGTAGGGAGTTACTCTTACCTGGAGTAAGCTTGTTTTCCCACAGACGATCCATAAGGTTATCCAAGGCAGTAAAATTGTAGTAAAGTTTCTCATTCATCATTCTGG